CTCCAGATTGTTTGCCGGAAGACGGACCATAGGACCTCGGCCTGGTCGCTTGTAATGCCTAGACACTCGCAGATCCACTCGGCTTGCGTGTCTGGAAGAAACGGCGGGGCTGAACTTTCGGTATCAACATCCGAGGGGTAGGCAAGGGCAATCTCGTCGCGAATGAGACTGCATATATTAACGAAGAGCTGAATTTGATCCGTTGTTATAGGAAGTAGGTGTGGATATGTTTCAAGAACAGATGGAATTAATGATATGTCGAGACTCATGACAGCGGAATAGATATACGGCGTGTAGGGATATAACAGACGTTAATCTAATCTAAGCGCGGCGGCGAGGCGACGCGCGGCAGTCACATCGTGGGATTTTTGTTTTAGCACCGCCACTGACGCCGCGCCGCCCAGCCTGCCGCCGCGACTTGCCGCCTTTCCCAGATCTCGGACTTTCTGGACGACTCGTGGGATCACCGATGCAGCGTCCGAGAAAGCCGGGACAAGCCGGGGGACGAGAGTTTTCATTCGGACTCCGCCGGCCTGGCCCGAAACTAAAGACGCTCCGAGCACAGCCACGGTCATTAAATGATGAAGGTTGGCAAAAAAAAACGCGACATACTAGTTCTGCTCTTCTCCGAGCTTTCTCACAGTCGAGCCAAGAACCAAAACGCACCGTACCATTCTGTAGACTTCTTTTTCGGCAATTTTATGTGGTCCATAAGCCGATATCTTTGAGCTCCACCTCAAACGGCCCATCAAATCGCAGCTTGGAATCATTTCCTCATCCAGGCTGAGTGTAGGGATATTTTGCAAGTGCAAACTTCAAGACGGCGTACTTATCATATATCATCCATCAAGGATATACAGTACAGTCACAACTTCCAAGCTGTGGCGTTGCATCAGGTTGCATCACCCATTATCACAACAGTGTGCTTTTTGTGGACTACCACATAGTTAATCAGGGGTTTCGTCACATCACAACCCAGCAGAAAGCAATAGCTTTCGAACCGGGTTCTTTCTGATGCTCTGTGCTACAACAGAGCATCAGTATGCTTAGCAAAGCTCAGTCTCTTGTCAGTACTTTTGCGGCATTGCCGCTGGTGATTTCACTTCGCTTCAACTACGCCTCCAAGCCAGGGTCTACTAAGTTATTGGACAAACAAGTTTCATTACTCTAAATAATCTAAAATAGCTGTCCTATCTATTGCTGGTAAGACTTACATGGCGGCGGCGATCTCCGCCAATTGAGGGTGCCGACGACGCACCATTTGACGTTTGCTCCTTTAAGCTTTAAGGGTGTATCCTGACTACCTAAAATTTGTTAGTTTATTGCTTCACTTTCATCACGGCGCTCCGTGGTAATGACCATAAGCACAAGGATCAAGACAAAACTTTGTGAGCCAAGCTGTGGGATTTACCCAAGCTTCTAGATGCTAGAGTCTTTGAGAGGGCGGCCAGTCAAACTCACCAGGAAAAGGCTAGTTTAGCATCGGTAGTCCTCGTTGCCTTCCCTTCCAGCGAGCGCCCCGCCCGCTGCTCATTCAGGAATGGGGCTTGCGTGAGCTTCGAGCCGCACCTTCGTCACGTTATCTTCTCTCATTGAATACCTCATTAGTCTTCATCAAGGCTTTGAGTGACAATATGCATAATCGGACCTTGGCTCTCCGCTCTTCTTGCTGATTTAGCCTAGCGCTCGATTCAACACCTCAGGTATTATTGTGACATCTTGATGACGCAAACTCGTCTTATAAGCTTAGGATATTTAGCACTAAGTTCCGCAATAGACACGAAATTCTCGCGTCTGCCTTATCTCCGTTATGGATCTTCATCAAGACTCCTTGGCTGAACCCTCAATGTTAATTCCACCCAACATGCGAGCGCCAAATTCATTTGATGAGGCGCTCCTTCGAATCGGACAACCTCTTATCGTCAATAACATAAAGTAGCTCAAGTGACAGTGGCTTTTCATGTATGGACAAATAATGATTCATAGTCAACAACATTTTCGTAGTGCCCTAAGTGAATAATAGGTAATAACATTCGCTCAACTCCGCGTATGATTCGTATCGTCTGCCGTAAATGCAAGCATCAAAGAAGAGGTCAAGTGGCCTTACTCGAACAGGTGGTATCAGATAGTTCTGATCCCTTGTTCGGCTCCGCTCCGAGTATCACCGATGAACGCGCAGAAACACTGGGGGGATACCGAGGCATGACATTAGTTCTCTATGTAAGGACTCGTTCTTCGTTCTTTGATGTTTTAATCTTTCGCAAATAGCTGCTATTGGTTTGGACTCGAAGGTCATGCGAAAAAAGGAGATATATCGGCTTTAGATAACAACGTGCATTTCCTAAAAAGTAGTCGAACGAAGCCCATTCAGCCAATAATCTGCATCAGTCCTATACAGCGAACCGAATTTCTACTTTGCTTGTGTCAGTGGGCAAGCTGTTGAGCACGACTGTTGAATGAAAGGATGAATGAAGCTTTTTTGGGATCTTACCCAACTGAGTGTTACGGCACGTTGAAGTTGGTATGTGGCGCTAGAGCTCGTGTAGCTTCATTAGTTTTCCGGGAACGTAGGTGGGGTGCACTCTGGGACGCATAAAAGCAGGTCGTTTTCGACTGGGATATTTCATCGGCCTCCGTCGACCTCGAGCATCCCCACTTACCTCCCATATTTCAGCCCAGAAACATTTCTCCCTCTAAGTCTTAATACTCGAACACCATGCGCTTCTTCAGCACCGTCTCCGTTGTCTTCACCGTAGCACTCGCTGCGTTCTCCGTAGCTGCCCCCGTCGCTGAGGGTGAGACCAAGGATGTTGTTCGCTCGTCGAACCCGTCCATCGCGTCCCTCTGGAACGAGGCGTTTAGCCAGATCAACCCGCAAGCCCAGTCTTTCAGTGAGTATATATAGTGTACGATTATTCGCAACGAGACAGTGTTAACCGATTTTGCTTGCTTATAGTGTCCCTTGACCCCAGCACCGCGACACAAGAAACTGTCCAGCCCAAGCTGGAGAATATTCAGAAGTCTCTCCAAGAACTTCAAACTAAGTTTGCTGGTCTTCAGACATCTGGTGCCTCCATGAGTCAGCTCCTTACGTCTGCTGACGGCTCTTCCGAGCTGAGCGTTTCTGACCTCGCTTCGACCATGGCGGGAGACATAACCGTGAGTCACCCAACACCCCCTTGTTCGGCGTGAATTTGGTGCGCTAATACATCTTCTCAGATCCTCGTTAACGGTCTCGGCGCTGTCCACGGCTATGGCGGTCTCGGTGTCGCTCTCGGCGGTCTTCTCACGACTATTGGGTAAGCGTTCACGCAACATTACGCTTGCAGTTTATTCAGCCACTGTGACCTTCTAGTCTCCTGCTCTATGCTATCCTCAAAACTGTCCTCGTTCTTGTGGCCGGTATCCTGTTTGCGCTCACCCCCCTCCTTAAAGGCCTCGCTGGTACCCTTGGATTGCTCGGTCTTGACATCCTTGTGACCCTTCTCAGTCTCTAAGCGAGCATAACGGAGATTGTTGGGATGCCCGAGAGAGTTGACGCGAGTTATCTGTTTGGGCGTTCAATGACACAGCTCCCTTTTTACGGACCTGAACGTCTATGGTCTTTGTTACCGACTTGAATTACGAAATCATGTTCTTGCTCTTTACTACGTTTTCATGCTTTATGGCTGCGAGCTTTCTGTACCTTTGATATACCTATATTGGTTTGTGTTTTGCTTGTGTATTAGGGAATGGTCGATTCGGATTACTCGTGAAAAGCTAGCCGTCACAACGTATTGTCTTTCAGTGTCACCTTTAAATTTCTTGGAATTGCTGTTGTGAGATTACCGATGCACCGTCCGACAAAGCCGCCTTGCTCTCGGGCTCCGCCCGGACCGGTCCGAGGATAGCTTCAAGCTCGATCATCATCCACTCGGCCTGGTATGTGCAAAACGTAAAGATCATGAGGCATCTGAATGGATTGATAACCAACTAGGAATGCAATATATCTCATACACGACATCCGAATCTGCAATAACACCCACTGAAACGGCTTGAGTCGCACGTCGAAAGCCAAAACATACTGCACCGCTCTGCACCCGATGAGGAATCAAGCTTCCTCTTCCTCTTTCCGTTGTTCCTTTTCTTGTTGTTCTTTTTCAGACTCGTCCTCTGATTCATTCCTATGCTCCTGGATAAATGACTGGTTGAGGGAGCCAGTGCACTTCTCCAGGGTGATCTGCTGGCTTTTGTCAGACCCGCTATACAGATAACGATACAATGGAAAGATGCACATACGGTCTCATTTTCCCCGTCGCCTAGCATAGTCCAGCATAGGGCGCTGTCGGCGGTCATGATTCTGAAAAACAGGTTACGGGCCGTGATCGTTCGACCTAAACGAGGATGAAGGCAATGAAGCCCACTGACCGATACTTGTTGCCTTGGTGGGATACCTTCCATACCGTCGCCAAGTCAATGTCCGTAAGCGTGAGGGTGGCGCCCGACCTTGATTAGCAGCCGAAGATGAGACAACGCACAGCGACAGAAGTGAAAGGAACCGGGACCTTTGGAGTTTCGCCCGTTGCCATCACCCACTGAGTCGAGGGCATATCGCTGGAGCAGATCTTGAAAAGCTCGTTATGCGGGTCCTCGGGCATGAAACGCCACTGCGGTGGCGTAACGAAGAGAGTCCCATCAGCCCTACAAAGGGCAGCTGAACGCGCCCGAATAGGGAGCACAGACCTTCTGACCGTGGCTGATCTTTGCGCCCTTCGCTTTGCCTACGAGGTCGCCGCCATCCTTGCCGTTGTCGGTTGCGATTTTGCGATCAGGGTACTGAACGCTCAGTAGACTGACGATTCCTCCGAGTGTGTGATCCATGTTTAGATGTAAGAGGTAGCGGGAGTTGCTGTGCGCAACTGAGATATGGAACTCGGAAAGTGGCTTAGCGGTATCCCTTCGCCGCGTTCGACGCGAGCTTTTATATGTACGTCTGCGAGACAGGCGTCTATGTTTGTCGGGACGTTCTGAGTGAGTGCACAGCGATTAAAACGTCGGCAGCATAGTCATCCCGTTTCATTCATTATTTTGCGACTGGATTGGGTTCCTTGCCCGTCTTCTTCTCGACGCTGATCTAGTGGCGTCTTGGTACGCGGAACAGGTGGGCAGGGGCGGCCCATTGTCTTTCACTCTATAAGTGGAAATCAAGGCGAAAGGTACTCATAGAGGCTCGGCCTGACCGAACAGACCAAACGACTGCCTGAGAAAGCAGAAAAGCGGTACCGTACCTGTATCCGATTTGAGGTGTAAAGAGTGACCAGGTACCCGAGCTCCCTTTCAACATCACGTGCACCATTATCTTCAGGTTGTTTTAACCTCCAAATATGCGAAGCAGCTTTTCTGTAGCTCTTCAACGGGGATGCAGCGGATGTACACATTCTCCCTTCCTATAGCGTGACAAAGCACAGCTGTAATATGGCAAGAACATACATTTTTACATAGATCACCACGAAAGCTCGTCGAGTGCCTATGTCGGAGACAGCGGAACTCCGCTTGCCGTAGGTAGATGCGCTTCTGGGCGTTACGCTAGCTTCGACAGCTTCCAACTGGCAAAGTATGATGTGGATGATCCGTGAAAGTCTTCAGTCATTAAAAAGAGTCGCACCTACCTGTCAACTTTGAGACTGGATGTATGTTCCTGCCCCTGATGATATGAAGCGGCAGAGAATACTTAATTCCCAGGGAAGCAGTTCCCCTGTTGCAGGCCACCAGACGTAAAGTGCGTCGTAAGGTGTCGGTCCGGGGCCGTATACAGTTAGCCTGACCCCTGTCCAGCAACCGAGGCCTGGTCAACAAGATGTGCTCTTCGCGTCTGCCGCCAGGCTAACACGTGTTGCTTGCTTGTCTTGAAACGGCGATCATGGTCGGTGACAAATAACATAATATGGAGCGTACTTTCAAGGGTGGAGCGAACTAATAGTGTGACCGCCGATAAGCGTAAAAACTTCGATGACTGTCGGGGCTTACCTTTCGCCGTGCATTCATTCTCCAGGAACGCCCGTGGCCCGTGGGTTGACTTGTAGACACTTTAGCGCCGTTACGTTACGGTGCGCGCGGAAGTACTACCCGGGTGAACAGTTCTTCATCTGCTCCGCGAGGTCTCGGTGAGGCTCGGGAAGGTTGGTTTCTCTCGGTCTTATTATCTGGACCCACTAGAACACAACCCTGGCCATAGTCACGCGTCACGCTGGGTATGAGCTTCGAGATGCTGCCTGTACAGAGCGACTAGCCTAATATAGCGGCTGGTTCTGTATGAATCAAGAAGTTGAAGCAGAGTTCGGGAAGAAGCTGTTAAACTTTGAGGTTTGGACGGAAAACGTTGATCTGGAGAAGGTCTGAGGTACCGAAATGAAAGCCAGGCTTCGGCGGCCGATTAACAAGGGGGTGGCGCCCGTGGCGGATGGCGGATGGCGTTGCGTTCGTCCTGAACGGGTGGTTTTACTCGTGACTCGAGGCCCTTCATCTCCTAAGCGTAGACGTCGTGTTGAGGGGCTGCTTGGGCTAGAGAGCTGCGCGGGGAAAGGGGCGATTGATGAGCTCGCGTACAAGAAGAACTGTTATAGATACCATAAGATGAAGTCTGGACATATGCTCCATGGTAGATAGCTAGAAAGCTGTGAAAGTCGGCGTATCTCTGCCAATTCAAGTATGGCCAGAATGAAGACAGACGCAGGCCGCGGCTCCTCACACCTGCCTGTCCATCACTAAGAACCGTACTGCCTGCAATCAACGCTGATAAGTAGGGCAAGAAGCCTCCCTTGATTAACGTAGAGAACTCGAGAAGAGACGTTAGATAGACGCACTCCGCATATATCGGGTTTCAAGCTTAGGTACCGCGTACAAGGTACCTGGGGGCGTTCCGTTCCCAAGCCATTCCATGAAGGATGTCGGGCCCGGACGTGGTTAAGCTTCTAATAGCAACGCAGTGACCGTGGCACGGGAAAGCTCTCCTACCACCTATGCGCCCTGGAGGACTCGGGTACCGTGAATGAACAGCTAAGGTGCGGCGATCTCCACAGGGGTTCACTTAGCCAGCTGCGAGATGCTGTGAGGATAGTGCTTATGCTGTGTGATACCAGTAAGTAAAGGAGGCAGAGCCTGAGGCAACCATAAGGATGCGGGTTGGGCTAATGAAGCCTATGACGCAGTGAGGCTCGAAATGAAGCCTAGCCGACAAGCCCCGGACCTGCCGCGAGCATTGATAGCAGTCCATGGCGAAACTGGTCTCAAAAGAGTTTGAGCTGAAGAATGAAAGAACATAGTATGGACAGTGTGCAGTGGTGAGGAGTAGCGAGAGGCGGGAAGAGGCTGGTTAGGCTCTGCTGAGATGGAATAAGGTACCGGGCAAACAACCAAACACGGAATGTCAGACACTTGACTCTCTCATCGACGTCGTCTAGCACGTTGCTCAACCCCCTTTTCCTCCCCATCCCTCCTTTCTCTCCTCCCTTCAATGGCTCGTCGCCATTCACGGAGTTCGCCTCCTCCATCCTCGCCGCCTCCCCCGCCGACTGCCTCAAAATTGTCCAAGTTCCTGCCCAAGGCTAGTCGGGACCGCTCCAAATCCGTCACAGAGACTGTCATCTCCGCTAGCAGCCCCATCAGCGTCTCCAGCTCTGGATCCTCGATACATACAACCGCAGAGGCATCCACATCACGGATAGCAACCCACGCCCGTCGGCTCAGCCGATTTGGAGGAGGTGGGAAAGGCAAGGACGACAAACCAACTGGCCTCCCAGGAGACGCTGATAGCGACCGTGGCTCCTTTGACGACGCCCCCGTCATCATCGAGCCCTCAGACATGCCTCGACAGCGTCAGCGTGGCGACCGCCCATACATGGCCGCCCCCGAGCTGCAATCGTCAACCTCCATGTACTCGACGTCCCCAAACGCGCGAATAAGCGATCTTCCGACCCGACTTTCCGGATGGTTCTCGCACACCTTCAGCTCCTCGACCAACGACCTCTCCCTCCCCAGCCTCATCCAGCAGACCAACACTCGGACGACCTCCCCCACGAAAGGAAAGAACTCGGCGCTTCTCACCGCAGCCAAGCACGGCAAGGGCCACCTGGACCGCGCGATGAGATTCATCCTCGACAGCGATGCGACCCCTGACAAATCGACGGACCCCATCTGGATACTGGGAGTCAAGCACGCCGGATACGAGCCCCCACCCGTCAACAACCCGCCCGGACGCAGACCCTCGTTAGATTCACAGCGCCTCCAGTCTTCGGCATCATCCATGAATTCGCAGTTCTCGCAATCACAATCACCTGCATCAGAAAAGCATCCGGGCCAGGACTGGGCTCCCGAGTTCTACGCCGACTTCACATCGCGCATATGGCTTACCTACCGCAATCAGTTCGCGCCCATCCGGGACTCGACGCTCTCGACTCTCGAGTCAGATCAGACCAGAGAACCATGCACCGAGATGTCTTCCCCCTCGCCCAAATCGAGACGCTGGTTCGGCGGAGAGAAGGGCTGGACAACCGATACTGGCTGGGGCTGCATGCTCCGCACGGGGCAGACCCTCCTCGCGAACGCGCTCCTCCACCTCCATCTAGGTCGAGGTACGTGCCCCTTGCTTGCTTCCCACATCCCGTCTTATCTCGTACTGATCACGCCTCCTCATCCCATCCCACTCCACCCCGCCATCATGACTTTCACCCACAGATTGGCGACGGCCCCCATATCCACTGTACACGGAAGACTACGCCACCTACGTCCAGATAATCACTTGGTTTCTCGATTCACCGCTGCCCCAGGCACCTTTCAGCGTGCACCGGATGGCGCTCGCCGGGAAAGACCTGGGGAAGGACGTCGGCCAGTGGTTCGGACCCAGCACAGCTGCCGGCGCGATCAAGTGAGCACTTGCTTCTGACCCTCTTTTACCCATTTCATTATCATACCCACATACCCTCTTGGTCACGCGGACACCCCCCGAAGTGAGATCGCTGACGCATTCGCAGGCGCCTTGTCCAGGCTTTCCCGGACGCCGGGCTGGGTGTCGCAGTCGCATCTGACGGCGCGCTGTACCAGACGGACGTGTACTCGGCATCGTACGTCGATGTTGGCTCGCCGAGGAATGTGAGGAAGCTACGATGGGGCGGGCGCGCGGTGCTCGTGCTGTTTGGGATACGCTTGGGGATCAATGGGGTCAATCCTATCTACTACGATACCATCAAGGTGAGATTAAATTTAGATTCGTTCATTATGGTGCATGGAGTGCTGAGCTCCGCTTTTAGGGACTATTCGAGATCCCGCAATCTGTCGGTATCGCAGGCGGGCGCCCGTCGTCCTCGTACTATTTCATGGGTGTGCAAGGCGACAACCTCATCTACCTTGACCCCCACCACGCCCGCCCCGCCATCCCGCTCCGCCCGCTCCCCGAGGCTGACGAAGGCAACCAACACGGCTTCCGCCGGTGGGACCGCGAAAACACGCCAGAGGACGCCTCGAGCCGGCGCGTGCCGGGTGCAATGTCGGCCAGCTCCCCGCCGGGGTCGTTCCCCGGGCACCACTATCGCACGCCGACATCGCCGTCGTCGGTGCGGACGCACTCGTCGACGTTCTCGTACCACGCGCCCGTGTCGCCGTCGCCGCTGCAGCACCAGCTGTCGTCGTCGTCGGGCAACTCGGCGAGCTCGGGCTCGCAGCACCCGGCGCGGTGGCAGAATGCGACGGTGGGCGCGCATGTTGCGTCGAGCAGCTCAGATCTGGACCCGCGCGAGCTGGGCGCGGCCGGCGCGGTGGGTGGTACGGGTGGTAACGGGGGCACCATGGGAGGTAATGGGGGCGCCATGGCGGGCGAGACGGGTGCGGAGCTGGATCCACTGTCGCTGCATTATATCAATGCGTACAGTCCTGCGGAGCTCAAGACGTTCCATTGCGATCGGGTGCGGAAGATGCCGCTGAGCGGGCTGGATCCGAGTATGCTGCTTGGGTTCTTGTGTCAGGATGAGGAGGACTGGATCGATTTCAGGCACCGGATCACTGATGTATGTGCTTCGTTCTTTCGTGTTGGTTTTGAGAGTAGACACTGATGATGTGCCCGTTTACAGCTCATGCACCGTAACAAGACGATCTTCGCTATCCAAGATGAGCCGCCAAATTGGTCCGAGGAAAACGTTGGCCTCGAATCTATTTACGACGAGGACGACGAGGACGAGCTCGCCGAAACAGAGGACGGCGACGAGGCAGATCGGTTCTTTGACACTCGCTCGGCATCTGGCTCGCCTGCCGGATCTTCCGCCAGAAAAGGCTCCGAGGTGGACACAGAGGAGGACCCGATTGGTCCGATTACCCCTGGCCCGAACTCGACATTCGAGGTGCACAAGCACGGCAAGGAGGCAGAGCGCGAGAAGCGCGAGCCTGAACCTGAACCTGAAGACGATTTTGAGGATCTCGGGAGGGATGACGGGGAAGATGGTGTGGATGACGACGACGATGAGGACTGGGTGGATCCCGGTATGCCGACGCCGGGGCCGACGCAGGTGCAGTTCTTCCCCAGCTCAAACCCGGCGGGCGAGCCGCCGGAGCTGGAGAGGCCGCAGCCGTCGCAGAGGCAGTCGCCATCGCGGCATGAGACGCTGAAGGCGCGCTCGGGGTCTGCAGGGAGCGAGGGCCGGTTGAAGGAGAAGAAAAGCAAGAAGCAGTCGTCGTCCTCCAGCAGGAAGGACAAGGAGCGCTCAGGCTCGACGTCGACTTCGCCGAGCCCGCCCGCGCAGGGACAGGGTCAGCATTTCCCCTTCCCGAGCTCCATGGAGGAGAGCTTCCACGATGAGACGGGGGAGCGCCTGGCCAACAGGATGAACAATGCGCGTGCGCGCGACGGTGGGCGAACGGAGAGCGGGGGCGTCAAGGCGATTATTGCGGAGGATGGTGTGGACTATTCGCGATAGGTGTGAGGACCCTTGGGTGCGTTCGGACGGACGGACGGACCGGCGCGATTGGCTGCTTTTCTTTCTCTTGCATTTTTCTTCTTTTCTTTTTCTTGCTTTCCCTACGGTGTGTATTGATTGGTTCGGTTTATCTTCCCGGCTTCCCTTCCCCTTCCCCTTGCCCTCCCGCCAGCCTCCGCTTATCAACTAGCACTTCTACCAACATTATTAGCAGGCGAATATGGGCCCACCCCTCCTCCCTTTCCTTATTCCTCTCTTTCTCTTTTTACTTTTACTTTTATTAACGTTATGTACCCTCTCCTTCAACTATTGTCGATGTACCCGGATCGGCATTCTTATCCTGTGTAACCCTATGTACATTGTCCCCCTCGCAGCAGTCCTACTCTTGAGATACCCCACAATGGCTTTTCCCTATTTCTAGCTCTTGCTCTTACTCTTTCTCTCACTCTTGGTCTTGCTCCCACTCTCGTCAATGTCAGCCTCTTTATCGCAAGTTGAGAAGTTGGTGGGGTCGACCTACAAACCTGACATAAGTAATCTTCCGGATTCCGAAGCGACAGAAACATATTGTTTCTCACGTTCTTTATCGGGAATAAATATCCCCTGAGCTCGATAAAACCCACCGTGCTCTATTCGCCCTCTTCACTCGCACGTCCACGTCCCACCTATCATCGTCAATATTATGGCCCCGATCGCCGAGCCAACGCATATCTACAAGCTCGTCCCACCATCCGGGATGCCCACCGAATCAGCGTCCGAGCTCGACAGCACAGACTGGGTGCTCGCGGACAGCGCGGTGGACACGAGCTCGGGCTTCATCCACTTCAGCACCGCCGCGCAGGTGCCCAACACGCTCAAGCGGTTCTTCGCGTCCGACGCGCGCGTGTATGTCCTCCGCCTCCCGTACGCGCCCCTGACGCAGCGGCCGGACGGACGCGTGCAGTGGGACCACCCCGAGACGCATGTGTGTGGGGATCGGCCGGAGGAGGGGACGTTCCCGCATTTGTATGTGAGGAGGGGTGTGGAGGAGGGGGAGGGAGGGAAGAAGCTGTGTAAGCTCGGGAGGAAGGATGTGGACGGGTGGAAGGTGCTCGAGCAGGAGGATGGGGGGTTTGAGAAGGCGTTGGATAAAGCTCGGGCTGAGGGATGGCTCGTTTGATGCAGCCTCACACGAAGAGAGTAATGGTCATAATGAAATCATGTATAGGGCCGTAGTGGTGAGTACGTCTAGGACCTCCGTAGTAGCATTGGGTAATCTGGCAACGCGGCAGTGATGCATGGTTTAGTGCTACAGGTCATAAATAAGGTATCACTCGATAAGTAACAGCGTGGCATCGGCTGCCTTGTGAGTAGTCAAGGTCCATAAGAACAATAACGGCCTCAAAGGGTGATTCATAGTCTTATCTATTATTGTCATCCGAAGCCAGTGCATGGATCGTGCATCCAACGGCGAAGGATTCGCCTTTTAGGCGCCGTGAGGGTCTACTAGCCTAGACGCTGGCACTTTTGAACAGCCCGTGCTAACCTCGCTAGCCGGCCGGATATGTGATGTCGACGTCGACGGCAACTTGTCTGTCTCGCCGCTTTGTTCCGTACGTGTGAGTTCTGGTAATTGCAGAGTTTGCGCCTGGTCGAAGCCGTCGGTGTTCCGGAAATGCAGAGACGTCGCGCGCTTGCCGGCGTCCCAAGAGTCTTCCGCGAGTGAGCGGCCCTCCATGACGCGAATGATGATCAGCAGCTGTGCGATGCCCTGTAGAGAATCTCAATCGTCAGCGCCAATCTCCAAAAGCAACTTTGTATTCTGTTGCGGTGGTTAGAGTAATGAAAATGCGAATCACCTGGACGTGGCTGATGTCCAAAAAGACCAGATTGGATACATTGGAGTGAAACGCGAACGAGAAGATGAAGATGATGCCGACGACGGAGTACAGTGCCGCGCTCTCGACAATCATGAGCACGAGCGTGTCGTACAAGCGCGTCGACTCCCACCCGAGCAGTGTCGCGACGCGTTTGCGCATAGCGAAGATGCGGCCCGCGACGAGTACGGTGTAGATAACGGTGATGCCGACCTGGATGACGAGGTACGCGAGCTGGCCGTTGGCGTTGTAGAACACGACGCCGCTCGATTGGGCGAGAACCCAGATGGACATGGCTGGACATTGTCATGAGTACATGTGCGCAAGAAAGCATGTTGTCAGATACAGGTGGCCGAAGTGGGTGCATGTGGATTTGAATTGGGACGCGGCGATAAAGGGACGGGGATACGCACCGACCATGGTGAGGAACAGAGTCGTCATGATTGCGATGATTGGCTTGGAGTAGTTCCATACGATGAAGCACCGCCATAGCTATGTACCATTTAGTGCATGTTCGAAAAAGGCTTCTGATGTTGCAAAGAGGGACACTCACCAGCAGTGCCTCCATGAACCATTCCATTACGTAGTAGCTGTGGTCCAAGTACAATAAGTCATGAGAATGGCATATCGGGCGCGAAGGAGATGCAGACGCACCACGCTAGCGCCATGAGATTCACCCAGTACTGGAGCTCATTTATGATGAGCGCCGACGGTCCGCCTGGGGTATCTCGGAGGTCTATCCAAATCATCTCGGTGTACTTGACATTGCCCGCAAAGCCGATGGTAGCGAGGACGAAGGTGGTGACGATGTACACAAATATGCGCTTGCGGTTTTGAGGGCGAACCGCGCCAAAGCGCGGTCTGCGCAGGACCTGGCGTCCCGCTTGGTACGAGAGAATGACGAAGATACCTGTGAGGATAATACTATATGTGAGCTTCGCCCGAGCTCGCCTAGAAAGCCCACGTGGCCGAAGCAGGAGCACGCACCATATGAGACCGCCCCAATGATCATGCCATCGAGACGAGAGCGCTCGAGCCACAGGTCTGTGGAAGGCACTAGGGAGGTCATCACCGAGACGGGTCACGGAGAGACCGAGGGAAGGAGAAAAAGAACGAACGGAGGAGATTCGGGCGCTCGAGAATCAGATGAGTCCCGGCATATATGCGCCAATTGCATACATATACTGGATCAAAGCTCTGATCAACCGTGTGGAGAAAAGGTCTGTCGAGGCCGACGACTCGGATCGGGAGCGCACAGGGGCGCACGCTAGCAAGCGGAAGCAAAATCCATGCTATCAGACCTCACTAGGCAGTCGAGTTGTAGTTAAGCCAAAAGACTGGGCTGTTGGCATCGTGATTAAATGGCGTTGACTTGGTAAGGGCGTAAGGGGAAAAACAGGCGCCTAGAAGCTGAGCGTTGAGCTAAGAGACTTGGCTTATCGGTACTAAGCAATGGCAAAGCAGAGTCTTTCAAAGATACGGTTAGTATGAGGCCCTGGGTCGCCGAAGTCGATGTAATGTCGAGCGGGTCGCTTCGTTGCACCTTGGAAGACCATACGAGGTACTTCAACCCCGAGAGAGACCGACATTAATGGAGAGCTCGGAGGTTGATGGTATGATGGAAACATACCCAAGTTTGGTATATTACCAATAAAACGCGGACGCAAACAAAGGCCTTGACTCGCGTCACATGATCGGAGGCTTTTTTTTACCACTCACGTCATGTCGGGTCGTGTCAATGTCTTGTGTCAGATTTGACAAGCCTGAGACGACTCCTTGCGATTCGTTTATCGCGGTTATAGACATTGGGCTCCCGTTGTCCAGGGTAAGTTGTCAAGTGTACCGCACTTGCTACAATCTAATGGGTTCTGATTGCACAGTTGAGCAATTAGCACCGTCGCACAGCCAGTGGTAGCAGATCTACCAACTATCCCTCGAGCTCGCTCTGCATCAGGGGTCTCCTAAACTGCGACATGACCTTGGTCCACATGTGCCCCTGACTGACATGAGGTATCCCACGACTGCCGCCCCGGAGCAAGAGGGTGATCAGATAACAGGGGCCAGCAGGGGCCAGCTCGGCGCAGGCGTTGTAAGCACATCGCCTCCGTCTTCTTCAAGTGATCACGATCGCCACCATGTTCTTCTGATTCCCACCAGAAGACATTCCTACGCTTCCATTGAATCCACCCAGATGGTTCCCCTTCTCACGGAGATCATCTCTTTCATCGCGTCGGACGAATACATCGGTGCGCAGGATGACACTCTCAAGAAGCTCAAGGAATTGCTTGCGCATGTAGAGGGTCATGTTGGGTGCGCTCATTTCCCCCGTATCCTTCCTGGATCGTTCAAAGCAACTCAAGAGGTATTGATTCATATCATCTTGCCGCGTGCGATCTACCAGGCTACTTCATGGGTTGCAAGTGGAGGACCGGAACGTCGGCTACATGATTATGCGTGAGTCGTGCTTCTCCTTCCTGCCCCTCCTTATCCGCACACTTGGGCCCGTTACCCCTAATGATGCTCGATTGCGTCAGCCATAAGCTGCCACAAGTCCTTGACGCCCTCTGACGTACATATCTGATCGGCATCACAGTCTGGCAGTCAGAAACACACTACGAGGCCTACATCGACTCCGAGCAATACTCCGACGTCCAAGAAAACCTCCTCAGAGCTGTCGATGACACGCGATACAATTCAGTCTTGACCGAACTCAGGAAGGATGGTTCAGCGGCAGTGAGCGGACTCGAGCTCGCGGTCGTGACTCTGGCAGAGGACAAGTCAGGCGAAGACATCAGCGAGTTTCCGGGGAAACTGGCGACGGAGGACCAAGAGATGGTGATATCTGCTGAATGGCCGTACCCGCTTGGCCAGGCAGGCAGGCCGGTGTTGGTGCTTGGATGGATAGCGTCCGAGGTGCGTCTTCCCTACCGCGTCAAATTCCGTGCCTGAGGCTCAAATGAAACGGTATTTGTAGGTACGGCAGGAGATAACAGACAACGTGGCGGAGGCAGTGGCCAAGATCTTTTCATCCAGTCTGCAGATGTCCGACATCAAAGTTGTGCATTGTTCATGCAGAGCGCTACAGTAACGCGACGCCAAAGTATCTTGCCCTGAAAATGCGGTACCGATTGGACCGTCGGCAAACATGATTTATGCACGGGTTCATTTTCAATTGCCCTCGCGATCCGCTGATGGTGGCGCACGGAGGAGGCCGAGTATGCAGACATAGCATTTAACGTGAAGAACTTGGTTATGTTCCCAAAGGCGGGAATGGGTTCATCACTAGGCACGCCTGGTCCTGATATCTTTGTATTCGATTGTATGAAACGTTACTAAACGTTACCACCGTCCATCACCGTCATGTATTTTTGCTGCTATGATGCCAATCGTACATGAGGCACGCACGACAACGTGTACGTGCTTTATTAAATATCGTTGATCCGTCGTCTGCATATCATACCGAGACACGTTATTTGTTTTCTTACGATGGATACCACTCGTCCTGTGCAGTTCTCCTGATTGGCGATGGTTGACACAGACACTGATGTTCCAAGGGGCACTCGGCGTCAATACACTCGATTGATGCCCTCTACCGGTACGTAACGTTGAGATCCAACGGTTCCAAAGTGACAGCGCTCTCCGAGGACGCCAACCGTTGCGAAGTGCAAAGGATTAAGTCGACAATGCCGGACACATATATGTACAAAATAAGAAGGATGGACGTAACCCCAAGCATAATATTTACGGCATTCTAGTCCAATATGACAGACCTCACGCTGAATTAAACCCAGCTTTTAATAACTCCGGCAAATTGTCAAGGCGTTTAATCACTTTCAATGCCGAGAACGCCGTGCGCAAGTCCTTTGATCTCTCGGAGGCGTGTACTAAAACTGTGTCCACCCCGCGGGGTTGCTGCAGTTGGGATAACTTCGCCTCTTTATAAGTCGCTAGACTGTAAACGCGAAGTTCAGATGACCATACCAATTATACCGTAAACCGTCGGTAGCCGGACAGCATAGTGATCGCGCAAATGCTGTGATTAAGTCATGGTCACCTATGCTCGCCTCCCTGTATTAGTTGGAATGGAGACGACAATATGCAGATGGCCCAGAAGAGCAGGCAATCGGTGTCAGTGTTGGTGAGAAGCTGACTTCAAGCTTCAATCACTATGATCGTGCTCAGCTAAGAGCCGGCACACGTTCTAACTGCTTATCTTTCGTTTCTGAGCACAGGGAGAAATTTAACTGACACCTCGAGGGAAAGGACAGAGTTGGAGTCAGGGGTAGATTGGAACCAGATCCATCCGAGATGTGATGTACGTTATCAGAACGCAGAGGATAGAAATTGAGTATATCGCCCCGGACTCGAGTAGAACAATCGCCACAGCCACTGGGCTACTTCGAGATGATTGGCGCACGGACTCGGAGCCGCTCACTTGACGATGAAGGTGAACAACTCGGGCAGCTATCAATACTAAACCAAAACCAGTCAAAGATTTCGGTGAAGAGATCTTCTGAACGTACATGTGCAGCCCATGTGTACTACAAAGCTTACGGAGAATAGGGCTACACTTACGGGGCCGAATTCGCTAAGCCAGAGCAGAAAGAAAGCACCCAAAGCTTGGTCCGTCAGGTGAGGAGATAGTCAAACTATCAGAGTCTTCACTCACGAATACTGATGAGGAACCCAACCAACATCCGTTTGTCCTTGTCCCATATCTTCCAAAGCCTGTATAGCTAGAGAGCGGGAGGAAGAAGTGAGCCTCCGTAACTTGCCATCGCGAGGTAGAAGATACCATGAAACCGTCTCCTAGCCACATTTGCATGAGAAAGGCAGCCACCTGGACAATCTGAGCGACCCCGAGATCGATGTTGCCCAATCTAATACCATTTTCCGACATGTCCACATATGGTTGGTAGATATTGGCAACAATATGCTGGATTGCCGATGAAAACATCAGCATGTCCCCAAGAAGAGCAATCATGGCCGGACTCAGTGTGGTTGCAACGAGAAACATGAGGGTCACTACAACCAATACAGGCTTGTTCACCGTTACGATCTTGCGCCTTGCTCGAGTGGTTATTACGTAAACGTCGAGCACCAATAGCACTGCGAATGCACCTGTGCGTCGGGAGCGTGGTCAGCACAGCACGCGTGGCAATGAAGCACTGAGGCGCACCATAAAGGATCGCCTCTGGGAGAATGTTCCACAGAAAGGTCACTGGAACATACCCATCATAGACGAACTCCGTCGAGGAGTCGAGGTTCAACGCGTCCACACGTCGGCTCAGCATGTCCATGGATCAATTGCAAGGTGTTGGAGGTTAGTGAGAGAGGACGCGCCGGGCAATATTGGGACGATACCTGGGCGCCTATGTGTGCTAAGTATACTGTAAGTGGGATGAATACGCGTGCATCTTCTGATGCTCCAACTCGGGCTCTATATATTTAGCCGCCCAGCGAAGATGGCCTCTCGATTCCGTTGCTACTATGCTGGAACCCGCAATGAAATCCGTCACCCGCAATGAAATTAATTGTACCTAGCGTCCGTAGTTTTCATTTCTCTACCAAGCCGCGCAATACGGACATAGAGTAGTTTCATTAGATGGCCCATGTTCAATCTTGTAGGTATATACTTGAAGGGGCAGGGGAGGGACAGTCGAATTTCATTGCAGGTGACGGTTTTCATTGCGGGTTCCGGCATAGTAACTACACAGCACACGCCCCGATGACTCCCACGCAGCTGGCCAGTCAGCAACTAACCTGCTATTTTAGGATGTGGTTGACGAACGGTCGTCAATATCGGTCACAGAGACTAAAACGATCCGGGTGATGATTACGTTCCCTTACCCTTGGATTCTTACGGCGTAAAAGTTGGCATGAAAGTCTGCAAGTTACACCCCAATACGCGTCAAAATGCACTCGAAGTCCGCGTTGATTCAAGGTGCTACGTAGTCTAATATAAGTACATCCAGCCTGAGAACTTCACAAAGACGCAAAACCGAAAACCGAAAATGCCGAAGCCGAACACAGGGCCGTGCACTTCTGTTGGTAGCTGACAGGGATACTTTCTCGTCGAACATTCACTCTCCTCGGCCTCGGATCATGGCATCCATTACATAGCCAACCTGCATCCGCGCTCGAACTCGTTGAAACTGGCGGACAAGCCTGACCCAGCAAGTTCGGCGGAGTTCGCCCTAATATCGCCGATTTCTGGCACGGCGAACGCTAATGGCAGAGTGGCCATGTGCACTTTTAAATACTTCTCAGCAGATACGCCAAGGCCCATCCTGACGATGATTATTGAGAATGTGATACCCTAGAAGGCAAATCAGCAAAAAGAAAGCAAACTTGTGGGTTGAGACTCACGATTAAAGACGGCATCTGTGACATGCGCGTGAACGAGGACATTGAGTATCAGGGAAGATAGCATGGAAAGGGAAACTCACGGCGTTCATGGCGATCTGTACAGGGTCACAATTACCACTGTAAGAGTACCTAGTAGTAATCAAGAGGCATAACATGGCCGCCGAGTACATCGCGCCAGACTCGAGTATCGCAGCTGCGACTGCAACGAGACTAATGCGACTGTAGCTATCCGTAATATGAGTCACCGGTTGATGAATGTAGATGATCCGCGCGGCAATCAACACTTCGTAAGGACTTGGTTAGCTTTGGCCTACTTAGATTGAACAACTGACATACCCGTACAGCTGAGATGAACGGCGAAACTCGCAGCATAAGCGGACATGAGAACTGGGTACCACCAGCTGATACTAACTCCTTCATGGTTGACGTGATCTACAACCGTCGCGCATGTCAATACTATACCCAATGCTTTGAAAATGTGGAATGTTTAGGTGCTTGTTAACGGGTAACGTGTGATGGTCCTCACCAGCATCTACGAAGAATCCGACGGAAATTGGTACAATCACACGCAAGTCGTTGTTCCAAACTTTGCATAGTCGATACAGCTTGATGCAACCGATCAACATGCAATAGTCTATCGCAATGTGTAAGCAAACTGACGCACCATAAAACCATCGCCAAGCCAAAGCTGGATGGAAAATAAGGCTGTTTGGACCACCTCCATACTCGCTATTTCAAACCCGAGCTTCGACGGTACTTCAAGCGATGAAGTACCCTTGTCTCGCACAAAGCGCCAAATTTCTTTCCCAAGTTGTGCAGACTCCATGTTCCCAAAATTTATCTCACAAAGTGTAGAAACGATATGCTAGATTGCATGAGTCTGTTAGTGCCCATTTTGAAAGCGAAGATCGAAACGGACCACTGTCGCAACAATATACATCAGAGAAACAACAATGAGGACCGGCCGATTGCCCTTCGCGTCATTGTGTTCACGCCGAGTGGCGATGATATAGGCGTCCAGCACGATAAAGATGCTGAACGCGCCTATGAATGACAAAAGTCAGCACACGAGGGACGACACGATGAACCATGGCTTACCATACAATATGCACTCGGGAACTACGTGCCACATTGAACATACCATCAAGTCTAGGAGGGCGTCCATACTGTGTCGACAATGTGTACTGAGAGCCATTTGTCGGAGGTCTTATAGGTGCTTGTTGATATGTCGGCTGTGACATCGCACCATCTCATGTCGAAAGGCTGATGCTGGAGCTATGGCGGGGATCAACCTGCATCGGGAAGAAACCTAGTCCGCACTGTATCAATCAGCGACTTTGTTCCCTCTCTGGATAGAATAGAGGTTGGGAGCGCGTCGAGCGCGTAGTAGAGAAGCCCAAAAACAAACATACAGCCTCGAGACAAGAGTGCATCGCGTTGTGCTAAGCCGTTAGGTTTGAGGGTTCGGAGCCGCCTGCTGGCAACATCCGATGAACACGAGGCTATACCTTCGAATTCCACGTATGGGGTGTGTATGTGAAGTACTTTAGACGTGCGTCTGTTTAGAGTTCTCCGCGTATACTTTACTTCCAGTGCATGATTGTGCGCGTATTTGAGAATCCACCAACGTGCATGTTGCTTCCGGTGATTTTTAAAAGGAACGTCGGGAAAATAATTTGATGCGGACAAGGCATGGAAGCGTGGCCGTGCTCTTGCGCAAAATGTACGATTCGAAGATCGGAGAACACTACTAGGTTCGGGATAAGGCAGCGTTGTGAGCGCTTATTGACAATCTCGGGTATCACATACACCTTGCGAGACGCGGAGCACGAATAGATTACTGTCTACAAGGCAACCTCGCTCCGCTGCGGCACTTAGGGATTTTGTACTGGGAAGGAAACCTGGAAGACGAGTAGCAGACACATTGCCCGCTTAGTAGTAGATCGATCCATCGGTACGCGTCACGCGTCAGAAGACTTTTGTCTTCGCCTTGTGGATAAGCAACTCAGGCAAGGACTTCAAGGCTGTGAAGCAGAGGTAAGTAGGAGGTAAATTCGAGAAGGACGGTTGAGCAGACTCGGTCAGGAGCTAATTGGCTGAACGAACAAGCTGGGAGCCGGGACGGGGTTGTGAGCGGAGTTTAAAGTTTAACCCTGTGTGCTTGCATTTGCGTGTTTTTTTTTTCGCTCGCAACTTGCCACAATGGGCGTCTGTTATGTCAAAGCCATTTAAACCTCTTCTAGCGCTCGTAGTGAGCCGCATCCGGACCTGGAAGCTCCTGAACTTGACTTTTAACTTCGCTGATGCGCCTATCACTGCGGATCACTTGCAGGGATGGGGTAGAGTGCGTACCTTTACAAGCTAGAAAGGTACCTCACAAGAGAACCTACGAGCGAAAGGCTTTGAATTACGTCATATCCTCCTCGTGTTTACGGCCCGACAATGAGTCTGACTGGTGAGTGCTACAGAGTGTTACTCCTCCACTGCGGCAAACAGACGGCTTTCGCAGCTCCTTATCTCGCTTGAAGTCACGCGAACACGCAGTGGGTCGGGTACGCTGTTATGCTGGAAAATGTTCAGATCTCACTCTCAGAGACTTCCATTTCAGAAGCTTAGATCGGCGCTCTTTACGAGGTCGCATGGTGTCGCCTGGCGCGCGTCGTGAACAAATATTGCTTCCGCTTCCGTTTTGCCGCACTGCCGCTCACTGGTTAACTTGAGTCCGTGTGCCGCCAAGTATCCATTCAACGTTGTATCAGTAATGGTCCTGACAATCGCGGTTCAGTGTCTTACCCCACATCAAGAATGCGGGGCCCCGCGGAGCCCCGTATTCTACCTCCATTCTCCAATATGTTGCTCATCTCAGGGCTCACTTGCTCACCTGCACTGCAACTGACAGTTAGGATCATCTCGGGTTGTACTTTGCAAGGCGGAACTCCGCGTTTTTGCTGTCTTTGGCTGGATTGTCACTGGGCATCGCTCGTATGGAGCTTCCGTCTTGCACTTCGTTTCCCATGCCATCTTATCTCTATTGAAGTATCGATTTCACGAGGAAGATGGAAGTCAAAGCGCCTATCTCGACATCAAACGCCACCACTCAGGCTCTATCAAATCTATTTTGGTTGCATTTATGCTCTTTTACGAAAACCGACACCTGGCAGACGTCTGGTATCCGAACATATGTCAAGTGCTAAGCCATGTAAGTTACATGATGGTAACTGACGCTGCCAGTCTTTATTACCAGCTATCTTATTTCCACCTGATTGACTCCTCATGCTTTACCACTTTGGTTTCTTGACTTGAAAACTCCGCGAAGCCCGAAGCTTTGATGTTCATGCAAAGGTTATGTCGCGTGTACGAGTGTAAATTGCGTTTAAAAAGTCCTCATCTCAAGAACGGAGCGCATCGGAACGATGCTGGTCGTGCCTCGGTTTGGTCATGAGGCTCTGACACATAGTATACTAACCGACAAGCTGGGTCTGTACCTCCCCAGTCGGTGACCAGGTTTCCGAGTACGAGGCCCCCGAAATCATTAGTCGCTGACTGCGGATCTTAGATGACATGGTGAGTCCGGACCCGTGTCATACTGAGGCACACGGGGCAACGCGGGGCAGCGCGGGGCACCCCCGATTTTAACCTTATATGTAAGGAAGTTGTCATACCGAGGTGCTTCGGTGTTGAACAAATGTGCTGTATCGCGTCTGGGTGCTGTAAGTACAACATCATTACTGACCGCGCTTGAAGATGGCATCAATGCATACGAAGGTCGACCTTCCGCCTTCGAGCGTCAGCGCTAATCCGCTGACTGGTGGATAATACTGCCTCCCAGCTGGTGATATATTGATACGCCGATCCTTCTCGCTAATTGGCGGAGTGGGTAGATGTTTTGGCTGAGTAATGAAGGCAAGGTAAGGAAGGGTAAGGATAGGTTGCCATGTCGTGAGTAACGAAGCCGGAGTTATTGATTTTCAGACATCTCGAACTTGTCCCGGCCATATGAAGATTCGGAGCTTATAAGATTAGATCTCCGTTCATTGGTTTACGCCTGTTTTTCAAGTTTCTCTGACTTGCAAAGGGGACATAGCGACAACATAGCGAGCAAGAACCTTCCTATTGAATGTATATTCCGTGACGCCCTTCCGAGGCGCTTGTTTAGGAGACTGGAAGCTCTTAGAGATCAATTCACTGGGGGCGGCGTCGGGAGCGTAGACGCTTGTGGAGGGGAGCAAATGGTCATGAGATAGGGGTACCCCAGACACCAGCTTCTGGGTATATCCACCGCATCTGAATGAGAATGATATCACGGTGTTCCGCTCGTTCGCATATAAAGAGTCCCTGTGACCGGATCTCTCTGTCCACCACACCTCAGTACCCTCTTCAACCATGCCTACCTCCTTCGAATACGAGTTCAAGACCCCCCTTTACAAGGGCAAGGTTTCCTTCCCCACTGGTGTCTACATCAACGGCCAGTTCAGGGACGGCTCCGACGGCACGACCATCGAGTGCGTACTCACCTTCATTTCGGGGATTGCTGATTGATCATGCCGTTCCGACTATCAGCGTCTTCAATCCCAGTATGTGCAGCACAATCTGTCCTCGCTCCTGCATTGCTAACGCCAACTAGGTACCGGCCAGGTCCTTACCAAGATCTCCGAGGCCACCGCCAAGGATGTCGACCTCGCCGTTGAGGCTGCCACGAAGGCGTTCGAGTCTTCGTGGGGCCTGAAAGCCCCAGGAGCCCAGCGTTCCATCCTCATGCACAAGCTCGCCAACCTCATGGAGCAAAATCTTGAGGAGCTTGCTGCCCTCGAAGCTATTGACAACGGTACGTTTTCTTCGATCTGCTATCTTTACAGTATTCTTCGTACTAATCAATCCACTATGCAGGCAAGACCTTCAACTGGGCAAAGAACGCCGATGTCGCTGGTGCCATCGACTGTATCCGGTACTACGCTGGCTGGGCAGATAAGATCACCGGTCAGGTCATCGAGACAACTGAGGCCAAGCTCACCTACTCCCGACACGAGCCAATCGGTGTTGTCGTACGTGTCCATTTGTGCCCTGGGCTTCTCAGTCATACTCACAATGGCGTTCCATAGGGGCAAATCATCCCATGGAACTTCCCTCGTGAGAGAAGCCGTGATCTCTTCACCCGCGTCATACTTACGGCACCTTTATAGTGCTAATGTTGTCCTGGAAGATCGGCCCGGCCCTTGCCACCGGTAACGCTATCGTCATGAAGCCGTCCGAGTTGACGCCCTTGACTGCCCTCCGGATGTGTTCCCTCTTCACGGAGGCTGGATTCCCCCCTGGTGTCTTCAACCTCGTCACCGGCTACGGTCACACCGTCGGCAATGCCATTACGGTTCATGAAGGCATTGAGAAGGTCGCATTCACCGGCTCGACCCTCGTCGGTCGTAAAGTCATGGAGGCTGCGGCTAAGTCTAACCTCAAGAACGTCACCCTTGAGCTCGGCGGCAAGAGCCCAAACATCATCTTCGACGATGCTGACATCGAGAAGGCCGTCAACTGGGCAGCCTTCGGTGTTTTGTACGCCAGTTTCGCTAGTTTTCATGAAACACAATCCAATTAACACGACTGCAGCTGGAACCACGGCCAGACTTGCTGTGCCGGCACCCGTGTTTTCGTACAGGAGGGTATTTACGATAAATTCCTTGCAGCGTTCACCGAGAAGATCAAGAGCATCAACGTCGGTGACCCCTTCGGCGAGAGCACTTGGCACGGTCCTCAGGTTTCTCAGGGCCAGTACGAAGTACGTGCTCGCACTTTTCAATGGACGGGCCAACACTGATTTTCGTGCCATAGCGTATCATGGGCTACATCAAGTCTGGCAAGGAGGAAGGTGCCAAAGTTCATGTCGGTGGCGAGCGCCACGGCACGGAGGGCTACTTCGTCCAGCCCACTATCTTCACCGAGACGAAGCCCAACATGAAGATTGTCCAGGAAGAGATCTTCGGTCCCGTCGGTGTTCTCATCAAGTTCAAGGACGAGGAGGATGTCATCCGCCAGGCGAACGACACTGTCTACGGCCTTGCCGCCGCCGTCTTCACAGAGAACCTCAACCGCGCGATCGAGACCGCACACAAGCTCAAGGCCGGCACGGCCTGGATCAACTGCGTCAACCAGCTGCACAACAACGTGCCGTTTGGTGGGTTCAAGCAGAGCGGCATTGGCCGTGAACTTGGCGAGTACGCGATTCACAAGTACGTGATGCCCGTTTCTCTTTTGTTCCGGCATATCATCGGACGGGTTGCTGATACGCCCATTCTTTATCGCACAGTTACACCAACGTCAAGGCCGTTCATGTCAACCTCAGGGTTCCCATGAACATTTAAGGCGATGGCTCTCGCGGGGTTGGTATATAAAAAGCAGTGGAAGGAAGGCGCAAAAATGTAATATTTGATATCATTGTATCTCTAAGCATAGAATCGCACTACCCGGTTTTGTTCATGTAGTTATTCACATATCCATGTCGACATGTTTCACCGCGTCTGTTCTCAGGTTCAACACCGTGATTCAGTGATGGGCGCTGAGAGAAGATTTGGCGATGGTGAATCCATCATAAGAATGGAAGCTCAACGCATGACCATGAGAGATGCTGTGATAAAAGTCGTTTGCAGTCATACGTCGCGATGGAGGCTGGGAGGCTGGCCCGTTGGCTCAAAATATGATTTTTGGCAATATCACATCGTAAAGATGGGTCGCTGTAAAGCCGCTGGGCGTTGCCGCCATGTGACGGTGGCTGAAGCGCTGAAGTCTTTAGGCGATCTGACCGATGGTTTCCAAACATGCAACGGCTGCGGGTGGCTGACGTTGAGTGTGCGTCCCAGAGGTCAGAAATATCTCGCACAAAAGTTCGGAGCATGTGGAACAGAATGACCGTTCAAGCAGACGTTGGACACTGCAATGTGATGGAGCAGATAGCGTGATATGACCAGAAAAAAACCGCCTTCCTACGCAACGATAGGCGGTCGGTGAAAAGGCATCTAACTCAAAAAGGTTGGACCGGACAAGGCGGGATCTTTGAGAAATAATCGAAATCTGGAGAGAAGTTATTCTTCCTGTGCTAGGGTAGGGTCTAACGTCAAAAGAAAGCCGGGTGACTGGAATGAGAAGTCGAATCTCTACACATGGTACCCAGCGCTAATGGCTATCGCGGTGGAGAAAAAGGCTCCAATAGCATGATTTATTCCTGTAAGTCCTCGGGTCGCATGCTATATAGTAGACCATAGCCCCCGTCCAATGCACGACCGAACCCTGAAGATCTGAAGATACATCTCCCCGAGTTCCAGTGAGAGATACTACGCCATCGGCGGAGACATTTTTGGCTGGCGTTATCAAGGACTCACGGCGCGCTACTTATGATTGTTCGGTGCCATGGCATGAGGCTGCAGAAGGCTCCGGAAGAAGGGTCATATCCGCTTCATGTCCGAAATGAATATGGTTTTAGACCTGAGGAGCTGGGGAAGGGCTAAGAGAGAGACTCTGAAACAGGGCAAATTGAGCAACAATTGAGTTTGGTTTGATAGTTGCCTAGCTGATGCAGGCATGGGTCCGTGTTGCCACGCCGCACGTTGTAAAGACAATCGAAGGCTTGCGAAGTCACGTCATTGTGAATGGATCGGAAGACAATGACACAGCCGCCGACAGATGCCGACGCGAGGGCGCCCGCCGCCTATGCTTCGAGCCCCGCGGGCTGGGCAACGATGCCGACTTCTCAGTGTCACCGCAAGGGTCGATGGGATAGAGATGCATGCATCGATGATTAATTGATTGATGGAGGCGTTGCCGCACTTCGACTGAATTCAAACTCAGTTTCAACGTAAGCCCTCCCGTTGCTCCGCGACAGTCGCGACGTCCCTTGTCTTTCGTCGCGTCTTTGTCGAGCACGTCGAGCACAACCAACTGCCAGACGTCAAACGATTCTTTTCTACTCTCTATGTCAACGACGCCTCATATCAGGCCGACCGAGAAGAAGCCAGACGAAGGCAGTGACGAATACAGCCATATGCAGTTCGTGAAACAGGGTCTCGAAATCAACCAGCGGTTGAGGAATGGCCACATCCCAGCGCAATATTCCGCCAAGCTCCAAAGTACGTACACGTGTTCTCAGCAAAATGTTCATCCTCCCCGGCTGTTGCTGTCCGAGTTTGTGCTCTCTCATGCACATGTATCGCGGGCGCGGATCATCCCCTAGAACCTTTTGACATGCACGTGTCCGGACCAATAAACGCGTACGATTAAAGTGACTCCGGCTCTGCTGTGCGTATGGCACCTTAACCTTGTTCTTTTGAGAGACTAAGCCATCCTAGTGGAGTAATCGCTCTCGAGTGTGCGGGTATGGATGCTCAAAACAGAGAACGCGCCCACGGGGGTGCCTTAGGGTCATAAGCGAGTTTTGGACAATTCCCAATTTCCCACATCCTCGGAGCGGCAAATGCCCAAGGCTGCTACGTGACGAACAGGCGGATGCGGTACGTCCAATCGCACGCGAGGGCGGATCTCTCTTTCCTCTGGACTGTTGGATGCGATGAACTGTGATGTTATGATGGACTTACATCGCACAGAGGCCTTGTTCTCAAAATGTCCCGGCTTGAGAATGAATGCTCGCGTGGCACTCTCGTGGCACGGTTTCCCGCCTTTACTATCCTTGGGCTCATCTCTGATGCCGGCGGTTGCGTGAAAGGCTGGGTAAGGTTCCGGGGAGTCCAACCACGCTTCTTTGTGATGGTTGTTCCGTCGCAATATCCCGAGGCGTTTGTAGGTCTTGGGCTGCCCTTCTCTTCGAGCCATTATGCGGCCTTTGTATTTCCCTGATCTAGCCGCGCATCGGTTATCAAACAAAGCACCGTAGCAGCTGTCACATCCTTTGCGACCCCGACGTGCGTCTTCTCTGTCTCCACTGCTGTAGGCGACCCATGGAAACAACCCGAATTCTTGCCCACACATGGACCAATAGATCTGACAGCCACGGCGTCCCTCTGCCTGGGGCCTTACCTCACCCATCTTTCAGACTGATCGCGCGTCTAGTCCGGTTTTAGACTGCGTTGTATTATTGGTAGTACCAAGATCTGTGATCTGGACGCCGCTTCGGATTACCTGTCCGTATTAGTGGCGAGGGGGCAATTGGCAACAGATGCATAGCCTGTGTGTGTCGATGACATACTGTACTCACGTTGAACATGATATAAAGGCGTCTGCTCGGAATGCAAGCATCATCTGCCTTCTTCATTCGTGCACTCGACTTGATTCATCCATTTAGATTTCTTCCTTCGGATCCACTCTTACGCTTTACTCTTACAGCTTTTTAATAATCATGTCTCAGTGAGTAGCAGATCTCTGACGCTCTTGGTCTTTGGGCTCATCGTTTGCGCACTCACTAGGAACCCGGCCCAGCGCATCTATCAGTGCGAGTTTTGCTCATTCACGGCGAAGCAGAAAAGGAATCTGGAGGCGCACAAGTCCACACAGTAGGGGATCAAAGTTCATTGCCGCATTGACGGTAGCTAACTGTGATTTTGATCGTCTCGCAGCACTGGTGAAAAACCACACTTGTGCCCGAATTGTGAATCCGCCTTCGCCGATCCATCTGCTCTCGTTCGCCATCGCAAAGCAAAACACGGGTACGAAACGAAAGGGCGTCGTACCAGCCCGCAGATTCCAACAGGAGACGGCGTGTTCGTTCACGAACCCCATTTCGGTGGTCCCGCGGGACAGTCACCCTACCCAGTCCAGACTATGCCGCATCAGACGTACAGCACCCCATCATCACAGCCGGGAAACAGTGGGTACAGCACGTACCCGCCTTGCCATAATGCAAGTCAGCCAGGTTCGCACCATAGTACACCAATCACCGTTACATGTTTTCACTAAGCATTTGCGTTTTCTACTTTCCATGGTGGCCGTTCATTCTTTGCCCCTTCATCAGCGCCCTACCCGACAGACTCCTACTACCGGCAGCAAGCTATGCAGAATGGTAGCATGATGGGGTCCGACCAAGTACAAGGCGCGATCGGCCGCCAGGACCATGGCACTTCCGCAGGCTACTCGTACCAGTCTCCCCAGGCTGGTAATCCCCAGTACGACGGGTACGGCCAGCTCATCGACTACCCCGCCTACAATCAGGTTCCTTCTGGCTGGCCTAACACTGCTGTGTATCCTGTGCCGCCGAACGGCTATGACCATCAGCAGCAGTGGCCGGACTCGTACGGGTCCACGAACAGGAACCCCTTCGCTTAACTATGATGACGCTGTTACGTTGCCCTCGCCCACGTCTCTCCACATCTTGATTGTCTTGATGATATCTGCACTACGCTCGCCAATCGTTCAAGGACTGTTATTTACTGTATTCCCCGCTGGTCCACCGGCTTAAGCTTATTTAACTGAATTATTACCTTCGCCTTCGCTTCTCTATTTATTCGGGTCATGCAGGAACTCGACCGTATATCGACTTTATTTATCCTTATGTAGCGTTATGTACTTTAGAACTAGAGTTAGGGGTAATTTGTCGTTATACTTGATGTGATAACGTTGTATGTATACTATGCCCACCATATGTCCCGTATAGATCTGGGTTGACATCCACCCCATGCATGTCCGAACGTCTAGACGTTTAAGAGGCAACAATTGGTACACCACAGGATCTACGTTCGAGGACCATGCGCCGTGATCAAGGGTGGATCCATAAATGGCTCTGGAGCTTCTTTGACCGGCGATTAGTAGAGTTGATCCCGCGGTGGAAGACTTGATGATGCCATCCCACGTAACCCATATTGTCTTCGCGGATAACTTTACTTAACAAGGGAGAAACTAGGAAGGACCCTAGATGACATACAGCGCCATTTCCAGACTACTACAGCATATCTCCACATGGACTCTTCATAGCCTCTAGTCACGCAAGAGATCCGCAGGACGAACAGTTAAATTGATCAAACTTTGAAAACGCTATGCGCAGCTGTGAGACCGAGATACACCAATTCTTTTGCAACACTCCATGGTTCGATGGTCCCGGTCAGATTTGTATGATCGACACGAACCCGCGACACTTGAGTGGCGCCGCGTTACGTGGATGACGCCAAAACGGCCATGTGGCACTCATGGTTATCAATAATAGATATTGTACACATGACGAGCTTCATCTGTTTCAGAGCTGCCTCGTGTACCGTAAAATCAGACCGTGCGTCCACAAACGAAGAGTTGTTACTTTGAAGACGGCGATAGCAAGAACTGGCGTTACGTAGTACGTGATATCACAACTTCGACCGTCGCAGGTGTAGGAAATTCGGAGGCTCCTTTGACTTCGACATTCCCGCTTTCACCGCCTCGGCTAAGTCCTGTATCGACATTTGTTATTTCGCTGATAAGACAAGCAACTAGCACATGGCACTCACAGAGGTTTGGAGCATTGCTGAGTTCCACGTCGCGGTGTATTCTAGGTTTTCGGCCACGCTTCATGATCCAATGTGTGAGCAACAGATTTTTTGTTCCGGCGGGTGATCTCACCTGTGATCCCTGGCGTGGATTAACAAACGCTTTGTCCCCGCGACAGCGACAGGGCTTTTGGACGCGATCGCCTTCGCAAGCTCTAATGCAGCGGCAACGACACCGTTTTTGCCTCCTTCGACGACGTTGGACACGAGGCCAAGCTTCTCTGCCTCGGACGCGGAGAAGGGACGCGCGCTCAACGCCAGCTCGCGAGCCAGCGACGAGTTGCCAGTAACTTTAGGAAGATGCGCGAGCGACCCTATATCCGCAGCAAGCCCCATGTCTACTTCCTGTGAGAGCATGGGATGGGGGTTGGGTGGATGGGTGAGATGTCGCACAGGACGTGGGGCAAAAAGAGCGGTACCTTGATGGAAAACTTAGCATCCGAAGCGGCATAGCGCACGTCGCACGCAGATATGATATCGAAGCCCAGGCCGTAGACAGGGCCATGTACAGCAACGATGACCGGGTACGGGCATCTCTCCGGGGCGGCTATGGCGTACTGGAACTTGAGAATGGTGTCGCGGAGCGATACAGCAACCCGGGCTCCGTCTCCGCCGCGGACTGCTGTGGAGGCGAGGCTTTGGACTGATCACGGGGTAGTCCCTGAGGTCTGATAGATCACGACTAGTCAAACGGCGGACGTACAATCAATGCCTGCGCTGAAGATCTTGGGGAGCGCTGAGGAGAGGACGACGACCCGGATGTCGGCACTGGTCTGCGCGGAGATCTCGTCGAACACGCGGGAATATTCGGTCCAAAACCTATGCCCAGATGAGATTGAGGGACAAAGAGTAGATTTGATCCCTCACTCTTCGTGGAACGCGTTGACTGGCTGCCTGAGCAAAGTTGAGTTTCAATGACAAGTAGTCCGGCGCTTGTCAGTTGAGGCTCACCTGTTCAGCTCCACCAGCACTACATGCTTCGAGGGTGTGCTGACCTTGATGTTCTTTCCTTCGAAAGTGAACATGTTGCTAGAAGACGTGAGTCCAAGAGGACGTGGTCTCGCAAGACTTTACATATTGCCGGTGGTGTGACGAGGAGACGACACCGGGAGCTGACAGTGGCCGGGTCGGGCAAACACGGTCATGTGATTGTGCGCTTATTGATATATAGATAGTGCTTACTCAGAGTTATTACTCTTGACGCCAAGTTCGAATTCACCTTTGATTCGCCTTGTACAGTCGCGGACAGGTAAAGTTGGTCCATTGGCATATTTATCAACGTGTTTGACTTCCTTCGCTGAAATATGCAGCTGTACCTGGCTATGACCAATCGACGATCAACATGCAGAGATAATATTCGATTACTTAATGGTAAGTCTTCAGTACACTTATGATTTCAGTACACCGTAGTGTTTAATCAGACTGTCAACACCAGGTTTAGATTCTCTGAAACTTTGCTCCTCCTACTACAACGTAAGCACAAAGGTAGACGCACTTCCTCTGCCCGCCAACTTCGAAAACAGCATTCTTTTTCCAAGGTGTTCATGCCCTATCGGGATTTTGAGGCCCTTTTAAACTTTCGATGGTACTCAGCCTTGGTCTTCAAGGCAAATTAGACAAAATCCAAGAAATCGACCTGTATCAAAAGAGTGTGGGCACCCCGAACGAGCCAATATCCCAAATAATCCGAATCGAGGTCTTCTAGCGTCGTCAGTAGTCCCATTTTGATTTTCTTCCAGTCAAGGCAGCGCTCTTAAATGCAGGACTCGAGGAAGAAGGCGAGAGCTTTCCGATCGACTCCCGAACGGCGTGAATCACCCATCGCTGTTTTACCCAATTGCGAGTGGTTTGATTTAGAAATCACACTCACAAGCCTGTACAGCGCTCGTCTCCAAGTTTCTTCGCTGTTTCGTGAGCCTCTTTTTATCGGGTAGCCTGAAACGAGTTTCAAAATCATTGCTATCATTCTTAAATTTGAGGTCCTCAGCGGCTTCGACAAGTCTAACAGAAGTTTTACATTTCTTCCCAGTCCAGTCTGTGTTTGGTCAACAGCTATGTAGCTTTCGTTGGTGTCTGCTCCATGAATTGAAGGCTCGCCACGCCACTAGTTGAGCCTTTCTTGCGGGCCGTCAAGCCGTTACAGCTTCGCGTCCCAGTGTTCTTGAACGTCTGATCGGGAGCCTTGCAGATACGGTACTTGGTGCGTGCTAATCTCGATAGAGAAGGCTGAACCCACTGGAGGCTGTGTCCAAGCCTTGGAAATTCTGTAAGGGGAGTCATTGATATATCATTTTACCCGCTTCATCACTTCGTAATCCACTGATACTACCGTACAGGTTTCTTCAACCGTTTGCGATATAGTTGACCTTGCCACTTCGTTTTCCCCAAAGAGGATGGCTTCGAGCGCTATTTCCAACACATTAGTACGATTGTGCCAGCGTGACGAACAAAATGATGTTCGTTATCAGGGTGCCCTTGTTCCCATATGATGTGACCAGCAAGCCAACAGCTAGAGCAGGACGCTCTGTCCCCCAGACTTGACCTCCTCCACGCAGGTCTTATGGCGAAGGTTTGCTCGAATAGTTGCGAAGCATCTGGATAGGTCGTCGCGAATTATTCCCTGTGAATTGTTAATTGTCGATTCGGTGGCGGTTGCTAGCGACGACATCAATCTGGGAGGCCATGACTAGAGTGATGAATTAAGAAAGAAGAACTACGGTCCTGTCTTTCAAGCATCGGGGCGTCGAGCGCTTGAACCTGTTTCGGTCACTTGGTCTTGTGTAAAAACATGCTTTTAGCTGTTTATCTAAGCTCTTGCTTGTTATTATTTGATTGCCGTTCTAGCGGAATCAATACCGTTAACCTCGCCATGACATACACCCAGGGGCTTTGGAGGTCAACGCTTTGAGACACATTCGACCTCGGATGAATGCCTCACGCACTAACTCAGCTCTAACATGTAACTGACTCAAGCCAGAGGCCCAGATGGAAGAGTCTAGCCGCTGGTATGTGACTCAGGATACAGTAGACCGCAGTGTCTGAACCCCTCGCGCATGTGCGGTCCGGGCTTCGAGTCTATTTTGGGACAAGAGCGGAACAATTAGTGGCGGTGCGGTGAAAGAACGGAACGGGAGGACGCGCAACCGACGCGTATTTTGTCTTTCATCTTCCGCTCACTTCCCACTGACACTCATTGGCTGTCCGGCTATCGCATTTGTCTTTTTTCGTCTTCTTTGTCAATGTTTTCCATTCAACCACCAGCCTGATCAAGGGTCTTGTGGAGCAAGAAGGTCTTGGCTCAGGGTGATAATATGGTTCCAACAGCTCGGTGTGCCGCGAAGATTATCTGTCGTCTCTGGTTAGCGTCTGCAACGTACAGAATCTAAGCAGGTTGCTCCCCGACATATCTCACTCGGGGCCACCTTCTTGCTCTCCAAAATGCCAACATTGGACACCAAAAGAGCTAGCGGAAGGCTTCGTTATGACGGCAAACTGAAGCACGTTTATGAACCCCAATATGATGGACTCTAGCCGGATGAAGGGCTGCGAGCATGTGTTAGAGGCTCGAAGGTTACTTCACGTAAACAATGGTGGACTTCTGTCATTCTCGCGAACGACATCCTCCCCCAATTTTTTCGTGTGGCGAGTGCGACCCTGTCGGCCAGCCGAACGCGTATAAAAATTCGGGCCCTTGCGCTGAACGGTTTTCAGCCCTCTTTTGCCTCCTTACGCACCTCCTTCTCCAACGTACAACCAATCCTTCCACTCTTTTCACAATGCGCTCCTTCGCAACCCTATACATCATCCTTGCTGCTTCGCTCGGCGCCTTCGCTGCCCCTCTCAACGCACCCGGCAACCCCATCGATACCGTCAAGGGTGACCTTCCTGCTCGCCAACTCCCCGGCGTTGGAAGCATTGTCGAGGAAGTCCAAGGTCTTACCGGTGGTCTCGGTGCCCGCCAGCTAGGTGTAGTCACGGACCTCGCCAGTGGTCTTACCGGTGGCCTCGGTGTTCGCCAGCTTCCCGAGGTGCCCGCAGTCGCCGGCCCCTTGACCGGCCTCGCTGGTGGCGGTCTTCCCGTCCGTCAGGTTCAAGGTTTGTCTGAGGTCACTGGCCTTACCAGTGGCCTCCTTGGTGGAGCTCATACCGGTGGCCTTGGCCTCCGTGCTGACGTCGGTGCTGACGCCTCGACGGACAAGCTCCCAACCGGCAAGGTCGACGGTGCCGTCGCCAAGGCCGAGCAGGAGGTCCCCCGCGACGTCGCCGGCGTCAAGGCTGGTGTCTCGGCCCCTAAGGCTGAGGGTCAGACCGACATTGCTGTCCGTGGTGCTCCCTCTACCCAGTCGGTCGTCGTCATCATCCAGAACACCTGGACCCAAGTTACTCCTCTTTGCCAGAAGCTCCGTAAGTTCTCGTTTCTTGGCTTCATTTTTCGTTATGCTCATTGCATCTCTGCAGAGTACGTGAACAAGGCTAATGCCACCGCTGCATCGGTCAAGCCCGTCATCGCCGAGATCCAGACCCACCTCCTCAAGGCTACTACTGACATGAAGGCCCTCGTTGACCTCAAGCTCGGTGCTGCTGTCCTGCTCAAGGGTGCTGATGGCGCTGTGATCTCCATTGGTGTTTTCGCTCAGTTCTTGGCCATTAACGTCATTGTAAGTCCTTCAACATATATGCTAGAGTAAATGCTGACTTTGGCTGCAGTGCATCGTCCGCGCTCTTGCTGTTCTGGTTGCTCACCTCGGCGCTGATATCAAGGGTGACATCATGCCCCTCGTCTTTGCCCTCGGGTATGTACCTTCCTGATTTTTATATGCTCTGTCTCAATCATTACCAACAGTGAGGTTGTCTACGGCTTCGTCGCCATCCAGTTCACCCTCGTTGCAGGCCTCAGCGCCCAGCTGTGCCCTCTCGTGGTGGCCATCGCTGCCGACCTCAAAGTCCTCGGCTTTGTCCACCTGACCGCCCTCCTCAAGCTCTAGAATATAGAATATCAATGTCTCTTTATCTCTTTTAGCATCGCATCTCGTGGAGAATGGGCATCCGTAGCATAGTAGTCTGGATAAACATATAATATACATTCCCTTGCGTCTTCATTATACCCCCCGCCCTGTTGCGTGATGACTTTCGATGAAGTTTACGTAGTCTTACGGAGGAAGCACTCCCAAGAATGCATTTCTTTCTCACTTCGCTATAGGCGTAAGCTTCGTCTTCCGGAGTCGAAAGTTGGCTACTGTTAATCATGGCATTGCCGAGATGTTTGAAAGCGCGCTCAGGTTGTGCTTTTGTCTATCAGGCTGCTGTTGACTCTTGTTTGCCGCGTCATTTCAGCTTTGCTTTGCCTTGCGCGATGGCAGGCCCCTGCTTCGTTACGCCTCCTTTCCAGTGCAGAAACTTGCATTTCATCAACGCGGAGATGTCTCTTCACGTTTGACACCCGTGGACAAGGCCGCGAATCGAACACATTGAGGACCTGCTAGGCGAACACGTAAAGGCGTTTGGGCTGTGTGGCCCGCTCATGGACCGCGATCGGATGGGTGGTTCATTCTCTGTGGTGTGCGGCGGGAAAAGACATAGTTTCACGTGGGATGAACACCAGGGCGGCACTCTAGGGTGCTTAGATGTCGAAGTGTGCAGGAAACGTGCTTAGCAGCACTTCATAACGGCACTAACGTTCGGAGACTCGCAGAGGCACAGGTATGTGCTCGGTCACCTCGGTGTTTCGTCGATGCACTCAGCATGTCCGTAGTTGTGAACTCTAAGTGGATATGTTCAGGTTGCTGTGCAGACGCGCTACCTTCATAGCCCACTCTCACCTCCTATCTTCTCTGCGAGTCCGATAGGCGGATATTGCATCGAACATGCGTTGGTTCTCGTTCATGTTAGCATCCAGAGGAGAGAAGAAAACCGATCGAAGCCAGAGTTTTATGGCTTGGTAGGGCGAGAATGATTGAATGTATGCGGTCGGGTGAGTGTTCGTTTAGATCATCTGGACTAGTTGAGCTGTGTTCAAGGATTCGCTCTTCGCGAGCCTTTGTCGTTTCTGCCGTTGATGAACCCCTAGGCAGTCACACCGAAGTAGCATCGACCGTAAACGTTCATGATCGACTCGAAACGTGGTGCAACATCAATCAAACTATTCTTGTTCTACGGCGCGCAAAGATGTTGATGAAACTGATAACATGAGGTATAGCTTCTCGGGAACTTTGTTTGCGGTTTCTCGACGCATAGCGTAGCGCACAGATGTGATGCCCGAGAACCGATTCTTGGCCGCTTCCCGGCCACCAATACTAGTCTTCCCGGATAGGTTTGTTTTCGTCACATCAAACTCTGCAACAAGGCTGGCACCGAAGCTGTCCGGACTGGCGTGGTCCGGGCCTACCTCTCTTTCGCTGACGAAAACTGCTTTTCTCTGCCAGATTCCTCTCTGAAAGTAGAAAGATGATGAAATTGGCGACTCTAGCATCTGAACTCGTGAACGCTGTACAAGTCTCAACTTCGACTCGTTGTAGAATCTCGCACGAATCCCGCTGTAATGCTTTCATGTGCTAAAGTACGTACTAGATCAATTTGTGAATGAGTTGTGCTTATCTTCATTTTCTGAACGAGTGAGCTAAGTGGAGTAATTACCAAATGATTACGGCCGTAAGCATAAGTACGGCCATTGTACGGCCCTGAAGCCGTAATGCGGCCGCCTGGTCGACTGCACCATGCCGTTGGGGTTATTGGCTCTTGGTGAAGAGCTGTATCATGCCGTTGTCCTTACGGCCGTCACCGTATATGGTACGGTCTCCAGCCCTTAAATTTGGCTTTTGAGTTAATTTCCCGCGATTTCACGTACTTTGACGAGCCGATGCCACCCATATCAATTGCAATCGTGCTTCAAGGAGGTTACAACATGTTGCGAGCGGCAAGAATGCGACTTTGCGACTAATAGGGGTTTGTTTTAACCTCGTCTCGCAGTTAACTCGTCGTGTGATGCAGGGCTTGGTTTCAGACAGTCGTTCGACGGCACACATGTCATGTTGGGGTTGAGCTGGGCTCATTCCGCAACAGCCTTATAACTCTCGAGAGACCGCGTATTGGGATCCCAGAGTTCGACGCCCCTCAGATCTTCTCGGCACCTTTTGGTCTACTCGAACTCATGGCTGCCAATTGCTTGCACATCGCTGAGCTGCAGATCCAAATAGTGCAGTTCATCAATGATGAGCGCACCCTCGCCCATCTCGCTAGAGTCTGCAAATCATTCAAGGACGCAGCCCTCGATGCTCTATACGCCCACATCCGCTCGTTTCCGCACTTCCTCACGTGTCTACCATCCGACCTATGGAGGAAAAACAAAGGAGAGCTGGTGCGTCTTTTTTCCCCTTTACGATGCGTCATTGTCGTGACGTGAGCGGTATACCTTCGATTGCTAGGTCTTCACGCGTCCCATGACGCGGAGTGACTGGGACGTTCTGCATTCCTACGCCGCTCGAGTCATAACGATCAGAGATGCACCCGAAGGTTACCCACCACTACGCCTTGCATCCGCCTCATGCGACGCCCTCTGCATGTGTCCCATCCCTCTTCTATTCCCCAAGCTGCAATCCGTAGAGATGACCGATAGCAGGCGATATCTGGATGAGCGAGAGCACCGCCTGTTCGCGTCCTGCTTCGTCAGCCCACAGCTCCGCTCCCTCAAGCTCGGTGTGCGGTCCTCCGCCACTGGGCTGCTCCTAAAATACGCCCCAAAACTCAGCACGTCGTGTCCACGAGTGCAGACGATCGAGATTGACGAGAATCCGGTGGGTGCTGATTCCACCCCGACCATGTCGCAGTGGATATGCGCCTTGGACGATCTGCGCGCAGTGAAGGTCGGACCTGTCGACGTGAATATGTTGGATCACCTCCGACAGCTGGACTCGCTTCGTTCGCTGGAGATCTACGCAGAAGATGGGTCGCAGTGGCTCGCATCAGACCGTTCTGTCTTCCTAAGCCATCTCGAGAACTTGACTCTTCACACCGACTACGAGAGCACAGCTGCCCGCGCGGTGGAGCGTCTGCTGTCTCCCAGGAGCAGCGGTCCTATGCGGAAACATGCCAGTATCCGCCATCTTGCCTACCAAGCGACCGACACCTCCTCGCTCGCACAGTTCACCACGGCCCTCGAGCGCGCGCGCCCCACGGGTCTCAGTGACCTCCAGATCTCAGTCAGCCTCCCGCCGCGCGATACGAATTCATTCCCAGACTACAACCACCTCCGCCCGTTGGCGTCCTTCCGCGACCTTAAATCCCTCCGGATCGAGTACTACCCGAGCAGGCTGGACCTCTGCTGCTCGCAGATCGTCGAGATCGCGGGGAGCTGGCCGGGCATCGAGACCCTCGTCATCCATCCGCTCGTCAGACCCATCTCTCTCCCCGCCCTGGTCGAGCTCATGCACCTGCTCCCGAGCGTGCGTAATCTGGGCGTGCACACTGCGCTCACCGCCGCACATCTGAAGGCTCTCGATGGATCCGAGCCACGAGAGGGGGCTGACTATGGCGCGGTGGAGGCAAGAGCTAGAGCGGTTCCTGTGTCGTTCAAGAACGTCAAAACGCTGCGGTTGTCCTGGGATGACCGTGGCGACCAGGCGCTTTACTGCGCGTGGGTCGCGTACTGCATGCACCGCCTCGTGCCCAACTTGGAGGATATTGAGTATCAGGATGGATGGACGGACTTCTGGAGCGCGGTTAGCCTGCAAGTTGGAACGCACAGGCGCGATGGGTTATTATATTCTTGATTAGATTAGAGTGAGTTGGGGATGATGACTAGAAGAGCTGCATCCAACGAGGACAGTGTCAGTATTATAGATTATTATCACCGGCATGCCGATATTGTCCCATATACACATGTAACGAATAGATTTACTCACAAGATCATAGACCTTGACGGGCCCCTCCCGAGCTACGAAGCTTCTCGTAGCGTTGTTCGAAGGAACACGATCTGTGTTTACGACGATGCAGCTTGAGTTCCACAAAGTGCTGCGTTCGCTTTGCTGAGATGACGCCATGGTGTTGTCCGCTCGGGATACTGGACACCATTCTTTACTACCTTGGGGTCCTGGGCGCTCCAGTCATATGAGCATAGTGGCGGTCCTTGGCCATCCGCATCCGTCTCCAGAAAACTCTCGGGTGCTCAAAATATGGTGACGTGCCGCATTATCGGACCCTCATCGTGCATGTGCTTGCTGTGTGACTGTAGTGGTCCTCTAGGGCACCTCACCGGGCGGTGTCTTATAACTTTAGAGGTGGCATGGACGTCGCTGGCATCGTGGAGCATGCTAGATTGAGATTGCACATCCATTACGAAGAGCAGTGTTGTCATTTGACGCACGCGATGCCTTTTAACATGTGAGTACTTTCGAAGGCATTCCTCACTACAAAACTCTCAGTTCCCTCGGTCAACATTAAGCGGTTCTATGCCCTACCCCAGAATCAACCATGCGAGCTACAAATAGCTTGACGTGGGATTTATGTTAGTTCGTCTGCTACCAAGTACCAGTGCTCACCGTGGCGAACTATCTGTCTTCATCATCTCCCCGTCTTCAGCGGCTTCTAAGTCCGTGTTCTTCGAACCCTTTTCAAGGCCTCCGTTTTCTAAATTGTCATTCTGATTTCCTGCGCGGTGAGCGCCCCACAGGAACAATTCTGCGTATTCAGTCTCAATATACTGGGCCAAGCCAGCGCCTGTCCATTTTTAGCCAAACCGCAAGCAGTGTCCCTACCCCAGATGTCCCTGTGACGTTTGCACTCAGGGACCATCCGGCGCCGGAGCTCACAGCCACAGTTCCAGAATGCTGGCAAGCAGTAGAGGATGACGAGCTAACATAGCGAGATTGAGGTCTGGCATAGCCCGAGGACTTGTGCGACGTCGGTTGAGCGGAGGTGTATCATGTCGGCACGAGGCGAAGTGCAGCATCGATTCTCGCAGCGTCGTGTAATTCATTCCAGTGAGATGGGCGCTAAAAGATGACAGCTGCGTACTTTTTTTAGGTTGCCTACGGCCTCCCACGAGAACGGCGTTGGGTACGTTTGGACGGTCAGAGTGGAGCGCGAGTCTTCTGAGCGATAAGTGAGATGAAACCATGGACAAACGTTGGATCCAGCGTATGGGATAGGTCGCTATGATGGTCTTTGTGGACTCATCGATGGCTATCAGAGAGATTAACGTTTAATGAGAGTGGAAGCTGTATGAACTCCTCGAGCACGGTGACCTTCCGCCAAGATTTCCACCGGAAACCGCGCCGAAAAGGGTAGGGCTGTGTTGGCACTCATATATTCCAACGTTCGATGAACCACCCCACCCCAACACTTCCACCTCGCCGAGTCCAGCTGGCCACGAACGACAACACTTGTTTTCCTAACGACCCCTCACGCCCATCCAATGGTCTCCGGTTATGCCATCGCAACACTCGTCTTGTTCATCCTCTCCATCATCTTCGTAATCCAACCCGCATATATCCCACTACCCCGAACCAGATGGCGCATACCCATAAACCTCACCACCGCCCCCATACTCGCCATCGCCATCCTCTGGGCTGCACAGTGCATTGACCCGTATGTCATCCGCACCGGCATTGTCGGCTCGGACGGCGTCAAGCCCTACAACATCCTCATCCTCTTCTTCTCCCTGGCGTACATGGCCATCACCCTCGACATCACTGGCATTCTCCAGTCCGCCGCCTTCTGGGTCAGCAATAAAGGAGGTGACAACGGATGGAGGCTCTACTTGTACTTCTACCTCATGTTGACATTCCTCAGCATCTGTCTCGGAAACGATCCCGTCATCCTGTCAGGAACAGTCTTCTTGGTTTACTTCACCCAGGCCGCCAATCTTAACCCGGATGCATGGTTAATGTCAGAGTTTGCCGCTGCGAATACGGCGAGTATGGTGCTGTTTGTCGGGAACCCCACGAATGTGAGTAGTCGCTGTTCCTGGGTGGTGTTGGGAGTGGAACATGATATCGGGTTTGCAGGTGGTCATTTGCGAAGGATTCAATCTCAACAATGCTGCTTTCACGGCTTACACCATCCTTCCCTTCCTCGCCTGCAACTTCCTCTGCTTCCTTGCCCTCGCAGCACAGTTTCACGACAAGAAGTACCTCCCACGCACACTGCCGCACAAGGAAATGCTCAACGTCCGTGCTGCGCTCATTGATCCCGTCAGCGCCGTCGTTGGAAGCGTGCTGCTAGGGTCGGCCCTGATTATCTGCATTCTCACAAGCTTCTTCGGGGTGGATGTTTGGGAAATCAGTCTGCCGTTTGCGGTGGCCAAGTTTGTATGGGATATCTGCTGGGATTTCTACCGTGGCCAGACGGGCAAGCCCATGCTTGGGCGTGGACTGCAGCCGGTCGACACGAAGGCGGCTCTGGTGCACGATACCAATAACGATGATGCCAAGGACGCCGAGAGTCGGCGCACGTCGCAGCCGCCATCCGTGGAAAAGCCACCTATCTCCGTAGCCAACGATGAACAAGCATCCGAGAAAGCGCCCAGCGACCGCTCGCCTACCGATACCCTCGGAGATGCTTCCAGAACCCGCACACTCGTTAACGAGAAGGGCGCCCCCCGTTCCACCTCACCTTCCCCCGCCCGCACCTCCGAAAAGACCGCCGCCGCCGACGAGCCCCAAACTCTCCTCGCCCGGACGAGCGCCCGGCTCGACGCGTGGTACGGGCGCGGGCTGTACCACTTCCCGACGTTCTTCACCGCGCTGCCGCGGCTGCCGTTCGCGCTCGTGCCATTCGCGTTCTCGCAGTTCATCCTCATCGAGGCGCTCGCGCACCAGGGCTGGATCGAGATCTTTGCGCGCTGGCTCGTCATCGCGTCCGAGCGGGAGATGTACGCGGTCGTGTGGCTCGTGGGCGTGCTCGGCGTGCTGCTGTGCAATTTCGCGGGGACGAACATCGGGGCGACAATTCTGCTCACGGAGATCGTGCGCGCGGCGGAGCTCGAGCCGAGTGTGTTTCGGGGCGCGGCGATTGCGCTTGCGGTCGCGAGCAATATTGGTGCGGTCAGTTTTACGTTCTCGGCGAGTCTGGCGGGGTTGTTGTGGCGCGGGATTTTGGGGCAGAAGGGGATCAAGTTTACGCAGCGGAGGTTTGCGGTGTGGAATTTGTTTCCGCTGCTTGTGATGACTATTGCGGGTCTGGCGGTTGTGAGCGCGGAGATGGCGGTGTTGTACTAGAGGGAGGGGGGAAAGGGGAGATACCCAGGTATACCACTGGGATAGCAAGCAAGCAAGCACGTCAGGCCGTCAGCAGCTGCACCTTTGCATTTTATTCATCTCCGGTGCCTGTTCGGCGTCAGAATGTCTGCGCGCCAAGTCGCGCGTGTTGCATGTCAGGAATCGGGGGCTACTTTTATACCGTCATCAAGGGTCGCACGGGAGATTACATAGCGACTTCATGGCGCTTACGAAGCTGGGAGGGGGATTGCATGCACACCAACTGTTCACTCTTGGGACAGATGAAGAAGTGGAAACGGGTAAGGCGAGGATGGTGGCGCGATGAGCAGCTTTCACGCTCTGTACGGCTGTGTTCTTAACGATACCCACATAGACTTAATTATGGATTTCTTGACTTTCACTGCTGATCTGCGTCTGCTTGGGCTGTAGGCCGAGATGAGATGAGATGAGGGAGCGTCGAGACATCGAAGGACGGTCAGTGCGGTCGTCCGACCTTTGTGGAGGACGACCACGCATGGATGCGTGCCAGTGGATGCTTGTTCGCTTCGCTCGGTGGGCACACTGAGGGTTTCGACCCGGCGGTTGGGGACAGCATTATGCCGGAACGTTAGATTTCTAACATGAGGCTTGTGTGTGATTTTTTGGGAACGTGAGCCTAGTGTCTGCGTCGTGTATTCTGCTGCTTTTGCTGGCGCTTAGCGGTGCCCCTGGTTCCGATTCGGGGGTTTATTTGATGGGCGTCTCTTGAGTTGCACGTCCACACCCTTCAAAGCTTCATAATTCTTCTGAAGACTCTTTGCTCCACTTGATATACTTATACTGATATCAGTGAGACAGGCGCATTTGCACCCAAACTACGTATGTAGACATTTTTTTCTTTTTCTTTTTTCTTTTCCTTTCCATCCCAGTGCATTCTGCTCCTTGCGCCAGCACGAAACTGATAGTGGGGGGAGTTTCGTGTATCATTGGCTGATACTCTGGGAAGCGGACTTTGAGCCTGCGGCTGATGTAAGGCTGGTAAACGGGAGGTTCTAAATATCCGCATGCATGTCCACAGGCCTAGGGTGGTTCCAAGCGAGTGGGATACTATTTGCTGGTCGTCCTTATGTGACTTTTTCGGCGCTACTTCTCGTCTTCTCATCATATGGGCTAATATAATGAGCTTTTGGACTCGGTGCGAGCTCGGCCACGAGTTTGACGCTGCGTGCTTGCTCGGCGGAATACGGGAGGATGGCCGGTATTCGGGAAGATTGCGGGAAGAGCTCGGACGGTTCAGTACGGCTTCTTGTTAGATATTAGGTAGCATGTGTATCGTCACTTGTGATCATATGTGAGACGATGTCTTCTGAGAATCTTCTGAGAATTACAAGCACAAGCCCAGGGGCCTTCTCAACTACAAATTTTGGGCGAGAGCACCAAGTGCTGATCAAAGGCGATCTAAAATTGCTTCAACTGGTCTAAAGTTGTACTCCACCGAAATGCACGCGTCTTGCCGCATGGCCGAGGAAGTCGGCGGTCTGACCAACTCCTGCGACATTGCGCATCAGCCGGCAGTGGCTCGTGCTTGTCTGGAGCATGACGCATGACCGGTTTCGACCATAGGCGGATGGTTATCTCTCAAGCGCCTTGAAAAGAACAGCTAGAAATAGCTGTGGGCTAATGATAGTGGCTGGCGTCTAATCTTGAGTGAAGAAGCGTGATGTCGATGAGGAAATATTGGTGAGAAAGCTGTTTGATATTGCTCGTTCATGGCAGCAACTGTCAGCGTCTATCGGAACAAGCCAGAACCCCAAGATTGACGACCAGCTTATTAATGCCACAAGCTACCGTGCAGCGGAAGCAGGTAAGAAGCAACCTTCGCAGCAACGGAAGTCGCTCGAGCCCTCGCGGAAACTTCAGGATCTGTTCTTCAAAAAAAGCGTGCCCAACCTGTCACAGCTAGTGCATGTGCCTTAGCCGAGCGAGGGTCGGGGCCTTGAGAGCTCCGTGTTGGAAGGAGGATCACATTTTTAACCTGGATGGCTATAGGACACCGACGATGGACGAGAGTGCACGCGGTGGGAAAGCTCGCTGGGACGGGATCACTCAGACACCCAGGACCATCGCCGGTTTCGCATTCGAGGCTTGGGCCAAGGCGAACGGGTGGCCAAGACATCAACTTCTCTGATTGGCTTGATGACATGAACAGATCAAGGTGAGCGCCGCGGTCGCAGTATGGGACGAATATTTCTGTTCCGAGTGCACTGTTGGGACATTGCATTTTTGCTTCCGGGGCTTTTGACCCTGACTTTAGGCTGGTCAGCTGGGTGCAAGCTGTTGATACTTGGCAAGGAGTGGTGAGGTGAGAACGTGAAGAAGATGGACAGATGGGCCGGGCGCTCTGGTTAATCTTTGGCCTCATGTTTGTACCTGAGCTGACGACGGGACGACGGTAACCGAGATGCATATGATCAGATCTCCATCTGCTCATCCATGCCGAGTTAGCACATTCACCCCTTGTTCAGCTCACGGCGTATATATGCCTCCGACGAGCGCTGCCCAGCGCTGCCCTCTTTCTTTTCCTCTCGCCCGCCCTTGCGTGGTGTATTCCTAGTCCTCCACTCTCTCCGTGGTCCCTCCGACGACACCTGGGCCATTATTGGGACATTCTACGACATTTACGAACTGTACAATGACTACACGCAGCGACCCCCGCAGGCGCCCCGAGCGCAAAGGGCGGCCGGCTATCCGCGCTCTCGCTGAAGGTGGACTTTCCACTGCGACGCGGCCGACGGCATCGCCCACACCATCCGAGAGAAGATCCCTGCGCACGAGAATCCCCGCACCACGGTGAGCCCATCCATGCGGTGATCATCTTTCCCCGTACCACAGCGCTAAGCACGGGCGCGCGCATTCATACAGATACCGACACGCCGCCCCGTCTGCGCCCTGGCCGTGGATGGAGTTCGGTTCGTACCGCGACGCGCCCGTGTCGATGGAGAACGTCGCGGACTTCCCGGACCACCCCGAGTGGAACGGCTACCCGCAGAGCCTGTTCGGCAACTGGAAGGCGACGCAGGTGGCGCGCAGCAAGATGCTCACGAATCTGCCCGCGGAGGGCAAGTGCGCGGTGTTCAAGGTTGATGTGCAGCGGGACGGGATGTTCAAGGAGTACGACCCGGATCCGATTACGGTGGAGAAGAACTATGATGAGTTTTGGCATAAGCTGTCGCATGAGGTGAGATCGTCTGTTCCCAAACTTGATATTTAGACCCGGAGGGTGCGAGGCTGAATTGCGAGATGGAACAGAGGGACGAGGACGTCAGGGTCCGCGCGCTGTTCATTCACAACATGACATTGCCGGTATTGAAGATGTTGGGTACAAAGTGAGCGATTGACAAACTCCGCTGATAGCCTTTATCTGACAACTATGTGCGCAGCTATAACATCGAGCCTTTTTTCTTCTCTTCATCAACAAACTGGATACCCTCGAGATACCAAGAGGACGTTCAAGAGAGCGGAGACCGTAAGTATGGGTGCCGACTTGATCCTGCATGGGCTGACGCGTGGATTACGCAGACATCACTGTGACGCTCCCTTTCCTTCGCGCTGTCATTGACCCTGCTGTAAAGCTCACGCAAGAACAACTAGCGAGAGTGCCTTTGGACGAGAGTTGTATGCCGAAGAGCAAGCCATGGAAGAAAAAGAAGGGCCAGGGCCAGCAGGAGGAGAAGGAGACCTACGACATCGACACTCTCGCCCCGCTGACCCTTCGATCCAGTACGTCTTCCCCTGCCCTCCGCCTTCTGCGCGGGGACCACACAGCTAACCTATTGCTCCAGCCGGGCGTGTGCTGCTGCAAGACCTGCTCGCGCTACACATGGTGCGCACGATGGACTCGTGCACGGTCGTGTCGTACCACCCGAACAAGGGCGGGCGGACGTCCGCGCGGCACCTGCAGGACGTGTTCCAGAAGGCGGGCGAGAGCGTGTACTGGAACAAGATCTTTGAGAAGTCGAACGACCCGACGTTCTGCTTCCTGGCGATGATGTGGTACGCGGCGTACGCGTGGGACGAGGCGCTCGAGGTGCTGTATGCGCATATTACGTGGCTGGTGCGTGGTCGCTTTGTTTCTTTCTACTTGCTTGTAGGCTGAAGAATGCTGACCGCTGTGATGCACTGCACTGTAGGAGACAGAGGTGATCACGACGAACGACTTTAACCTGACGCGCGAGCTGCACGCGATCAACGCGCACCTGCTGCACTACTCGTCGCTGCTGTCGGACTTCCGGCTGTCCGTGCAGTTCATCGAGAACACGCCGCACCCGGGCCTCGTGAACGATCCCGAGGGCGCGGGGCTTCTGCCGAGCACGACGGGGAAGAAGAAGACGCTGATGGAGCGGGAGTGCGCGAATCTGATGATGGAGATCGAGCGTCTGGAGGCGCTGAGGGAGACGCAGAACAGGCGGCTGAAGAATGTGATGGATCTGGTGAGAACTATACTTGGATTCGAGGAGTGGGTGCTGACAAATGATACGACAACAAGGCATTTGCTACTGTCAATATTGAAGACAGTAAACGCATGCGGCGGCTGACCGAGGCGACTGTGCGCGACTCGGCGGCGATGAAGCAGATATCATACCTCACGATGATCTTCCTTCCTGCGAGCTTCGTTGCGGTGCGTTCCTCCGGCGCACGCAGTGTCCAACGCCAATAACTTACACATTTTAAATATAGGCGGTCTTTGGCATGAACGTCAAGGAGATCAACGAGGGCTCGCTCGAGTCGCTCGCGCACTACGCGGAGGCGGCGGTGATCATGACGCTCATCACCATCTGGGTGGTCGTCGCGCTCCAGAAATACAGCCCACTGCACGCGACGGAGGGCGATCGGTTCTGGCGGCGTATCGCGTGGCCGGGGTACTTTGTGTATAGGCATACGAAGCGCAGCCTGGATATGCGGACGCAGAGGCGCGAGGAGGATATGGAAGGCAAGGGCCATGATCTGGAAGGGAGGCTGGACGAGGAGGATGATTACGGGGATGAGACGCTGGATGAGAATGGTGATATTGAGGACGTGTGGAACGACCATTTACGTGATGAAAAACGGGAGTAAACGAGGGGGTGAGTGCGAGGGTGAGATTGACGATGGTTTCACTTTGTTCTTTGGTGTGAGTGTTGACATTGATGACGGACGGTCTGAATGGGAGATGTTTGGCATTTTCTTCTTCTTTTCATCTAGAAATTTACTCGGGACACATCATCTATGCATTGACTACAACACTAGCTAGACCTGGAAACCTACTATCTACATGTAGCTACATATACTTACTTACTGCGCCTGCTGTTGTTAGAGTAGATTTTTGTTATCGTTGTTTTTGATCTAACTCGAGTACTTTGCATCGTTTTCGGGTGCTGCGCCATCAACATGGTACAGTGGGGTATAAGTATTTCTGATAGAAGTCTACAATGCAAGATGATCAATGATCCGCTAGTACAGGGGCTGCTTCAAGCTTATTGACTTCCGCAAGCGAGGTTAGTTGCAAGGTTGATTGCCATCTCAACAGCGCGATGCTCGGAAGGCTGTGCGTCAGAAATCTCCACAGAAAAGCCAAAAGAGCACTGCAGTCGCCTGCGCCTATCGGACACCTAGGTCTTGCCGTATCATCTGTCACGGTAGACCCAGTGTATCTCCTCGTGCTCAACTAAAGCTTGCTGTAGAAACCCCATGATGTGGCCTACGGAATATCGCCTCGAAGCCTTTCTAATGGTTGTCGTTGCAAGGTGTTGACGGGGGACCACAATGAAAAGACGATTGCCGACTTAATCAAGTGTAAATGAAGGGTCCAAAAGGTTAGTGGAAAGCCTCCGCCTCCGCCCGTCACAAGCGGGACGATGATGTCCCGAGCTGATGATGGCTTGTTGACTCCGGTCCTACGGTACGAGCGCTCTACCTTCAAGCGCCCCCGCCAGAGTCATATAGAAGAGCGAGGGAGCCCTTGCACAGGATGCACCAATACCAGTCTGTTTCCCCCATTATCCCCCTCCCCGTCGACACCATGACGAGCCATAACCGCCCCGGTGTTAGGTTTTCCAATGCGCTCTCGATCCTTCCTCCGGATGTCCAGGCGCGGACGCCGACGTCGAGCAATCATCTGGGCCTGCCCCCGCGGATACCTGCCCCACGGCATGTGCCCACATTTCATTGCTCATTCTAAAGATAGAGACTGACATCCATCTCCTTCCTTCTCGACTTCTGCTTCTTCTCCCACCCCAGATACCGACACGCCGCACCGTCCGGCCCCTGGCCATGGATGGACTTCAACGCCGACATCAGTGCCATGACACCCGAGGTGGAGGGTCCCCCGCCCGACCCGGTGAACCCCTGGAAGGGCTACCCGCAGAGCTTGTTCGGCAACTGGACGCCGGAGCAGGTGAAGCGGAGCAAGATGTTCTCGAATTTGTCGCACAAGGACCCGGACGCGACGTGCTCGGTGTACAACGTCGATGTGTTGAAGGGGGGCAAGTTCGCGGGTGTTGAGTCGTATAATGTGAACGTGGGTCAGGATGAAGAGCGGTTTTGGAAGGTTGTGCAGGAGGAGGTGAGTGTCTGTTCTACGCTACGTCGTGCGTAGGGCTGATGCAAAGGGACACTTAGCGTCCGTCGGATGTGCGTGTGCGTGCGTTGTTTGTGGAGGATATGTCGCCGCCGGTGCTGAAGATGCTCGGGACAAAGTACGTGTTTTGTAGTGTGCCTTCGAATGTACGGTCTGAACGTGCGTGATAGATTCGTTATTGAGCCTTTCTTCTTCACTTCGTCCGCCAACTGGATACCATCACGATATCAGGAGGGGGTGGACACGGGGCAAGGAGATCGTAAGCACCGCCGTTTTCTAATATTGCTATTCTACTGACACCCTCGTAGATATTACGATTACATTGCCCTTCATTCGAGCAATGCACAATCCCATGACTGTTCCTCCATCGCCGACGTCTGAGCCAGACGACAACGCTCCCGCACGGGCGTTGGCCTCGAAGATGGTGTCTGTGTATGGTACGCACAGGTCGACTTTTTATTGCTAGTACGCATTGCTGATGACCTTGACATTTCAGACGAACAGCAAGTCATCGATACCCAAGCCTCCCTCACCCTCCGATCCAGTACGTTTGTCATACAAGCATAAGAAGCTGAGCTAATCACGGGAGTATATTATCCATAGCCGACGACATCCTCCTCCTCGACCTCCTCGCACTGCACATGGTCCGCACACCCGGCTCAAGCACGATCATATCGTACCACCCAGGGCACAAGTGGCAGCGCGTGTCCGCCAAGCGGCTCCACATGCTCTTCTACAAGGCCGGGCAGAGCGTGTACTGGCGCAAGATCTTCGAGAAGACGGACGACCCGACGTTTATGCTCCTCGCGATCTTGTGGTACGCTGTCTACGCATGGGACGAGGCGTTTGAGATACTGTATAGGCACGTGAACTGGCTGGTGAGCGCCCATTTTGCTCGCTGTGATGTCGTGTAAAGCAGTGTCTAACGGACTTGCGTATCTTTTGTTTTTGTTTCTAGGAATCACGCGTGCTGACGACGAACGACATCCACCTGACGCGCGAGCTGCACGTTATCCAAGCGCACCTGCTGCACTACACGTCGCTCCTGAGCGATTTTAGCAAGTCGGTCAATTTTGTGCGCAAGACGGAGCATCCGGGGCTGGCGAAGATATGCCCCGACGAGGACAAGCTCAAGCTCTCGAGGGAGCTTCTGGAGAAGGAGTGCAATAACCTTCTTTCGGAGATCGAGAGGCTGGAGGGGCGGCGGGCGATGCAGAGCAGTCGGCTGAAGAACGTTATGGAGCTGGTGGGCTTTACCCTCGCTCTTTGGTTGGTCTGGTTCGCTTACGTTGGTTGGTTAGGCATTCGCGACGGTCAATATCGAGGATAGTAAGGACATGCGCAGGTTGACGGAGGCCACTGTGCGCGACTCGGCGGCGATGAAGCAGATCTCGTATCTGACGATGATTTTCCTCCCTGCGAACTTTACGGCGGTAAGCATGCCCCAGATTGATCTCGACCGCGCACCGGGTATGCTCACTTCTGGACAGACTGTATTCGGGATGAACGTAGTCGAGATCAACGATGGCAGTCACGAGTCGCTCCGAAACTACATCATCGCGACGGTCATCCTCACGACGATGACGATGTGGCTCATCGTCGCGTTCCAGCAGTTCAGCCCGTTCCACGAGGAGGGCGATCCGCTGTACAGGCGCATACTGTGGCCTGGGCTGTATCTGCGCAGGCGGTACCAGAGGCGGAGGGAGCAGCAGCGGGTAATGAATAACCTTGCGACGAGCGCGAAGGGGATGCAGGATCTGGAGAAGCTGGATGCGTTGCATATTGAGACGATTGAGATGCCGAGTCTGCGGTAGGGTCTGAGTGCCTGTGTGCTGCTGGATGTATGATGCATTGATTTGGGGGGACTAAGATTGGTATATGAATTGACACGCAGAAGCTGCTTTACTATACTATCATACTGATACCCATGTATTTATCGTACGCGTATACCTTACCACTTGATAATGCTGTTCGCGAATTCTGCTTGGGCAAGTTGCTGGTGTCAGGGGCAACAGCGGGCCGATCGGGCCACGGGGGTATTTTGCGGGTCAGTAGCGCCGTCACCGGGACTAAACCTTCTTCGACGCCTTCTTGTTTGTGCTTGCTCCCCTGCTCCCCTTTGCTCGCCCTTTCGATGCTTATGACGACAACAGTGCCCGCCTTCAAAGCCTCAACGCCCCCATAGAGCGAGGACATCTATCATACGCCAAAAACTCGGTCTAAGGTGGAGACAACATTAGCTGTGATTATGCCCCTGAGGTGATGATTCTCACGACGAGGCCTTCTTCGACTCGACGAATCCGGATCTACGCAAAATGAAATGAGACAATGAATCGCTCTTCGGACGCCGTCTGGTCTATTGCTCACCATATGCTTGTCCTGGGACACCTTGCCTGATGATCCACTCCTTCGCCCGAGCAGCATACCACCCAGGGCGCTAACCTGTCAGCTATCAATATCCCTGCCGCTCAGCTGACTGAACGTGCACTTCACGTGTGCCAGCCTCTGGGACTTCTAGCCTCCCACAACAGCCCATAACGCTCCCTTCGTCCCACAACGCCCCCTGCGTGTCCCCTGATCTCGTCCAGAGCTTGCATGGCCAGGAACGATTTCCTCGATTTTGTCATTGTGTCTCATCGATGGTCGCAGGCTTAACAAGGCACGCCTGACAGACTGTGGCACGGTGCTGTGCTCCTGGGGCTCGTGGTTTGGTCACGGTCCGCTGCCTCCACGCCGTCGAGCTTAGATTTCGTCATTTCTCGTCCATAATCGCGGAGAGATCATGGGCGAGGTGAGGTGAACGGCGTCCTTGAGTTCGCGGGGGTGTATAAATACACGCAACCGCCGCCCATGGGGCGAAAATTAGACGTCACTGGTCTTTGCGGCGTGTTCTGCGATCGTCATCATCATGTACTCCTCCTCGCGCTTTTGGGCTGCTGCTGCTGCTGCTGCTGCTGTAGCTCTCTGGGCTCTCCCGGGTGTATACGCTCTTCCCGGGCCGTCGTTGGTGGCTCGCTCCGAGTGCCAGAACGCGTTGACGGAGGCAAATGTGAGTTCGTAAAGGTGAGACTGTTCGGCTCCCCGTTTGTTGACGCGTGGCTGTTTCAGAGCGTGGTCGATCGCCTTCTCACGAATTGGCTGAACTATACGACTGGCCAGTTTATGGATGGGGACTTCTGGGTGGACTGCGTGCGTGGTGCCTATGCTTGGTTGATGGCGATTTGGTTGACTGTGGTGCAGAACACCTGGGAGGACATCGAGAACTATCAGCTTGCGGCGAACAGCGATGCGTACGCTAATATTTCCTCGCTTGGATACCTCGGGAAGAATGCCTTGGATGCGTCTACGAACTGGACAGAGCTGCTTGGTGGCAGCTATGATGATGCACAGGTGGGTTTCTTAGAGAGTGGGCTTCCTGGAATGAGCTGACCGATCCTTTTAACTCGATAAGTGGGCAATCTTGTCACTCTGGAGAATGGCTGACTACGAGTCTGGCCATGGCCAAGACAATACGCCTTACCTCGTGCGTTTCACATAGTTACATTGCAGTTCTTATAAGGACTGAGCTGACTACGCGTGCGGTAGAACGCTGCGAGCACTATTTATGACCTCGTGTCTGAACAGTGGGATGACTACTGCGGGGGCGGAGGTAGGCGCCGCCAAATGAGTCTCGTCCATTCCCGTGCTGAATATTTCTGGCTAGTGTGGTGGTCGTCGGCCAAGACCTATAAGAATGCCATCACGAACGAGCTATACTTGCTTACTTCCGCCGAGGGTTATCTTAGGACAAACAATCAGACTTATCTTGATAACGCCCAGAAGGTGCGCTTCTTCGCTGGTTCGCAGCGTGCTTATCTCACCTCTAGCCGGCTCGTAGGAATGGACGTGGCGTATGCTTCTTTTCCGGATGTGATATGATACGGTTCTCAACGTTAATTTGTTTTTGCAGTGAGCAACTCGGGGATGCAGAACGCGCAGCTGCTCTACAACGATGGCTTGAGTGATAATTGCACCAACAACGGTCAAGTGAGCCCTTTCTGTGCATCTCGATCCTGGTGGTTATGCTCACGATCCGTTATTACAATAGACAGCGTGGACCTATAATCAGGTGAGAAAGACGTCCCCACCTTATCTCTTGTCTCGAGGAAGGCCCCGGGAGCTAACATGCGCTTCTTTCCTCGGAACAAAATAGGCTGTGGTTGCCTCGGGCCTCGGAGCGCTATACAAAGCTACTGGGAACGCGACGCTTCTTGATGTCGCAGAGACGAGTTTGGACGCGACAATTATGAGTCTTACAGACGACGGGATCCTCAAGGAGGCCTGCGACGACGCCGTCGGTGGTAGCACTGAGTGCAGTCATAATTCCGTATGTGGTGACCTCTATCATTCGCCTGTGTGCGATGCCTCACTTTGTAGAAGCTGACCTTCCTTTCCATAGCAACTGTTCAAGGGTCTGTGGATGAAGCACTTGTCGTACTACCTCACGTACGCGAATGACTCGTCGCGCACCGCGAAGTATGCGCAGTTCATTACGGCGCAGTATGATGCTATCCTTCAAAACGCGATGAACGCTCAGTACGACATTGGTTCGGTTTGGTATGCACCCAACCAGGGAGGCTCGGTTTTCCAGCCCGAGGCATCTGCGAGTGGTTTGGAGGGGATTCTTGCTGATGCGCAGGTGTGTATGATGCAGGCCGTCTAACTGTTGAGGGAACTCACCATGCGGCTCTTAGTATGGATCTTGCTGAGCATATCGATGACATTTCAGCCCCGGCATGTGTCTCAAAGCCAGGGCAACTTTGTACATTTGTTGTAAGCGCTAACGTACAGCGGACTACCACGGCAGACTGTACACCAATCTGTATCTATAACACGAATCTCTTGACTACCTTTAGTTGTAATGCTTCACAACGGCACCCTGCACGATCTCAGTCTCGATGTTCCCGTCCGCCTTCTTGAGCTGCGTGCGCCCATAGGTGATCGTGCGACTGATCCTCCAGGCCTCCACGGTGGGCGCCTCGCCCTCCTGGAACTCGGACTGCGCGCCTGCTTTCTCGAGGACGGGGCTTCCCGAGAGCGGCTTGAGGACGACGGCGTCCTCGGGCATGGAGAAGTAGAACAAGCCGAGACGGTCGTACGCGCGCTGGTCCTCTGGCGGCTGGACGACGCGGTGAATCGTGGGCTTGATAAAGCCGCCAGTGAGGAAGTTGAGCATGTCGCCGGTGTTGACGACCTGTGTTGCAGTGTTTTATCAAATCATCGCTTTTACCTGCTGAGGGAGGTAGTGATCAAGGGATGGCTGCTTACGACGGCGTTGTCGATGTGGCGGACCCATTGCCATTTACCTTCGGCGGAGAGGATTTGGAGAGCGGTCACGGGCTGGCTCCATAAGACGGAGAGGGAGCCGATGTCTGGGATGTCAAAAAAAAAAACGCGTAAGCGATCTCTTTTGTTTGTAATTAACTAGTCGTGAGCGCATCCTACCGGTATGGCCCTTGAGCCAGACACCATTCGACTTCTCCTCGTCTTCTGGGCTTCGCCTGAAGCTGAGGAGAGGTAAGTTTGAAGAGTCTAGCCCGAGCACATTGAGCTAGCTTACTACTTGAGAGTTCTAACTAGAGCCCCGAAGTCAGCATGTGGCTTAGCGAAGGGCGGAGTATGGCGTACAGCAGCTCTCGCCGATTCCCTCGAACCTGTGTTTGTTAACGAGGGTGTCCTCCGGGAGCTCGAGGCTGAGAGCGATCAACCTTCAGAGATCGCCGTATTATTAGTTGGGTGTTAGGTGACAAAAATAAAAACCCTTACCTCAGAAGAGGATGGACGATATTGAAGTGGTTGTGCTTGACAAAGTCGTCGATCTCGGGCAGGAACGGACGAAGACTCTGCGGGTGAGGACGCCTGTGTACGTTCTTGTTGACTATCCATCACAAGAACGTGTTCTGATTTTATTCGCGGCGATACAGAGAATACTTACTTGCGTACTGTTCGATTTGGTCGCGCACGTCGGTGTCCGTGCCGACTTTCTGCGACGAAAGGAGATCAAAACGGCTCCTCTGGTGTGAGTAAATTATGTATTTACCCAGTACTGGCGAGGCTTGTAGCCCTGATAGTATCCTACCTTCTCAATGTTCGCGACGTAGATCTGTTTCTCCTCCGCCGAGACGTCGGAAAACGATACGTTGGCGATATCGAACATCCTATCTCGCTGAAGTCTAAGTCAGATGGCTGTGTGCTGAGTATGATTATGAGGTGGAATACCTGGGATTTAGTGTATCCATGGTTGATAGCATATATAAAGCCTTGCGTCCGGAGCGCGTCGCGCAGCTGCGCGACAACCTCGTCACGAGAAGCACGGTTACGGGCTTTCGCGAGGTCGATGATAGAGAGGTTTACGAAATCGACTGGCAGGAATCATAGTCAACGTCGTGAAAAATGCTGGCTTGTAACGCGTCGATTCGACGAGAGATGACATACGATCCTCGTTGGTCGTCGGCGGTTCGACGTACCGCGTGCATTCAGGGAGCAACAGGCTGGGCATGTCGAAGCTCTAGGAGTATGTGAATTGAACAACGCAAGAGAGAGTTGGTTGAGGACAAGATAGAGGAAACGTCGGGTTTATAAGAGTTCCTGAGGCCTTGAGAATAGGCGTATCCCATGACTAGTCGAGGCAGGTCGAGGCACCCAAAGCTGAGGACCAGAAGCAGGAACAGGATGATCGATGCCCAGAAACGCTTGGAAGGACGGAACCATTTTTCCTTTGCTGCTTCGCCTTATCGTTCAATTCAAAGATGAGTCCGCCATGGCGGTACTCAAAGAAATGTTCGTCTGAGTAGGAGGCGATTTTGATGTAGACAGTTCCATAAGAAACCTAGCTTATGTCTGTCTCGAAGTACGACCAAACTTGGCAGAATCTGAGTGGTAGAGCTTCCATTCCATGCATCAGATCACAACAAAGGAAAGGCGCAGAGCATATACATTCACAATTGCATCCAGAGTCTGAGGGGCACGGTGAAAGATAGCAAAAATACCTCACGTCCCTCCCAAGGAGTGTGGTCACGGCCAGTCAGCGCTGAAGGAACGCCAGGTTACAGAGATCCCGCTGGAGCGGTTCTGCGCCTCCCATGGGTTATCATTACGGTAGATATATGCCTCAATGCGTGAAAGGCTCCGACAGAAAGCTGGCGGCCCCTGTAAGTGAAATAAGGAGCCAATGAGCACACGAGATCAAGCTAGCATCTCATTTACCAGGAGGAGCACCGGAACATAGAGCGCAAGTGAAACCGAAAAAGTTGAGACCCCGATTGCATGTCAGCGGGATAGTTAGAACGTGGCTTTGAGGACAGGCGCCTTCCGGGAGCGGATCGAGAAAGAGCGTGCTGAGGATGCGCATACAACCATGAGCGAGCACGCGGACAAAGAGAGATAGGCCCGTCTGTCACCGTCCAAAGACTCGTGGCTCCTCCGAGCCAGAAGAAGCATCGAATTCAAAGTCAAAAACGTTGATATGAGAACGCAGGCCCTGCTGATTGGAGGGAGCGGAATAGTTCGCTGCTTGTTCCGAAGGAAAACGGCCCGAGTGGCTGTAGCAGGGACCAGGTTCCGCGGAGCTCCGGTCGGAGGGGTCGAAGAGGGTCGAAGACGACTCGTCGAAGTCCATCGTGGCGTCCGAGGAGGGAAAGGCGGCGTCGTCGATTCCAGGTGAAGACGCCGGCCGAAATGTCAGTGCCAGCTGCGGATCGAACGGAGGAGTGGAGATCCGAAGGTCGTATGTTTCGCCCGGAATCCTGCGGTTTTTCTTACGGAGCTGGCACTTGCGCCTCGAGAAGAACCGCCTGACTTTGAGTGGGTCTGCCTTTCTGGAAATCGCCCAGCTGTCCATGGACGTGGGGGTAGGAACGCAAGGAGAGTTTTCCCAGATTAACCAGAGTTCGTCTAGCTGAGATTTTGTTAGCTTCGGCTGTTTCGGTGCTGGAGGAACAGGATCTGTTTTGGGTGTTTCGGAGGAGTTTCGGCCGTGTGAGATGGTGACCATGTTGCCTTGTCGACGCGTCGGGCTGCGTCGGGGTAGGAGATACGCTCTGATACGCTGGGGACGGTCGGGCGAGGATTCCGGCGGGCAGCGGCGGTCAGGAACGGAATGGCGCTCCGACTAAATGCAGATTTGATCTCCGCGACGGCACCAAACGGGCGGGATTGTGGCGGGATTAATTGGGGATTGACACGATTGGCGTCATTCCTCGGGCCAGATACGGACGGAAGCCGGCGGTCCACTCCAATGTCTGTAGCCTCGGCTCTGGTTGACGGTCCGTATCTCTCTTTCTTTTACCCCCCACATTACTACCTATTTCTCCCTAGACTCGCCGTTGTCCATCACAAAACGCAAAGATGGAGTCCTCAGAGCCAGCAAAACATCCTACATCGCCTCCAACCAAAGGTTCCAAGAAGCGAAGACGACCATCGCGGCTCACCGTCCGCATACGTCCAGATCCTGTCGAGGACCCGTTGGATACCGCCCAGGGAAGCTCCTCATCATATGGAGATTCCAAGCTAGTCGGGCACGGGATGAGCTCTGAGCCACAGGGAAATGGCGCGAGTGCCTCTGGCAAGCATCAGTCTAATGACGCGAAGCCTCCAATGAAGAAATCCTTCAAGTTCCGCCTCCCCTCCAACTTGCAATGGATACCTGCCAACTGTACTTGGCCCAAATGGAAGCCAGTGATCCGTTGCGCGATGGCGATGTGGGTTGCTTCACTATTATTCCTCATACCGCGGACGGAGAACATGATGGGACAGGTAAGCATCTCTCTGACAATAACGTGTCTCTCCATGGTTTCCTTACATCTCCTCTTACTTAGGCCAGCTTTCTGATCCTAATCTGTGCGTCATTTCTACATCGAGAGTTGCCCATCTGAACTTTGTCGATAGCTTCAATCATGTCCCCACCTGAAGACCCCTTTATTGCCGTTGTGGAGCGAGAGTTCCTTATCATGTCCCTTACAGTCCTGGTATGGGCGTAAGTAATATTTCGCTCTGGTGTATCATCATCTGACTTGTAGAAGTTGGGTATGCTTAGGACTCAAGCTATCCAGCCTCGCCCGGAGACAGATAGACACTGAAGCGATTTTGAGCGACATCTTCGCTGGATCATATGTCGAAGCTGCCGTAAGTTTTGCTCTTCGTTACATTTTAGGATGGTCCGAAAGGTCTGATATTGACCTTGATGTAGCCTACAGTCATAATCGGTGTCTTCATATTCCTTGGGATCGTCTTCATTCTATTTGTAAGAGCCCGCCGCGGACCTGGGCCTTTTATTTTCGCCACTCTATATGCATGTATCAGTCTAGGTAAGCTCACGCTGGCTTTGAATAGGTGACAATAGCTAACGAATGGCACCTAGACATATCATTCACTACCGCATTCCTCTTTCCGTACCCATACTACACCGTGTGTACCAGGTTTTGGTGTATTGCATGATGATTGAGCTTTCGTTCCACAGGTTACCCAAGTTGTCTTCGTTCCACTCGCCCTACACTCCCTCGTCGCTATCACCTTTGCCGCGATATTGTGGCCACAAACCATATCTTCTCAGTTCACGGGCCGACTACAGGCGGTCATTCGACCTTTGGCCACTGCGATGCGCCAGCATCGATCTATGCTCGAGTCTCCTCCCATCGGGACTGATTTTGACCCGAGTCAAGTGTACACATCTGTAGAGACAGCTGAACGCTCGCTCGCACCTTTAGCCGCTTCGGCTCGCTTGCTCGGGATGGATATCATATACGGGCGCTTCGCACCCACGGATTACCGACCAATTCAAGACCACTTTCGGCGTCTGACGGCTCGCGCGAACGGTATGAACATGTACTTCAGGCTCCACGACCCGAACTGCGAGACGTTCCCCGCTACGCCGGCTCCGTCTAGACCATCTACACCTCTTCCTTCCATGCCTTCTACACCGCTCACCGCCAACTCGCGCGCCTCGTCCGTAGAGCGCAGTCCGACCGCTGGACTTGGTCTGCTTTCACCCACCGAGCCACAGCACAATCACGAAAAAGGCGACACGTCCGCACCCAATGGTCATTTGAGCCGTCAAAGGAGCAGCCACCTCTCTCGAATGTTCTCCACCAGTCAATCCCACTCCCTTCATGGCCCGAGACACCGACGTTGCCACAGCCACCATCCTCCTAATCACCACGGCCACGGTTCGCACAACAATAGCATAAACGGCCTCAACCTACATGGAAACAGTCATCATAGGCACCACCTCTCTTACCGACATCTTCACCGCTCGTTACATGACCTCCTAGCCGGGCCATCAAAGGAGGAGATCGCGGTGGGCGTGTTCGAGAGCAACCGGTACATGAACATCGAGGCGGAGCACATGAACCATCCGAACAGGGAAGAGTATTCCGCGCGGACATTCGCGCTGCTCCGCGAGTGCTGCGACGACCTCCTGAAGGGGTGCGAGAAGGCGCTTGACGAGACGGCGAACTGGCTCGAGCACGTGTATGATAACAGGTTCAAGTTCTGGCGCCGCAATATGAAGGGGAGGAGGGAGGAGCGCAGGAGGGAGAATGTGGAGAAGTTTGAGGTGATGCTGCAGGAGCTGGCGAGGACGATTGAGGAGTTCAAGAGCTCGAAGCGGTGAGTGGTGATTTGGGGCTATTTCATGGGTTTATGCGTGTGTTGATAGACTTTTCTGGCGGTTAGGTACAACGTCATCGATCCTTATCGTCCGCTGTTCGAGACTGTGGACGATAGCTCTTCAATCAACCTGGAGTACGATGCTCCGCCTCATCGCTACCTCTTTCATTGCTATGTATACCAGTACCATCTGATGGAGGTGGCTGGGATACTGCAGGAAATCGTGAGCGGTGACGCTTCTCAGGCGTTGTGCTCCTGACTGATGTTTCTTATCTCTTAGCTCAAGGAGATAATCCGCCTTGAAAAGACTCGCAAGAGAAATAAGCTCTGGGTGCCTATCTTCAAGCTCATACGCCCTTTTAGCGCATGGGACACGTCAGATATGCTTGATGACAATGAAGAAGATCCTGGTTCGTTCCCTCTCCTCTATTCCATCCAACTGACACTCACTGTACGCTATTAGATATCATCCCTGGCATGAAACCGCAATGGATGTCGGACTTGGGCGAGGTACGGCGGCGCGATCCCGACGCGCTGCCTCCGTCCAACTGGATGGAACACATCATGAACTGGATCTACCGCCGCGCTCTTGGCTTTACGGGCGGCAACTTCTTGTTCGCGCTCAAGGCGGGCGTGCTCACTATCATCTTGTGCTTGCCATCCTTCCTCAAGTCATCTGCGGCATTTGCATACAGTAAGCCTGTATTGTTGGGTTCTAAGTGTACAGAGTGCGCTTAACTGGAGATTCTAGGGAACAAGTTTGCTTGGGGAATGTATGCGTCTTTTCTTTCATATGGTAGATTCTTCGACACTGACACGGTAGTCGTTCAGTATTATGGGTCAGCTCACTACGGCCCGGTTCCGCGGTGACACCGCGTTCGGTCTCGTCGCCCGTATTATCAGCACATTCTGCGGCGGGATTGTCGGAACTGTCATCTGGTACGCTTGTGCCCTAACTTAGGCAGGCGTCTATTTACCAACTGGCATTTGTACACAGGTACATCTCCACTGGTTTGGGGCGCGGCAACCCTTACGGTCTCGCGGCTGTTTTCGCTGTGGTTTTCCCGTTCCTATTCTATGCGCGGTTGTACTGGCCGGTGCCGTCGATGGTCAACCTCGTCTTCTTCGTCACGTCGATGCTCGTCGTCGGTTACTCGTATCAGGACGAACACCTGTACACGGCCTCGGCGCCCGGGTTTGGGATCGACGTCGCGTGGCGCCGGTTCGTGCTTGTTACGATTGGCGTTGTTGCTGCTGCGTGCGTGTTTTGTTCCCTCTCTGGGGGTGATGTCCGATGAGCAGGGCGAGTGCTGATGATTCTGTAATCAAGGATATTCTCGTTCCTCCCGCCGTCGTGTACGATCCGGGCGTACCAGCGCCGCGCGCTCGCGACGACTGCGGGCGAGCTGGGCGGTATTTATTGCTCGATCGTGTCGTATGCGAACGTGCGCCGCGGGACGAATGTGCAGCAGATCGTGCAGAGTCTGATTGCTATTCGGGCAAAGCTGAACCGCACGATTGCCCTCAAGACTAACGTTGGTTACGAGGTCGGTCTTTGGGTTTCTTGTTATGTCTATTGAGTTGCGACTTACGAGGGGATGGTGGTCTGAAATAGATATCGTTGCGAGGCAAATGGCCAGCGGAGCGGTACAAGAAGATTGTTGAGCTTCAGCTGTGAGTTCGCATTCTCCCGAGACTGATGGCACGTTACTGACATTGCGTTTAGGGAGATCGCGTACCTTTTATCTCACCTCATGTCTGTAGTCGAGCATCTCGAGCCGGCATGGTCGCACGCATTCCTGCAACGGACGCGCATGCTCGACTCGGACTTCCAGGGAGACGTTCTCGCTGTCATAAGTGAGCATTCTACTTCCTTCTGTTGTTATGCTTTACTTGACGCTATATGTTTGCAATGCAGGCATGATCACGACCTCGCTCAAGACAGGAAATCCACTCCCACAGATCACGCCGTGTCCGCTACTGCATCGCTACTCACATCGGCAGCACGGGCTCAATGTCGTGCACGAGCAGAGCGAGGAGGACTACGGGCTGCCACGGACGCTCAAGCTCGATACGCTCGAGAATATACAGTACTTGTGCGTGCCGTTCCATTCCTTCCCTCTCCCATTCCTTCACGTTCTTCGCGGTACTCGGCACTCGGTAATAGTAGGATGCTGAACGATGGCGATTCACAGGGTATTCTCCGTCGGCGTATCGACGACGTTCAGCATCTTCTTGAGGCTGGATAGGCTTATGGTCGCGGTGAAACAGCTCGTCGGCGAGCAGTACCACATCCACGGCGTCGGCGCGCATCACCCCGGCAGCAGTGCTACGAGTGTGCGGCGCGCGGACGGGTCGGGCATCGAGATGACGCCGACGCCAACGATGGGGTCGCATCTCGTCTGATCAAATGGCTGCATTTCGGTTTGCGACTATGCAAGTTGTCCATACAGCGTGAGGTTTAGACGTTGCGGGGACTTGGTTGTTGTACGGTCCACTTCGGTGGCGGCTGTAGCTCTTGGATCTTCTTGGGATGACGTGTGCGGGGCGATGTATCTTACTGGGTCATATTGTCTTGGTCTTGGGGCTGTATTCTACTATAAACACAATCACCCTAGTTCGCTACCTTTCTTGATAGCCGAATTCTCCATTTGTAGCATTAGCATTGCACGGTATAAACCCTCAAAGCTTCATTTCGCTCCAGCGGGTGTTATAGGCGGAGAGGCCTTGGCAGCTCGTCGTTTCTTTTGTTCAGGCCACGCATAAAACGTACGGAGAACTTCACATTGATTCAGAGCCTGCAGCCAATTTGAACGAACTGTCACCTGTACCCATCAAAGTACGCACACGCTAACTTAGATATCGCAAATCTATCGCTCATTGTCAGGGGAAGGTAAGGATAAGATGAGGCTCCCTAATATCTGACTGGGCCTGACTCAGTCATGGACTTACTTATACACCGTGGAGACGCATGACTCATCCTCTCATTTGTGAATGATACTATAACCAATCACGCTATGCGGAGAGGGCCTACTAACTCGGTGGCGTAGAACACTTTGACTAGAGGTGCCAGTTGAGACATCCGACAAAGAACCTTCCGATTTCGTTTCTTGGGCCTAAAAACTTGTCCAAATGCACGAGGATGCCGTGGCTGTGACTATGGTAGACAAACCCGCGCTTGAATTTGCCTGCTCGCGTAGAACAACACACGCGCCGAAAACGGATAATATCGAGCAAAGGGAAAACTGAAAGCAAAACATCCGTAACGTGACATAACATTGCGAGTTTGACCAAGGGTATATTCATCCATAAGTTATCCACAAATCCGATCCACGAGAGACGATAATTAGGAGGTAAGTGTGTAGGTGCCAGTGTGCGTTCGTATGTGCGTATGTATGTTTGTTGTATGTTTGTGTAGGTACGTGCATATATGCAGTCTGTTGCCCGGTGTCGATCATTCGATGGCTAGCGTACATCCCGTCTGACGTACATGCCATCATCGACGCTGACGTGCTGGGCAGATACACGTCCGGTGTTCGCGATTATTTCACCTGCGTTGCAGCCACCCTTTCCTTCGTGGGTGCATGTACGGGGAGAGAAGAGTCCGCTCCCACATCGTCATCCACCCGCGACACCCCGAGAACCAGAAGGAAAACGAAGCCACTTATAGAAGAGGCAGCGAGGGGAGACTACCGGAGCATGGCGCCGGTGCTGTTGCCGAGCGGTATCGAGAGCTCGTCGGGGGCGGTGCGGAAGGTCTCGTACAGGTAGATGATGCCGAAGAGGAGGAAGAGAACGGAGCCGCCGAGGGTCACTGTAATGGGAGAGACGGGCGTGGTGTGAGTGCGAGTGCCAAACGGGTAGTGGAGGGAAGGGAAAAGCGGTGGAAAGATGTTGAAGCTCGGCAAGTCGGATAAACAGCGAATAGCATGAATGAAGTTTAATTCAGGGGGAGGGAAGGATAGCGGTGCCCAGCGGGCCGCTGGCGCACCGTACTGCGCCGCATCGACGAGCACTTGTGTGAAAGGGGACGAGAATACTGAACGTGGGAGGACGAATGGATTGTGGAGAGCGAAGAAGCGAGAAGGAAGGAGGGAGAAGGAAGAGAAGACGCACCGTGCTTGACGGAGATCTTGGTGGAGACGTAGCGTCCGCCAACGACGGCGAGCGCGGTGCAGCACGAGTGACCGACTACTGTGCCGATAGTGACGAGGTATACGCTCTGAACAGGATGTCAGGTGTCGGTGGGCGTGCTGCTCTAGCATTTATGCGAGGGAGACGTACATGTGCAGCGCCGAGTGCGATAGTCGCGATCTGCGAGCGATCTCCCCACTCACCCAGAAAAGTCAGTATGAATGCCTGCACGAAAACGGGCCCGAAGAAGAGGCTGCAGAAGTTGCGCGCGCCCTCGGCGAACCCTGTGCCCGCCTTCCGCTTCTCGGCCGGTGGTGGCGACGCTGCAGTGCCCGTGCCCGCATCGCTGTTGGCGAGTCCATTCACGGTCTCCGCGGCTGTGCCCTTGCCCGCCTCGAGCTCCTCGAGCGGGATGACGCTCCCGTCGCGCGCATGCCCGCCCGTGCCGTCCGCATGTGCCTCGTCGCCCTCGATCTCCTCCTCCGCCTCGCGCATCTCCTCGAGAACCTTGGCGTTGCCCGCCTGCATGTCCTTGCCCTCCAGGAGCATCTTGCCGCCGAAAACAAGGAAAAGGGCACCGGCGACGGCCTGTGTCCAGCGTTTGGGGATGAGGGCGGGGAGGAGCTGGCCGAGCTCGGCGGAGAGGAGGGACATGACGAGGAGGGAGCCGAATGCGCCTGCGAAGACGGAGAGGCGGGGGTGGCGCATGGCGAGGATGGCGGCGATGAGGAATGTTTTGTCGCCGATTTCGGAGACGATGATCATGGCAAAGGAGCGGACGAGGACGTGGAGGTTTTCATGGGCAGCACCCGAGGGGAGCGTGTCCGTCATGGCTGGACTGGTGACGTGGGGGTTGTCCGGGGGTGCAGAGGAGGTGCAGAGGGGGTGAAGTCTGCTCGGTGGAGGGCCTTTTGAACGAAGGAAGCCGGTGACGGGGCAGTCGAGAAGGATGATCGAATGGACCGGGTAGTGAAGCCGACGGCGCGCATATTTCAGCACGTGACTCATTTCACCGTGGCGTTCTTAACCCTTGACGTCGTTCTCTCCTTCACTCAACACTATGAATGGGTTAGGATGAATCGCGGATGATGCATCCGTAGCACCGTGGTATCAACTGGTCAATAGCAAGTTCATCACCGGGACAATTGTTAACTCGGCGAACATCTTCAACTTCGTACTCATGCTGGTGAGTACCGCCCAAGTGTCGTCCATCATTTACTATTCTTCCCCATCACCGGTCGGATGGTAATGGGAGAACACCAGTCACATTAAGGTCTTACCCGCTCTTATGGTGCGCCTGTCAGAGCGCATCTCAGGGTATGGAACGCGTGGTGACTGGTGGGTGCCCTTCTCAAACGCCATGATCATCGCGATATATAGCACAATCCGCTATTTTTGTCCGTGGAGAAGAGCCGAGGATAGGTGGCCATGCTATAATTACATGCGCAAAGCGAGGGCGCGAGGAGCACACGGCTCAGACCGCAGTAAGTGTATATCAAACACGGAGCTTGCGTCCCTTCGTTTTCACAGTGGTTCGGCAGCAGAGATGTACAGCACTGCGAGGGTGACGATAAGCAAAAATAAATGACCAGGAGATGGACGGATACGGTGCTGTGGTAAGATGCAGAGGGTCGTACGCACCGTTGTTGCCCCGGATGAAGGCGTCCCCGTACCGGTTCGTGACTGACCCGTTGACGTGCTCCTCCGTCTGCTCGAGCGCGATGTTCATGTACCCGTCGAGACATGATAGTATGCCTAGCGCGTAGCAAAGTAGTGTCTGATTGAGTCGGCGTGAGCTTGGAAAAGGAGTGAGGACATACCGCGGTAATCTACGCCAGAGGTCAGCCGCACGATCACGCGTTTCCCGACGACGCCCTTGAGAAAGTCGGTGGGAGATCCAGATACCGCAACAGGCGGGGGAGGCGGCGATGCTTCGTTGGGGGGAGGTGGGGGTGGCGAGTCTTCGTCCATCGTCTGAGATGTGGACGGGTGTCAGTGTCGAGACGCGCTGCAGCGTGCAGAGCAAGTTTGGACGTGTTTGGCGCCCCAGATGACATGACATACGATTCTCCTTCCGCTCCCCGACATCCCGACTCCCGACAGACGCAAAGTAGCACATATCGTCCCCCGCTATTTAAGTGGGGTCGGTCTATGTGCCCGTCGCGTCATCGCGCCTCCCATGCGCACGGTCAAGCTCGTCGTCATCGGTCCCTCCGGCGTCGGCAAGACCAGTCTTCGCGGCCAGGTCAGTCCTCATCGTATCTCACCGACAGTGACTCATTTCAAATGGTACTCGCATGATGTAGTACATCTCGGGCCGTTTCTCGACGGGATACAGAGCGACCATCGGCGCGGATTTTATCACCAAAACGCTTCCGCACCCAACGAACCCAGATGAGAGCGTGACGCTGCAGATATGGGTGCGTCTCATATCTCATACCGACGCGGGGCTCACGTTTATTCTCTCCTCCCGTATCTCTCATATCCCAACGATCTATGCAATGTCATGATCACGCAGGATACGGCAGGCCAGGAACGCTTCTCGAGCCTCTCGTCCGCCTTCTTCCGCGGCGCGGACGCCGCGATGCTCATGTTCGACGTCAACTCGCGTGACTCGCTCCATGCGCTCGCCAAGTGGTGGGACGCCTTCCGCCAGAACGCGCCGCTCGCAGACGACGAGATGGACGACTACCCGTGCGTCGTCGTCGGCAACAAGGTCGACCTTGTCGACCAGAACGCCGCCCCTCCCCCTCCCCCTCCTGCGCGTGGCGATGCAGTTCCTAACGGGAGTGCGAATGGACACACAGATCCGCTCGCCGCGGCTGCGACTGCGAGACAGCCGGGCTTCGTCACGGAGGAAGAGGCGCTCCGCTTCCTCGACGTGCTCGTCCCGCCCTCCGTCCGCCACCCCCCAGAGTCGCCTCGCTCGGAGCTCGACGACGCCGTCCAGGAGATCATCCTCGAAGACACGCTCGATGGGCTGCCGCAGCCCGGCGACATCAGCCTCACGCTCGACACCTCTCACGCCCATGCCCATGCCCATGCCCATCCGCACGAGCCGTCGCCGTCGATCGAGATCTCGCAGCGCAAGCGGTTCTCGCGCTCGCGGAGCGACCCGCGGCTGAACGGGTACGCGACGAACGGGCCCGCGAACGCGTCGTCGGCCAAGGGCTCCGCGTTCGGCACGCTCAACTCGACGGCGACGGGGCACACGGCGTTCCACACGCCCGCGTCGTCTGTCTTCTTTGACGCATACGCGTCCGCGCGCTCGTCGCCGTTTCCGGCGGACTCGAGGCCCGAGTCGCCCGAGAGCGGGGGCGGGAGTGGGAGTGGGAGTGGGAGCCCGGCGTCGGTGAGGAGGAGGAGGAGGGTGAGCTCGTTGAGTAGTGTGTCGGCGCTGACGATTACGCCGGAGTTGTATGCGCTCGGGCAGGGGCAGGGGCAGGGGCTGCGGGCTCATCATCATCATCACCACGAGCAGCAGCATCGTTCTGCGCAGCAGCATAAACACCATCGCCACCGATCCTCTTCGGTTCCTCCTACCCCCGACCCCAACTCCGAGGAAGGATATGAAGACGGAGACGGAGACGACGACACATCCACAACGCGCCCCGTCTACCCCACCCTCCCACCGCGTCCCGAGCGCGGTCCGCGGCTGTTCTTCACGAGCGCCAAGACGGGCACAGGCGTCGCGGACGTGTTCGAGTACGTCGCGAGGCGGGTGGTGCAAAGGGCGGACTACGAGGAGGCGCTGGACGCGCGCACGCTGCGCGTCCAGGAGGGGAGCTTTTCGTTTTCGTCGTCGTCCTACTCTGGTGGGGGGTTTGGCGGTGCGGGTATAGGTGGGGGAGAGACGATTCGGTTGGGGCTGATGAAGGGCGGCAGAGGGTGGAGCGGGGGTGCGGGTGCGGGAGGGAAGGGGTGTTGTGGGCTGTGATGGTTTAGGGCTCTGGGCTTGGAGGGAGCGGACTTGCTTGAAGGTGAGGTGGTGATGGTGCTGGGGTGTAAGTATTTGTTATTCTTATGTATTCGTTTCTCGGTGTTTTAGGGTTTTCTGTGCCCCTGCCTGGCTTGCTGTTCACTCAGGACTGTTTTCTCGATTTACCAAGTTGCTTACACGTTTCCGCGTTTTATAGCGATTCTTCCTCGGACTGCCTTTGTAGATGTCGTGTTTTGTCTGTTGTTGTTGTTTTCGAATTTGTTCTCGCACCTGCCCGTAGTAGTTTGTTTTATTGCAACCTGGATCCTAAGCTTCACCGGAACCCATACCATACATACGCGTATCAGATTACACCAATTTTTTTCATCTTCTACACACGGAAAGTGCGACCCTATAAGCCATAGAAAGACAGCTCCTCACATGAATAGCTCAGAGGTGGGGATCGATAAACATATGATACACTAAACCCCGCCACCATGGCCTCGACCTTCCCCGGTCTAAGGACACTCATACACCCAAACTACATACAAACGCTCAGCCTCCACTCACCCAAACGGAGCTTCGTCGTCCCCCCGCAAGCCGACGGCATCGATGTGCCGCCGCACGCCCCCGAGACTCGCCGTCGTGAGCACCATGTCCACCTGCGGACACGCCGCTGCATGCAGGCCCGCGGCAGAGGTCCGCGTCCGGGCCCTCCCCGTCGTCATCGGCACCGCCGTTCGCGGCACCTCCTGGATCCCGTAGCTGCCGCCGCTGTTATTATTATCACCCCATTCTAGATCTGCAGCGCGCTTCGCGCTCAGGCGGCCCATTTCGGGGTCGTGCGGGTCCGTGCTGCCTGTGTCGCCGCTCGTGCTGTAGGCGTAGGTGTAGGCGTAGTCGGGGGTGGAGTAGGAGCTGAGCTCGGAGGGGCGGGCGATGCGGATCGGGGGCTGTCGATGTGCGTAAGGCGAGGATGTTAGCCTTGAGATCGAGAGAGGAGTGGGTAAGGCGTACGAGCATGGAGGCGGTGTTCATGGGCTTGAATGTGCTGGATGGTGGGAGATCGATTCCGCCCTCGGGCGCGGTGAGCGCGAAGTTCTCGCCCGTCGGTGTGGCGTGTCGGGCGCGTTTGAGCGTTTGCTTGCGTGTGTTCAGGCTGTGTAAGGGGCCACGAGCAGATGTTAGGTCCTGGCGTGGTACGGCGAAATGGAAGATCATGTAAGGAAAGAACCCACGTCGCCAGCAGAGATACGGCATACACTGAGGAAGCATGGCATCAGAAAATTGCAGATGGAATCAAAAAGATGCGGGACGTGCAGCTGGCGTACGTTTGCTTTGTGTTTGCACGAAGGCGCTGAACGCCAAATTTGAGGATCCGAGAAACTGGATTATAGTCACTTAAGCCTCACTACCCAAGCAAGTGTACGGAATAGCGGGGTAAGGCTCACCGTGATGAGCACAGCGATCGCAAAGAGTCTGCATGTTATGGGTCAGCGGCTGTCTAAATTGATTAAAACGATGACCAGCTTACGAGGTCACAAGCCCTGTGTTGATCGTATACAGCAGGAGCTCATTGATAATAGTGTCGGTGCTGAGTGTGGAAAGTTAGATTTACTCGTTCAAAAGTTCAGTCGATCGATGCAGCAAATATGGCTTACCGCCTCATTCCGGTACGCTGTCTATGCAGATAAAAACAGAGCGTGCTGGCGATGAGCGTGTCTGTGCATGCAGACACGGTCCAGCCTGAGACCATCGTCGCCTGTGTCAATTTCGGGATCATATAAGCACGACCGTGAGTGGCTGTATTCAACCGGTAAACGTACATGTATATGCTGCCGGAATACGACCCAGGCTGGGTAGCGGAAGCTAGTGGAACAATTTGACAGGCCGAGTCCTGACATGTGTGAGTTGAGTTCGTCTGCCGTTCCAACCGGCCAGGGCCAATGTTTTAAGCTTACCCAGTCGAGCTGTAGCCATGAATGTCTGACATAGAACCAGAATTAGTCGTCGTACACCATCAAATCAGCTGAACGTACCAAGAATGCAGCTATCCAACGCTTCCTGCTAACTACGAACGTGTCGTTCAGATGGAAAGGACTGAAAAGCATCTTTGAAGATCTCACGTAGCCAGATTCTCCATACAAAAACCCTAGATCAATGCTCATTTACATGAACCATTCAAGAGATGATTAAGGGAGACTCACAGGTTCACAGGATAGGCAATCCAGAACTAGTTTCGATTCAGTTGTAGTTCCTTTCTGGATCAGCGAAAAGACATACCCCGATGAAATACGAAGCGCCCATACTCCAAACAGCATAGTTGAGCAGCTCGTCGTTGCCAAAGTTCAAGATCAAGTAATGCTCCACGTAGTGTATCGAAAGTGCTGTGTGCGCAGTCTCCAGTGCCCTGTGCGAAATGTGCCCAATATCTCGTTAGCTCCATGGAGCCATTGGCCGAAATGCCGATCTGCGAATGAGTGTCCTTACCAGACCCAAGCGACCTGACAGAAAGTGTCAACTAGATGTGATATCGCTTTAGCAGATCATCGAGGGTGTACGTACCAGTACTTTCATGAATTTTCGATCCCTCTCATAGTTCTGGTAGTACTGGAACGTCTGCATGCATATGATCCCATAGAGCATCATCGTCGCTAACGTCCCGCACAGAGGACCCTGCATGATTGCCTCCGCTGGTGTAGGAGCCATCGTCGAAGTTGCGGTACCGGAGAAGACGCTAGAAGCTAGAGGGGAGAGAGCACACAGCGTACATCAAGTGCATTCTCGTTATATTATGGCTGGGGAATTGACGTGATGCGGGCTCAGTTGAGGCTCGAAAGCCCCTTGGGCCTTGTGCTCAAGTATTGTCAATTTCAGATAGAGATGTGTGGCCAAAGCGGGCTGCGGTTGCGCGACCCAGTTGCGTGTGTCCGCCAACCACCGATCAGTGACTTTGCTCCCGTGGACCAGCTGGAGAACTGGAGTGGGACGATCATTTGGTGGCCAGGAACGGAAGTCAATAGTTTTTGCTGGCTGGTAGAGATAAATGTGTCCTGCGATAGCCTGCTGAGGAACGAGGACGTGGAGAATAACAGTAGTGCACCGGAAGCAGTCGGGAAGAAACCGAGACAACACCTTTGCAACATGGCGAAAGAGAAATTTGAGCAATGAGAAGACTGGAGACCAGGGTCCTGGGAACCATCAACTTCGCAAGGGAAGAACGATAATGCGGCGGCCGGAAGACGTTCGTAGAACGAAAGTTAGCTTTGATTGGGTCTCTAAGTATAGGATGTCCTGGCCAACGAATTGATGGCCATCTTCTTTGGCCCAAGTCCAACCAAGTGTGTAACATCAATGTCTGGTAAGCCCATGATCGAAGGACACCAAGACAGACACCGAGACCTATCGATAGAGCGATGCCTAAGTTCGATCCCGCTACTTCCAAGTCTTTATGCGGGCCAAGAGTCTTGCTCTAGGATCCATCGAGTTGAAGCAGTGGCGTTTATGGGATGGTATATGATCCCAAGTAGCGCTGGTACGGCATCCTAGTAATGGTGTTCTACAAGTTGCATAAGTATATACATCGCCAAACATTCGCTCTTCTCCGCAGCCCACGCCCGCCCAGCTCTTTAGCAAAAGTCAGTACTTTGCGTGTAGAGATAGCTAGTTACTAACCTATGCCTAAGCCTAGGCTACAAGACATGAATGATCGAAGGCTCTTCCTGCAGCAAAACATCGCGACGGTCGAGTACGATTTGCGGGCACTACGGAACCAGCGGGGGCAGATTCCTGACAACACCTTCAATGCCAAGCTCCTGCAACTCCAAACAGATCTCGAGCAGAAGAAGGAGCTATTGCATCACTTCACGCGATTCCTCATGGCCTCCCAGCAGATGGGCGCGGATGGGTTACATCCTGGCCCTAATAACATGGAAAGCATCGTCTCGAACGGTACCATCGACATGTCAACGCCGTCCATCCCTACGATGATGGCTGGTGTGGATAGTATCCAAGTTCCTCCGCTTGACCCCATGAGGTTTGAGATGATGTACCGCCAATTCTGCGCCAATCAGGAGCAGGAGTTCAAGTTGACAGCCCCAGTGAGCGACAAGTCGGTTGAGCTCCATCAACTCCATCGCCAGGTCATGACAGCCAACGGCCTCGGTAACGTGAGTGATTGCTTTAGCCCAGATCTGAGAGCATCTGTTGATCTCACCCGAAGGCGGATGCTCGAGACCTATGGCCGGTCATTGGTGGGCGCTTGGGTCTGGTGCAGTTCCCCGGAAACGATCGCCAGCCTCCTCGCTCTGGTCCTATGATTGCTCAACAGCTGCGACATATTTACCAGGAGACCCTTTATTCGTTCGATCAGACGTACAGTCTCAGCTGGCGCAATGAGCACAATGGGGGCTCAAACAATGGGGCAGATAATGAAGGGAACGCACCTTCTGCTCCAGCTCAGCAGCCCGACGTGTCTTCTACAGACGACAACCAAGCTAATGCAAACCGAATACCGGATAATCGACAGCTCGCGATGTTGGCCCTCAGGTTTGGCGCTTCTACAGTGGAGGAGATGCGCTCTCAGGGGGTTCCTCCACATATCATCAACTTCGTGGAAAGTAAGCGCCCACTCATGGCATTCATCCGGCAGCAGCACGAGCGTCGCATGGCCCAAGGCAACGCCAATGGCGGACTGGTGCCTGCTGCGGCAGACACTGGTGACTCGGATACGATGTAAGCAGATGTTCAAACAATGACGAGAGTTTACCGCTCATCACGAGTTCGCGTCGATTTGGTCATTAATGTTACCTTTAAGAGGAGCGCTCGTTGACAATCTGGAAGGGCTAGACATGGGTGAAAAGAATTGACTGGGGGCAAAGCCGTGTCGGAGTTGTGTTATCGGCATAAATTTTGTGTGGGAATTGTAATGGCAACCCCTGTCTACAATTGCTGCAGCATACCGCACGGTTTCGTTACTCCTGTTCCTAACATTGCCATCGTCATCCGTGATCTCCACAGTACCATCTTTTGAAGGCCATACGACATCCGTACAACGAGTTTCGTGGATTCGTTGTCTGAAGGCGCAGTCATGCACAGTCCGTAGTCGCAGTACTTTATGCCCGAACCGCAGGCGACACGAAACTTGTTGACCAAAACAAGGAAGACGCGTGTGGCTGGCTTGTGTTTTCCATAGCTTTGGGGCGGAAAGCTGACCGGAATCGGCACTTGTCGCCGGAAGTTCCACGTCTCCGACATTCAGGCTGAGTCGCGCTCAAAACCATCCCACTATATATTAACCCCTATGACCTCTCCGCGCGACCACTCTCCGACGCCATCATGTCACCCACCTTGACTCTAACATCTTTCACATCCTCCTTCTTGGGGCAGGTTGATGCATTGCTCGGCCAATCGTCATCCACCTCGAGGAAGACTCTTTTGCTCACAGGCGGAGCTCTAGTGCTGTACCAGTTATCCAAGGTCTTACATAACCTTTACCGCCATTTCTTCTCCTTCAGTGGCCTTCCTGGGCCAAAGAGATCCCGTTGGATTGCTGGTAATGGTTTAGATTTGATGAGTGAGGTTCGCTCATCCTCTATCTCGAGCTTGTTCACGACTGACGCGGTGCACCGTATATAGAACAATCATGAAGTTCAGAAGGGCTGGATCAAGAACCAGTACGCTGTTACAGTCCGCCTGTTCTTGCTGCGTCTCATGATTTGCCAGCGGGCACACGTTCGCAATACACTACGTCCTTGGAGTAAGATGCCACCTACTGACAACAAGCACAATGAACTAATGAATGATTCTGAAGGGGAAGCGTCTTTACACAGCGGACACGCAGGCATTGAGCCATATTCTCCTCAACACCTATGATTACCCAAGGTCAGACGAAGCTCGCTTTCTGCTTGAGCGTATCATGGGCCATGGTTTGTTCTTATCTTTGCATTGTAAAACCTCACACTCAAACCCCAGTCAGGTCTCCTTTTCGTTGAAGGTGATGAGCACAAACTACAACGCAAGGTCATGGTATGTAGTGGAGGTATCTTTCATGCCCCCCTGTCTTATCCTTGAACCCCAAAGAATCCGGCTTTCGGTCCTGTTCAGCTGCGAGAACTCACTCCCATCTTCGTGGAGAAGTCGAATGTCGTACGTTACAGTGTTAACTGCAACTACCTCATATTAACATAACCTCAGCTGCGCGATGTTTGGTTGTCTCAAGTCTCCAAATCCTCTTCAAACCGAGTCGACGTTCTTGATGGGCTAAGCAAGATGACTCTGGACGCCATCGGTCTTGCGGGTGGGCTCGACCAGTCTCTCTTACCATTCAGCCCTTTTCATACATCCCGATACAGGTTTCGATTACAGCTTCGACGCACTGACTCCCTCCGCGGAGCCAAACGAACTTAACGAGGCATTCACCAGCCTATTCCGCTCCAATCAGAACCCTGCCTTGATGTTCGTCGCACTATGGCTCCCTATCATCAACTGGCTAGTGAGTCAAACCGGTTTGAGTCCATGAAATCAGGTGCTCAACTTGACCACAGCCAACCGAACGGAACCGTAAGATAGGGCAGGCAAAAGCGACGATGGCGCGTATTGGTAGGGAGCTCCTTGCGAAGGCCAAGGCGACTGCACTCGAAGAGCAGAAGTCTGGAGCAAAGTCGCGAGCGCGTGATCTCCTGAGTTTGCTTGTCAAGGCGAACATGGCTGAGGGTTCGAAGCGGATGTCGGATGACGAGGTGTTAGCTCGTGAGTTCTCCAATAACTAACATGAAGAGCTTCGTCCGACGGTGAGTGTTTCCAGAGATCCCCACTTTCCTCGTTGCTGGGCATGAAACGACAAGCACGGCCACCTCCTGGGCGCTCAAGTCCCTCGCGGAGTACCCCGCCGTACAGACAAAGCTGCGCGAGGAGCTCGCATCTCTGGGCACGGACACGCCGACGATGGACGAGCTCTCGGAGACGTCTCTCCCCTACCTCGATGCTGTCGTCCGCGAGAGTCTGCGGTTGCACTCGCCCGTGCCGTTCGCCGCGCGCAAGGCCATACGGGACGACGTCATCCCGCTCGGCACACCGTACACGGACACGCGCGGACGGGTGCACCACGAGTTGCGTGTTAAGGCCGAGGACACCATATTCGTGCCCATTTTTGCGATGAACACGGCAGAGGAGATTTGGGGATCGGACGCGACGGTGTTCAACCCCGAGCGGTGGCTGCAGGGTGGCGCACCGGAGAAGGCACATGGACTTCCCGGGGTGTGGGGGCATCAGATGACGTTCGCGGGCGGACAACATGCGTGCATCGGGTACAAGTTCTCGTTGTTGGAGTGAGTGCCTTCGTTCTTCGCGCAGCCTGGTGGATTCTGATAGGTTTGTGTGATAGAATGAAGGCGCTGTTGTTCTCGCTCGTGAAGGCGTTCGAGTTTGGGCTAGCCGTTCCGGCGTCAGACATTGCTGTGCGCCCATCGATTGTAAGGCGGCCTGTTGTGAAGTCGGAGAGAGAGGCTGGGGCGCAAATGCCTCTGCTGGTTACACCTGTTCAGGCGTAGGACCTTTAAGTCTCTTGGCACAAAGAGGTTGAGCGTGTATTTGATATCACAAACGTTACTGATGAGCTGTACGTTATATAACCCTTTGCTTTATTTCAACCTTCCTACTTACTTCGGTCGTTTCTCGGTGAGGGTCTCGACGTCCTATTTCAGTTCGAATTTTCGCTCCCCCGCCCCCCAGCAACTTGGTAGACAGCTGGGTACATGACGTTAACGGGCCAGATAGATATCAACCCTGCAAGGCGGTCAACCTACCTCATGTCTTCGACAAGGATTCGCTCCCCTCATGGATTGATATCTTAATTGCAATGATTCGTGAATACAATAAGCAAACGGGACCTGAACGCAAAAATGGAGCAGCTCTTGCGTCCGAAGGCCCCTGCTGCAGAATTAATTTTGATCCCGAGAACTGGAAATTTTCTCTGAGAGTAACGCTGGTACAGCATATTGCCTGCGTATCTTGAGTTCAGGATGTTTGAACGTGGCCTTGAACGTGGCAATTTAGCCCGCTTTGTGAAGGCAGACAATCAAGATTTATGATCCTAGGCGTGTTGTGAAAATACATGGCATCACTGATGGTGTATTTGCTTTGTGATGTTGTAAGTTGACGAAACCGAAGGCTCAGATCATCGCAGGTGTTGCTAATCATTCATCATGACTTAACGAATCCAATGTTAATTGGGTATGCATGTGAGAATTGCCAGTGTGTGAGAATGAATTGGGGCAGTGCCTCTATTGTTGGCACGTGGCGTGAACCCGAAACGGATAGCTTGGGCTTTGTGGCCTACTCCTTTCTTTCCCTCTGTCACCTGCGCAACCCTACTCCATACTGTCCAGTCTCCATACTCGACAGCACACTTTTTTACCCCTCTCGGAGGATCTAGTGTCACGTCAGGGGATCCGTTCATAGCATTTCTAGCTTTAGTACTTACAGCGTTAATATCGGTTCTGAGTACAGTGCAGGACAGTCAAAGTCGACAAATTTGGTCGACTATTTTTATTACCTCCGATAACCATCGGAAACGATGCATATTAGCTAAAGGAGGTTCTCATATAAGTTTCAAAGAAAACTGTCGAGCCATTCCCTCAGAAATTACCATTTACGGATTTTGACCCTCAAAAAGTTCGTTCGCGGCAAAAAGTCGCAGGAAAAACTTCGGAGGTACGTTTTTGAGCTCCTTTCGGTCGTCTGATAATGGCCTCGGTCTCAGTTTTCCTTTAAAAAATCATAGTAACAAGTTGTATAGGGTAGAACACGCCGGTCACCTGTTTTATTGTCCATTTTTCTATCTTTCGTAAATTATCTAGAACGTCTTGTAATGCTTGGAGGGCCGTCTCCAGTGAATACCAGATGAATTTGTCGAGCCAATAGCTCATAAATTAGCTTAACCCCAGTCTTCGCCCTCGAAAAGCTGTCCACAGCCCCTATAATCTAAGAGAGAGGTCAAACCAACAGCATTGGGAGATTCATACTTCAATTTGACGGTGTGGGTGGAAGAGGAGTCCCTTCATCCATGCCCTGCCGAGATATTATGGTGATTTCTCTTGCTCAATCAGCACCCTCCTTCATGGATTATGGGGTTGTAGGACACCCCAATAAGGCAATTACCCCTATAAAGTTTTATTTTTTTCTCTCAAAAAATCGTTCGCGGCCAAAAGTCGTGGGAAAAACTTCGGAGAGTGGTTTTTAAGCTCCTTTTGCCTTTCTGAACCCGTTCCCGATGAAAATTTGGCCAAAAAGATTGTCAAAAGTCGGTTACCAAAGTTGTCGACTTTGACTGTCCTGCACTGTAGTCCAATGGTATGCTAACCGCGAGCTTGACGGAGTCTACAATGATCCCGCCTGACGTATCCCAACAGCCTTGGCCTCCTCTCCAGAACCTTGATCCTTGTCTAGGTAGCGAAAGGTGCGCCCTAATTTCTAGCGCACGGCTTGATTGACCCACAAGTAGTAGCAGTGTGAACCGAACTTTGGCCGGAATATCCCAGCTGATAACACAAATACCCGGTGGAGAGGGCACCAACTCGCTTGCTATCATACTAGCTCAGAGGTTGTTATGCGACAAGCTCACCTCCTTCATGTCGAAGAAGATGCCACCACGTGACAGATCCACGACACGTACTAGCTGCAACGGACCTTGTACCGCTTTCATGTCCCCTTCCAAGGATCTCAAGATCATGGCTTATATCCTCGTGGGGATGCTGACTAAGCCAGATGGGACATTGCACAAACACATTTTGTCGCTAAAAGGGGAAGAAGTTCAAAGTCTCGTTGACACATTGTATTCGGTCAGTAATTCGTAGTACACTAGCACAAGATCCTTTCCCAGTTATCTGACGATGCAGCCTAGTTTACTCACCTGAAATTGCCCGGGGATTTTCAAGAAGAGCTGGACCAAACCTTATTCAAGCTTGCAAAAGCATCGGGAAACTATCCCGCCAAGTTAATCATTGAAGACTTACAATTCAATCAAGAAGACCTCATCGGTTCTGGGGGGTTCGCAGACGTGTATCGAGGAACACATGGCAATGAAGTAGTGGCTATCAAGCAAGCACGTGTGGTAAAATCGGATCTCTCAGCATGGTCCCGAATCATAAAGGTGTGATCATGACACAAAACGCCTTCTGCTTGGGCTGACTTGTGGCACATAGGATTCTGCAAAAGAAATAGTGCTCTGGTCGCGCTTAAGTCATCCCAATATATTGCCTTTACGTGGTATCTTTCGTGGAGGATCCCATCAAGAAAGACGTGTTTTGGCGTTTGTTTCGCCTTATATGGAGAACGGGGATCTCAGTCATTATCTTCGAAGCTCAGGAGATGCCTGTTTGAAAAAGTCATTGGTTAGTAAGCCCTACAATATCGAAACACTCCTGCAATGCTAATATTTCATTAAATCAGGTCCTTGACGTCATTCAAGGGCTGGTGCATCTTCACTCTCAGAGGCCACCTGTGATACATGCTGATATTAAGCCGGTAAGCGTTACGGGAGATCTTATGTCCGACTTCTAACGCTGCTTAGGCGAATATATTCATCTCTGCAGATGGAAGGGCTTGCATTGGCGATTATGGGCTTTCTTATATCAAGAACAGTGCCCAAGCAAATGGGGCCACGACGAAGCGCCATGCACTTGGAAAGACGTTACAATACTCGGCACCAGAGCTTTTCGATGACGAACATGTACCCATGAGTCGATCTCGAGATATCTATGCTTTTGGCTGCGTATTATACGAGGCGAGTGAAATAGAGCATATGTAAATTGCACCTAGTTCTTATCAAATTCTCCACAGATCTACTCAGGAAAGCCGCCGTATGCTGGCCTGCGTGAAGGCCAAATACTCAAGGCTATTATGTTTGATAAACAGCTTCAAAAACCTAATATAATCGACGATAACTTGTGGAGAATCATCCAGGATTGCCGAGCCTTCAAAGCGCTGGATAGGCCATCGGCTAATGATGTGCTCAGGATGCTCCAGGAACCTTCTGTGTCTCAGAACGAGTTTCGCCCCACACTTCACCAAATACCAGCTCACCAGCATCAACAGAATCAGATTCAGAGTAACTTGCACCTAGGTAATCCTACTCTTCGGGATTTGCGGCATCCATCGCCTCGGCCAACTCGGATCTCCACATCTTCCCGGAATGCTCTGACGACCAAGGAAGGGTATAAAAGGCTTGCCGAAATGGTCTTATCAATGAATTCTCAGATGCATAGCACGCTGGAGAGACAAAGGCTGCCAATGCCGCCACAAGCCTCCATATCAACAGGGGCAGGGGTCGCGCGATCAGGCGACCGAGGCAATTCAGCCTGGTCACAGATGCTGGCACTTCCAACACCGGGCGCTAACCGCGACGCAGAGACGTGCGAGCTGTGCGACTTTTGGAAGGCGTACATGCGTACACCGCTCTCTGGGCCGCAGCTGAATGCAGTGTGACCTCGTACTACTCGAAGGCGCGATAGCTCCTGGTAAGCATGCATTTGTGGCTTTGTTATCTTTTCTCTTCTTCTAACCCCGCATGTTTTATACCAAGGTTCTGTTCCCTGGATTTGACTTGCAGCGTGCATTCAATGCACCACGCGTGCTGGGTTAATTTATTCACTATCAGTTATCACGTCAACCTACAAACTTGGAATAAAGACACTTGTTTTTCCTCTGCTGTATTCAGAGTGTTCGATATCATGACTCATGCACGACCTAACGTAAAGTTCGAGGATTGAATGGGCATAGGAAATATTAGCCGCCTGTGGGCTGCTTCATCATGCCCATACATAAAATTGTTACGTAACCCATCTGATGTTTCTCACTAATAATTGAGGCCCGGCGTGATTGGAAAGAACTGCAGAGTGTGTGGCGATTGCATGCTGTATAAGTAGTGGTGGAGAAAGAAAGGCAAGCACATTCAGCCACCGTCACACCCCACGTATATAGCCCTAGTCAAGTCCTAGTATCCCAGTGCCAGCATCATCGATGTGAGATGAAATGTTTGGCTAGAATTTGTAAGCGCATGCCAGGATAGACCCATCGGTAGTAGTAGACACCAGTAGGAAAAGGCGGCTTCGAGATGCTGATCTCGAAATCAAGAAATTTGAGATACAACCCGGCCACAGTCAAGCTAGTCAATGCAAGAGTCAACGAGTGCAGTCATCCATAGATGGCCCATTGGATGCCTGGGTTTGTCTCTTGAGGTTCGTAAGGGACCGGTGCCGGTACATCGGAATGTGAGTTCGGCGACGCGAGCCAATGAGAGCGTGAGACCGGGGGATCTGCCCGGGAGTTACTGTCGGTCTGCTCGGTGTTTGGCACAGCCCGCGAACACAGGGGCCTTAACGAGCAGTCTCCGTAGCGAAAAGCGTGGCTTGTGTTTCTCCGCAGCCCGGGGCCATGTCGACTTGACCGGTTTCGCTGTTTGTCGCCGGAGATTTCTTGCCTGTGACCGTAGCAATGCTTAATATGCGGATGGTATATATTGCATGTCATAGCATGGTCGATCCCCCATCAACTTGAACGCCATGTCCTCCCTTCCCGTCTCCTTAGACTCCATCACCAACACTCTGAACACCTACTCGGATCAGATCGACTCTTTCGTTGGTCAATCATCAACCGTATCAACCAAGGCCCTTGTCGTCACAGGCGGTGCCCTTGCTTCGTACCAGCTATGGAAGCTCACCTCCTACCTCTACCGACACTTCTTCGCCTACAGCGGCCTTCCCGGCCCCAAGCGCTCACATTGGTTCTTTGGGAACATCAGGGAGATGATGGGCGAGGTATGTACCGCTCGTCATTCAAAGTCTATCCGCGATTGACCCGTCCCATAGAACACCCATGAGGTTCAGAAGCAATGGGTAGAGCAATAGTGCGTACATGCAGCCAACTGGCCCGTGTTCGCGTCTGACGTACTCCGCAGCGGATCCACCTTCGTAGTTCATAACATTCTTGGAGGAAAACGCCTCTTCACGACGGACACACGCGCTCTGAGCCATATACTCCTCAATACCTACGACTACCCAAGATCGGACGAGGCTCGTTTTCGTTTGGCGCGTATCATGGGTCACGGTAAGCTCGCACTGGTTGTCAAGCCTTCCTCAGTGCTAATCCCGGACAGGTCTACTCTTTGCTGAGGGTGATCAGCATAAGCTACAGCGGAAGGTCATGGTGCGTTTCGCAGGTTTTCTCTCTCGTCTTTTTTTGCTTATATCTATGTCTTGTAGAACCCCGCGTTTGGCCCCATTCAGCTTCGAGAACTGACACAAATCTTCGTGGAGAAATCTAACCTCGTACGTGTCCCCTGACCTGTGTGACACTACTCTGTTGTCTGATGATCTCCGAAGCTGCGCGACGCCTGGCTTTCTGAAATCGCCAAAACATCCTCGAATCGCGTCGACGTACTTGACTGGCTTAGCAAGATGACTCTTGATGTGATCGGCCTGGCAGGTGAGTTCCCAAGTCTGACAGTAGTTTCATATTCTTGACTAACGCCATGGTATTAAGGCTTCAACTATAACTTCAATGCTCTCAATCCAGATGCAGAGCCAAACGAGCTCAACGAGGCCTTTGGTTCTCTTTTCCGTGCTGGTGGAAGCCCCGTGGCGATGTTCCTCGCTATGTGGCTCCCATTCTTGGATTGGCTGGTTGGTCCGACCTCTTCGTCTTAGAGACAACAGCTCACACCATTCGTAGCCTAGAGAGCGAGGCCGCCAGGTCGCAACTGCTAAAGGTACGATGGCTCGGATAGGGCGAGAGCTACTGGCAGAGAGTAAAGCGGCTGCACTGGAAGAGCAGAAATCGGGCAAAAAGTCCCGCGCAAGGGACCTCTTGACTTTGCTCGTGAAGGCCAATATGGCAGAGGGTGCCAATAACATGTCTGACGAAGACGTTTTGGCTCGTGAGTCCCATCTATGCTTGTTCTCACTCGGTTCTAAACAGAACTACCGTCCAGAAATCCCAACTTTCCTCGTCGCTGGCCACGAGACGACGAGCACGGCCACCTCGTGGGCGCTCATGTCTATTGCAGAGAACCCGGACATCCAAGCGCGCCTCCGGGAGGAGATCGCTTCGCTCGGCACGGACACGCCGACGATGGACGAGCTCTCGGAGGGCTCGCTGCCGTACCTCGACGCGGTCGTGCGCGAGAGCCTGCGGCTGCACTCGCCCGTGCCGTTCGCGGCGCGCAAGGCGGCGCGGGACGACGTGATCCCACTGGGGACGCCGTACACGGATGGGCGAGGGCGGGTGCACACGGAGCTGCGCGTCGAGGCTGAGAACACGATGATCGTGCCCATATATGCCATGAACACGGCGGAGGAGATCTGGGGGTCCGATGCGACGGTGTTTAACCCCGAGCGGTGGATGCAGGGCGGGGGGCCCGAGAAGGCGCATGGGCTGCCTGGGGTGTGGGGGCATCAGATGACGTTTTTGGGAGGGCAGCATGCGTGCATTGGATATAAGTTTTCGTTGTTTGAGTGAGTGTTTTCTGTTCTGTCGACGGACTCTTTGAGCGGTCGGGGTGCTGACGAGGTGCGCGTATTATAGGATGAAGGCGTTGCTGTTCTCGCTCGTGAAGGCGTTCGAGTTTGAGCTGGCGGTTCCGGTGTCGGATATTGGGGTGCGGCAGACTGTTGTGAGACGGCCGATTGTGAAGTCGCAGAAGGAGAAGGGGGCGCAGATGCCGCTCTTGATCAAGCCAATTCCGGCGTAGATTTGGCAAGTCTGCTTGTGCAGTGAAGGTCAGTAGTAGGTGTTGGCTTGTTGATATATAGTGCGTATTTATTCGATGGACTTGCTGTTACTTTACTGTTTACGCGTGTTCGTAGGATGTGACCGAATTAAGAGTTAATACAACCTCTCGAAGTCTTGATCAGTGCTGCATCGCGAGTTCCACCTTGAAGCCCCGGTCTGGATCCAATGTTGCCGACCGGCCCCCGACTTTCAGGCCTCTGGCCCAGGATTGAGCGCTGAGCCACGTACCTACCAACCCGTTACTGACCTGTCACTAGGGACAGCTCACCGGGAAATGTATTGACAAACCCTCGCATTTGCACGTGATGGTGTGGAATCGTTAGCGGGCGCCGAGCGTGGTTCATCGGATAATCTCATCGAGGACCTTCAGGAAGTTCCCTTGGTAAGAACCACCCACTGATCGTGTAAGCTTATGCGAAGAAACAGCTGGCAAACCCGAGGACCGCTAGGGCTAGCTGCTTAACGTTCTACTGCTTTTGTCGATGTGTTCTCACTCCTGATGGGCGCTGGCCCACAGCCTCGGGTTAAAGGACAGAAGTACATCGTGATGCGGAGGGATTTCTCTATCGACCCTTTCCTCTCTCACCTACCCGCTATCTCTTCAACACCAGGCACTCCGCCGACGATAACTGGTCCATCTCACTGTTTACCTCGTCTATGATGAGCGCTGCCGTCTCGCCCAACGAAGCACAGCTTGAGAAGCTCCTCGAGCTTATCACGTCTTCCGCGCGAGCCGCGATACGGGAGTACAAGCAGGCAGCCGGTGCCTCTGCACGAGCGGACCCCGTGCCGAGCATCCACGACCCCGAGTTCCACCCGCTCGATACTGCACAAGACACGGTACGCCTCAAGAAGGCGGTCCGGACACTCGAGGGCGCGGCCCAACAGCTTGCGGCGACGCTCGCGCCACCCCAGCACACTGTCATCAACGTGAGTCCTTCTTCTTTCTGCCAATGTGAATGGGTACGCGATAGAGTGGGAGCGGTGGCGTACGGGGGCCATATCTCGGAAGCGGGACGTGCTTGGCTGACTGGTCTTGGGAAATGGAAATTGATTGCTCCACGCAGTTTGCCCACAACTATGATTGGGCGTGTGTGGGCGTCGTGATGCGCGCGGGCGTGCCCGAGCTGCTCAAGAAGCATCCCAAGGGTCTGCACGTTGACGAGATCGCAAAGGCGGTAAAGTTGGAGCCTGGCAAGCTTGGGCGGGTGATGCGCACGCTTGCTGGCAAGGGGTGCTTCAAGGAAGGTGAGATAGCAATAGCGACAGTGTCCCCTTGTGACTGATGATGTCGCTATTGATTTTCAGTCAGCGAAGGCACTTTCGCAATCAACCGGCTTGCGAACCATCTCTTGCCGACGTCGGGCCCCGGCGCCTTGGCGCGCATCCACGCGCAGGACGTCTCGCGCGCCGCCAATGTCCTGTGGGACTCCTTGACGCTGCCCGAATATGCGAGCAGCTATGACCCCGAGCACAGTCCGCTCATTCTTGCCATCCGGAATGAGGGCAAGAATGAGAGTTTCTTTGAGTGGATGAAGGAAGATGTAAGTTGTCGTTATCACCTTGACCACAGTTGAGACTAATGTGAACTTTTACCAAGCCCGAGCGCGGCGAAGTAGGTCATATTCCTTTCAAGCAAGGGCTATGAAGCTGATGGCATTGACTGCAGCGGTATCACCTTGCGATGATTGGTCTCGGAGATATCATGGGCTCACTGTCTGTTTTGACCCGTGAGTTGAGCGTGTTCAGGAAGTTGTCCTCGTCTGATCAGGGTTCCGTGCAGACTATCCCTGGAGTGAGATCAACACCCTCGTCGACGTTGGGTCCAGTATTGGCACTGTGTCCATTCCATTGGCTCGTGCGCACCCTCATATCAAGCTAACGTGCCAGGACTTGGAGGAGGTCACGGTCAGGGCAAAGGATGTGAGTGCCCCAGCTGCATGAGATGTAGGGCTGTCTGACGGCAGTTTCAAGATCTGGACAAATGAGTATCCCGAAGCGATCAGCTCAGGACAGGTTTCGCTCGTCCCGTTGAACTTCTTTGAGCAGACGCCTGTGAAGAACCAGGACGCGTACTACGTGAGTTCCATACTACCCTCCTGAAACGCCAAGTCCTTACAGTTGCCGTTTCCCGCAGCTCCGTAACATCATCCACGACTGGCCAGACCACGAGGCCACCCTCATCCTGCGCAGCGTTCGTGCTTCGATGGGGTCAAACAGCCGGGTGTTGATCCGTGAGCGAATCCTATCACCTCTTTCGGGGACCGTCTGACAGCCTGCAATGTAGATGACTACGTGCTCCAAACCACTAACCGGAAACCTATCGAGGAATATCACGGCGCCGATGTGGTGCGTACTAGCTCTCTCTTCGCTGCGCCGCAGTGTTCAAACAGATTTATGAACCAATTGTATGCAGGCCCCTGAACCAATGCTCCCTAACTTCGGTGCAGGCACTGCACGCGCGTATCAGCAAGACCTGAACATGTGGTTCATTCATAATGCTAAGGAGCGGACGGTCGGTGACTTCACGAAGCTTGGGTACGTGGAGTCGCATGGCCTACACTCTTGTTCAGTGCTGATAAGGTTGTGTTCCCGCATAGGGCTGCCGCCGGTCTCCGTCTGGAGAATATCTACGATCTTGCGGAGGGGTCTGTGCTTGAGTTTAGACTCGCATAAAAGAAGGCAGTTGTTTTGGGGGTACGATGGAGATGCAGTATGACGGATGGGGGAACTTGAGCACTTTTCGCTTGTATTGGGCCTCTCAACGGGCAATAATTGGCGTACATGTAGTATAGAACCTGTACTTTATACGGCGGCAGATAATTCAACTTGGTGTTGTTCGCCATTAGACTGGCCTCTAGACCAGTCGGAAAGCATTGTACTCGAGTACTTTGATATTGATAGCTTAAGTTCGTAGCGAATAAACCAGCGGATGTTCGCTATTGCTGACTCGGATGCTGTGTCCACAATGCTGTTCTACGCAGCCAAGTGTACAAGCCAATGCTTCGACGTCTTGTCATCTAGGCAAGCGTTTTGGATAGAGTTTCGCGAATGAAGCTGTTTACCAGGTTAGGGACGAACGGAAGTAGCGCTGGTCCGAGCGGCCCGTCTGTCCTCGGATGAGCAACCTTATTTTACGCGTCCGAGTCAATGCCGCGGATCTATTTGAGACACGCGCTCGGAGCACTGCGCGACGCTGATGAGGATGCCGTCCGGGAGTCAGTACATGTAATACTAGGACGGTCCAGTACAATTGGGGCTCGCGGAGATCGGCGTCCTAGTGGCAAGTCAAGTGGAGAAACTGCGCATCGGGTCGAATCAACATCCGCCTTGTTGACCATTGACATGTTGCTTGTCGGTGCATATACAGAGATGACAAGCTAGATATAGACTGTTCCACGTCGATGGAAAGCTGCCAAATTTATAGATGTACATAACGTTCACTATATATGAGACAAAACCCCCTGAAGTAGCAACTTTGCGACCTAGTACAGCGACCTAATGTATATGATCTGATGCCTAAATTTGGTCTGTGAAACAACGAAGACGAACCAAAGGAAATAGACTGAGACTTGTCACTGGAAAAGAGGTGCTGACGGGGTCCAGTTTGTTCACCGTAGTTGACAGGATTTCCCAGCGGGCCGAGGGATAACCGCACAGGATCGCTATCGTCACCGAATTGTTCCCAATCCGCGACGGCACGTCAAAGCACAATAGTTTGTGAACCTTGGATCGACGAGCTCCCTGACGGCGTTTTCCGCCTCCGTTGATAGTTTGCTGTATTTTGATCGATTTTAGGCGCCAGATAGCTGTAAATCGAAGGATGCGAAGCAGGGATCCGGAGGTACTCCCTGCGGGTGTGCAGCTTTAAACGACGAGCGAGCGAGCGAACAGCAGCCATGCTTCCTCAATATGCCCCCCGCACCTCGACGAGTATGCATCGAACTCTTTTTCATGCATTCTGGAGTGCTAACTTTCCTCAGGAGGCTGCCCTAGCGTGCACGCACCCGGGCTGCGGGGCCCGCTTCACGAGTGCAAGGGATGCTAAGGTCCACATTGAGAACTTGCAGTACGTTGTAATTGCCATTCTCAAGCCAAAACTTACGGTGTCTCTTTCGTCGTAACCAGTTTCCGGTTTCTGCGCTACATGTGCCAGAAATGCGCATACGCCACGGCGGATCCATCCTCAATCAGTCGACACAATAGCACGGTGCACCCGACTTGTTCGAGGACAAGATTCTGGGACGAGGTCAAATGTGAAGGTAAAGATCATCAAGACTTGGATATTAAACATAAGCAAAGCCCAAGTCTACAGAATCTTGGAAGTCACTCTGCTCCGACATTGAACCAGGCCGCTCAGAGGTGCCGTTGGAGTCGGATTCGGAGAGCCCTAGATCCAGCACAAATCAGCCATTCAACACAGAGGTACTACAACTTACTTGTCTTTTTTGAGTAAATTACAACCTACATTAACTAGGCTAACTTGTTCCCAGACAGGACGTATGGACCAGTACGCGTGTGAGCTGGCGATATCCGCCGATAATTTCCTCAAGTCCTTCACATTCGCGTGATATTGATCGATGGAACCTGAGGCCTGACAGACGACCGCGATGGTGGATTCGCTGCCAGCACTGTGGCGCATTACATGGGAACGGCTCCGGACGAGTGCATGCCGCGATCCTTCTTAGGCGGAGCTTAGAAAATAGGGCACCGATCGGTGAAAGCCGCAGCAGTACAAAGGCACGGTCATTTCTCATCGCCGCTACGACTCCGAGATCGCCGTCGACGTCGAAGAGTCGATAGAGTCATCTCCTTGGCCAAACCAAGTGGATATGGAGCTATGGAGGCCAACCCGGCATATGATAGTTGTTTATTAGAGGATTATTGTTATAATACCATACAGCATTTACTGTAATTTAGCATTGCGCAAAGTCTGTAATTACTGTACTTAGTAGTATCGGAATTTTCCGAGGCATCTCAGCTTGCGGGGACGGTCGGCTCTCTCAAATGCCCACTCTCATTCCCTCGGTCAAGCCCGAATCAGGCTCCCAGCGCTTCGCCGTATCGATTCATCCGGGTGTAGTTGGGTATCAAAACGGAACACAAGGCGGCCGCTGATGAACTCTTGTCAAACGATACATAATTTTGACATCACTGGAGAACATTGAAACGGCGAGGATTAGCGCTGTTCGAGCCATTGGAAACATTCTGCAACTCAACACTCATGAGTGAATTCGGTTGCTGCATCGTTCACGATTTGCTTCATGATCCAGATACATACGGAATAACAAGGCGGAGATTCTTTCATCCATGGTTTGGGCTAGGGCTAAGGCCAAGGATGCTTTGCGCGATTGTGTGCTTTGGCCGTCAACGATTCCCTCTACTTGGGCTGACGAGGCTACAATCCTACGGAGACCATTCCAGACCAACAGCCCCTCATGCTCGTGTGCAGATCTGTACTATCCTCACAAGTCCTCACAAGTCCTCACAAGTCACTGCCTGCACCAGACAGTGTCTCGGGCTTCGGGCTGGTTAAATGTGTCAAGGCCTGACTAATCCACCCCGCCGGCGGCAATTATGCATGGCTGACAGATCGACTATACAGAGCAGGTATATATATCGCTTGAGTGCTGCTGGAAAGGATCCACCTCGATTTCCACCCTTATCGCAACCATGACCACTGTTACGACGTCGATGAACTACTATGGCCTCCCCGAGGACGGTTCCCGCCCATACCAAAACATCAATGCGGACCCAGTCTCCGGGGAGAGAGCTCGCAACTGGACTTATAATGAACAGACCGTTTCTGTGACGAACATTCGAGACACGTTTGATAAGGAGGCGGCAGCCGGAAAGCAGGAGACATACAACCTCGACACATCTGGGTTCCTGTTCTCCAAGGGCTCGTCGAAGCACAAGAGCTTTACGACGAGCGAGGAGATTGAGAAGGAATATTACCCGGAGTGTATTGAGTACTTCAAGCAGCTCACGGGTGCTAGTCGGGTTGTTATCTTTGACCATAGTACGTTCGCCTTACCGAACTGAGATACGAATACTCACAATAGAGCAGCTATCCGTCGTCGTCGTCCTGGGGAACTCGACGATCATCCTGACCGGCGGCAGCCTGTCTCTCTCGTACATGTCGACCAGACGGTCAAGTCCTCGATCGCTCGTGTGCACCGACATCTTCCCGCCGACGAGGCGCCTGAGCTCGCGAAGCGCCGATTCCAGCTCATCAATCTTTGGCGTCCGATCGACAATCCGGCATGGGAGTGGCCGCTCGCGCTATGCGACTTCCGGTCTGTGAACTATGATCAGGACCTGGTTCCCGTCGCACTCGTGTACCCTGACCGAGAGGGCGAGACCTTTGGTGTGACGCATAACCCGGAGCACAGGTGGAATTATGTGAAGGGCATGACGCCGGATGAGTTTGTGTTGATCAAGTGGTGAGTTTGGGTGTTTTGTATCGCTAACGGTTCCTGGAGAGTTCTGACGTACCTTGAAGCTTCGACTCGCTACGCGATGGAAGTACTGCGTTCCTGACGCCGCACACTGCTTTTGAAGACCCAACAACTCCGGAAGGGGCGCCGCTTCGCTCGTCGATTGAGATTCGGGCACTGCTGTTCTACGATGAGTGAAGGTCAAGTGCAATTAATAGCAGGCGCTGTGCGGGAGATGCGTGGAGACACTGGAGAGGGACTTCTGCTTTGCTTGAAATGTACATAGCACCTAGATATTGTACGATGCTAATCAGAAATGAGGTAGTCTTCGATCGCTCGTCCTTGCTACCGACTCGGATGTGCCATCTAACTTTACCTCGATCGGCCGACAAGATGTCCATGTCAAGATGTCCATGTCAAGATGTCCATGTCATGTGCATGAATAATGACGCATGTTGTCAGCAACAAGTTATCGGTGTTAGTCGGACCGGAGCATGTAAGCCCCGCAGAATTTAGGACCAATTTTTAGAGCCGTTTTGGTCCGATTATATCTCGGCTCACTCATTTCTAAGCCCATCTACACCTTGCTTAAGGCTGATTGCAACCTCCATCACGTTCAGCAGATGCTCGTCTGGATCTACTTCCTGCTGGACGTCAGTGTTTGTGTTGTATCGTTTCTACACAATCGGCCTCTCACGTTCTCCAGATTTGGACCCGCGTTGTTCTCGTGTCTGTTCAAAAATGACCGATTCTCAGGGCATTTCTCCCGTTCATCGGGAATTCTGGCTTCTATGCATATTCCCCTTCAGCGGCCTTTGCTTCTCGTAAACCGAGCCGACCTGCTATAAAGCATGTTTCTGAAACATATAGCGAGGCTGCTACTCTCATCTAAGGCAACGGGGCCCGACATACGGTGCATGACGTGAACATCAAGACGCGAACTGCTGTAACCTTCATGATCAAAAGCTGCATCGGTCAGATATCGGATGCCGGTCCACTCGGTCAATAACCCTAATTTGCTTCGGACATTACATGTATTGCACTTGCAAACCGGCATAGGTCGGTGTGCACCTGTGTGCATCTTTAGCGCGGGGTTGACAACGGCCGTGTTATATATCCCACTCAGCTGTCATCCCTGCTCTTAGATCTGGCAGTCACCTACGCTCCCTATAAGTAACGCGATATAGTCCATCTGCGATGGTTCCACTGAACACAAACGTCGCTATGACCACGTCGACGTTCGTATACTATGGTGCCCCCTCGAGCGGCGAACGTCCCTACCAGATGGTCAACAAGGACTCGGTGACGGGTAAGCGGATCTGCAACTGGACGGAGGACGAGCATCAGATGGAGATAAAGAACATCCGGGAGACGTTCGAGACGGAGCGGGTGTTTGGGAAGCAGGCGACGTATACACTCAATACATCCGGCTTCCAATTCCACCGGCAGCCGACGACGCACCAGGACTTTACGAGCGATACGGCGGTCAAGCAGGGGTACTACCCCGAGTGCGTAGAGATGTTCAAGAAGTTAACAGGGGCGAGCGAGGTGGTTATCTTTGATCACAGTGAGTACCTCATTTCCTGGTGATCAGACACTGGTCTAATTGAGAGGGTATTAGCTATTCGCCGGCGTAACCCGGGCGCACCGGACGATTCACCGGACAAGCGTCAGCCAGTATCGCTCGTGCATGTCGACCAGACGCTCAAGTCGTCGCTTGCGCGTGTTAACCTGCACTGCAGCCCGGCGGATGTGCCTAAACGCCTGACCCAGCGTTTCCAGGTTGTCAACCTTTGGCGGCCAATTGAGAGGGAGGCGTGGGACTGGCCCTTGGCGCTATGCGATTACAGGAGCGTAGACCCAGAGAAGGACTTGATCCCCGTCGCGCTTGTGTATCCGGATAGGGAGGGCGAGACGTACGGGGTCACGTATAACCCGAACCACAGGTGGCACTATTTGAGAGGGATGACTCCGGATGAGTTGGTGCTTATCAAGTGGTATGTTTCGCGAATCGATGGCCGAGTTTGGTATGCTCATCAGAGTTCAGCTTTGATTCTCTGCAGGATGGCAGCGTAGCTAGATTGACGCCGCACACGGCGTTTTGCGATCCTACGACGCCCGAGGGATCACCTTATAGATCCTCGATTGAGGTTCGAGCCATCCTTTTCTATGACTGATTTGGGTTTTTGTATTTGTACTCTGATACGATCGAAACATACTACTTTGCTGTGCAAGTAAAACCTGAGTCATTTGCGACTCGTGTACCTGAGATAGAGAGTAAAGCGTTACCGTTGTTCTATGTCGTATTGATACGAGTATTCATTTCAACATGATACCGCATTTATGTCTAACTTTGAGGGGATTCCACTTCAGTTTCACTTGAAATATTGGCTCTGAAGAGGCCAAGCGGGAAACCTAAGCGACATAGGGAGCGCGGTACTATATGCGCGCTCGGAAAACGGATCACGGGAGGAAACTCACTCATCACGTGCAGCGATTTTGGGTTTTCGATTCGCTAAACGGGTTGTATTATCGCAGCAAAGCAGAACTGGTGTAGCAACATCCGATGCCTGCTCTCCAACAACGAACCACTAAAAAGCGCACCGCGCCCACCTCGCAAGATGGTCCTAAATCTAAAAAGCTCAAGGCAACCTCATCAAAACCAAAATCGTCGGCGTCGGACGCAGACCATGTCAAGGAGAGCGGCAAGAAGCGAAGTCGGCCAGTGACCGCGTCGGTAGTCGCAGAAAAAGATGAAGAAGAGTCGGACTATGAGGATGAGGACGCTGGTGACGACTTTCTGGACGAAGGTGGAGATGGCGATGCGATGGACGTTACGGAAGATCAGGTTGCGTCGAAGGACCCTAATGGTACGTCTGTCTTTGCATTTTTGACCTTCTTCGCAAAAGACAAACTTACAACTGTGTGTCAGCCTCCCGTGAGTCTCACAAGGCTCAGAGAGCCCTTGCACAGCAACGCCGTGCATCCAAACCCCACTCGGCACTCTTGACGTCGGCGAAGCAGATATGGTCGCAAGCCCGCCTCAAGCCGCCTGCTATCACTCCTGCGGAGCGCACAAAACATGTGAACGAGCTTATGGATGTTCTCCGGGGACATGTGAAGGACGTTGTGCTAAAGCATGATGCGAGCCGGATCATCCAAACGCTCGTCAAGTACGGGTCGAAAAAGCAGCGGGAAGAGATTGCGACGGAATTGAAGGGGTCGTTCCGTGACCTTGCACAGAACCGGTATTCTAAGGTATGTACCTCTTCCTGAAATAGTTGGAAACTGATGGGTGCATTGTGTTACTGTAGTTCCTCGTCACCAAACTCATCCGCCTTTGCCCTGGCCAACGTGCATCCATCCTCTCCGAATTCCAAGGGCATGTCCTCAAATTACTTCTCCACCGCGAGGCATCGAGTGTCTTGGCCGACTCGTTCGAACTGTATGCCAATGCGTACGAGCGAAGCATATTGCTCCGCGATTTTTATGGCAAAGAGGTTGCCCTCTTTTCAAAGATCGACAGTGGAGATGCGCCAGCAAAGGAACGCGCCAAGGCGGGTCTCGTCGGTATTGTACAGGACATGGACGTTGAGAGGAGAAAGCGGACTGTGAACGCCGTCAAGGAAAATCTGGAGACAATGTGAGTGTTTTCTCGGCATTTGTCCCTTGACGAGTGTCTAAAGTTGCTTGGTCTGCAGATTTAACAACCCCGATAAGGGTGCTGTGACGCATGCCATTGTTCATCGCGCGCTTTGGGAATACCTTGCAGCCCTTCCTAAGGGCGAGGAAGGAGAGAAGACGAGAAGAGAGATGTTCGAGTGGTATGTGGTGTATATATGCGTCTGAAGCTATGATTCTAAAACTGGATCTCGCATTGCATCTCAGTTGCCAAGAAATTCTTGCCGAGATGGTGCATACGAAAGACGGCAGTAGGGCTGTGCGAGAGTTTTTAGCGTACGGTACCGCGAAGGTGGGTTCCCTGAGACCACTGTCGTTATTTGGTCCTCATCACGCCAATTTTTCAGGACCGAAAGCACATCACCAAAGTCCTGAAGCCTCACGTCGAACGCATGGCTACGGACGATGAAGCTCAGCTTGTACTGTTCACTGCCCTCGACGTCATTGAGTAAGTTTGTCCCGTTTGGCTTGTTATGGTTTGCTCACGGTACGTTCCGCGTTAGTGATACGAAGATGTCGGCAAAGTCTCTCGTTTCACCTATAACAACGACGACATCAACACTTGTGGCCTCACCGCAGGGCCGCCGTACCCTATTGTACCTCCTCGTTCCCCGATCGCGGCGGCACTTCACGCCTGCGCAAACAGCGGTACTCGCTGAGACGGATAAAGTACGAGATGGGGTTGAAGGAAAACGGGAAGGGACCAGTAAAAAGGATGCAGCGGTTCGGGCGACCGAAGTTCGTCAGGCCGCGAGCCCGGACCTCATTGAGTGGGTGCGAACAGATGGGCCGAGTGCAGTGCGGGAAACGGGAGGGAGCTTGGTAGTGGGCGATATTATGCTCTTTGCGGAGGGCGGTAAGTTTGGTTCGTCAACGTCAATGAGAATTCTGGGACTCATGCCGTGTAGACAAAACCGCTGCTTCAAAAGCTCTCCTAGAACCTGTCGGGGCATCGTATCCATCAAGCACAGGCGATGGGCCCGAGGATGAAACGTCTCTCCATGCTATACAGCTGCCTCACACGTCGCGCACGTACAAGACACTCCTGCAAGGTGGACACTTCTCACATGCAACAAAAACCATCGAGCGCGCCCCTCATTTCTCGGCCGAGAAGTTCGCGGAAGAGTTTGTCAAGGTTGTGGGGCAGGACAAGGAGAATGCGCTGAGGATAGCCAAGGGAGACGGTGCATTTGTGTTCGCGGAGCTGCTGGAGAGGGTGAGGGAAGAGGCGGACTCGGAGGTGAAGAAGACAGTCAAGGGCTGGTTCAAGGACGGGAAGTGGAATGAAAAAGAAGACGGCGAGGGAAGGGGGCATGTGGTGCTGAAGGAGAAGGTAGATGCGCTGTTGGCCTCATAGGAGTCTTGGGGTCTATTGCATTAAAAGCCTTCATGGTCGGTAAGAGATTACTATGACGCCGCTGAGATAGTTTGCTCATACTGATATTGCCTGAAAACGCCGAGCAGCCCATGCTCACTTGGACTAGGATACTGTTACATCTATCGGAGGCACAATGCACTTGCTTGCAACTGGGACGAAGTTTCATGGTTTTCCTCTCATCACAAGTACTTATGATATCACCGCGAGCGGAATACAACATCCGACAAATGTGAGAGGTAAGGAACCACAAACAGTTTCATGAGTGCATGGACGCCAATCTTCCTACCATAATCAGAAGACTATGTCTTTTTTTCTTCATACACGGCATCGTCTATCTACACAGGTATATCCTCCTTGTGTCGCTGATGTTTATATAAAAAGGAAGGTAATAAACGTCAGCACATCACTCAGAAGCCGGCGTTCTGCAAGGTATCTCAAGAACTCAGTCGAAGCCAGGGTGGCCAGGAAGTCGTTAGTCGCTCCTAGGAGAACGATGAAAACGGGGGAGACTCAACAGACGGCGATGGTCAGTGTGACCAAGGAGTTACTATAAGATGGCAAAACAGGAACTCCTTTCACCGTTCGTCGGCACGAGCGACCTCAAAGTTACGCCGTTACGCTCGCTCATGCGCTGACTTAGATCGCCGTGAACGACCTCCACCGTATGACGAAACGATCCGCTTTTCACTGGTCTCCACGGTGGCTACGCATTTGACTTTCCTTGCCTTTACATCGCCTCGAGAACATAGTAAGAGGAAGTCTTGCAGAGGCTGGGATCAATGATTATGATGCACCTAATTCTCATTCGTCGACTTACTCCCTTTTCTCGTCTAAGTCTAAGGCTCAGATATAAGAAGCTGTTGCGGTCGAAGGTTTGAGTTGGTTGCAAATGTGTCTACCTACTATGATGTTCAGTGGACGCGATGAGTAACGGAAGCGTCAAAGTTGTACCGCCTGCTTCTGACCACAGATCTGTCGTATCTCTAGCGAATAGGGCTCTAGTAAAGGTCCGCGGTTATGACAATTTCAGGCCTCGCAGCCAGCGCATTTATGAACGCCGTCCAAGACATCGAGTCTTTGGGTTTCTGAAAGAGGCTCCGCAGCAGCAGAAAGTTAAATCAAGATACCGACCGAGGCGAGCAAGGCTTGTAATTATGCTTTTACCACTGCGTTATGCTGTTGGCATCAAGACAAGAAGCGCGGTGCGGCAATGTAGTGTGGGACAGCGATAGCGCGGCAGGATATCACAATTGCAGCGGTGGTGCGAGGCGTGAGTATGTAGTTCGTTGGTCCGTGCTTCTCGACACATGACCTCCGCCCTCGCAGACGATGGACCGGGAAATAGCTAAAGATGTGTGCTGCGTGCATAAAATCCCTTGGATTCGCAACGCTGAGGTGGTCATTCATCCCCGTCTAATAGCCCATCAATCTCTATTCTATGTCAGCACCAAGAGTCTGGTTCAGTGCGTCCAGCCTTTCTTTCCCTTTGCAAGCCATGCATCTGACAGACACACGACACAATCGCGGCTAGTCACCGGGGCGTCGTCTGGCTTCGGCAAGTCGATGACTGAGCTTGTCCTCCAGAAGGGCGACTCGGTCATCGCGACGCTCCGCAAGCCCACGATGATCGACGACCTCGTCGCAAAGTACCCCAAGGAGCGCTTGCTCGTCCTCCAGCTCGACGTCACGAAGCCGGATGACGTCGCCGCGGCGTTCGCCAAGGCTAAAGAGGCATATGGGCGCATCGACGTCGTATTCAACAATGCGGGGCGCATGAGCCTCGGCGAGCTGGAGTCGATGGGTGACAAGGCCGCGAGGGATATGATGGAGGTGAACTTCTGGGGCGCGGCGCATGTCTCGAGGGAGGCAGTGAAGTTCTTCCGAGAGGTGAATGGACCGAAGGTGGGCGGGTTGTTGATGCAGGTGTCTTCGAGAGCGGGGATCGTGGGCAACCCAGGAGGGGTTTATTATAGTGCTTCGTAAGTCGTTCCATGATCCACTGAGGATTGTAGCTGACGGGAGCGCTGCCTACAGGAAATTCGGTGAGCACTGCACTATTATGGGAGAGATTTAATCTGACCCGAACCGTCTTGTAGCTCTGGAAGGCCTGACCGAATCACTGGTAAAAGAGCTCAACCCGGAGTGGAACATCAAGGTGACGATGGTCGAGCCCGGCCCCTTCCGCACAAAACTCGCCTCAGACAACATCATCCTCGAGGAGCAGCACCCAGCATACGCAGACCCCTCCGCCCCAGGCTCGGCCTTCCGGCAATACATTGTCTCCTCGAACGTCGATGGCGACGCCGACAAGGCGGTGGTTGTAATGGAGAAGCTGTCGCATGTGCCAAATCCGCCACTCCGGCTGCCACTGCACCGCCGCACGATCGCGGGCATTAAGGACAAGGCGCAGAGTTTGACGAAGGACGTGGAAGAGTATGGGAGCTGGTCGGATGATGTTTACTTCACTGAGGTGAGTAGGGTCTAGTTGCGGTTTGTCGAATGTGTCGTTGATGTCGAAGTTTCTAGTGAGGGATGATCGGGATGTTTATAGCATTTGAATCGTTGTATGATAACTGTGGTTGGACGAAAGAATGTGACTGGATCTGAAATATCGTCAATGTTCATTTTTACGATGGAAAGGAGATGATGAGGTTCAAGTCCGAACCGAGAAAGCTGGCGTTGATTGGCATCCTAGTTTCGGCGCGGAATACCGTTACCAGCCTAAGGTAAAATGCTGTATTATTAGGTGCAGTGATTCAATTACAATCGAAGAAGCATTAATGTAGAATATTGCGATTCCGTGGAGAAATACTGAGTGGGGATGTCGTAATATTGTCTGCGATTCACGAGTCATTTTGCTTGACACCTGGGCCGCGTTCGGGGCCCTTTGTATCGGCCCGGACTTCCACCGTCCGTATCTGTCCTGGGCGAACCTCGCCTGGGGCTGAGCCAAACCCGAACATCGAGTTCAGCGACGAACGAATGGCGTCGAACGCTGCTTGGTGTGGAGCGGGTTGGATGGAATCGATGATGTGCAGCTCAATGAGCCCTGACGTCGGAGAGAATTTATAGCGCGAGTCTCTGTAATTCACGGCGAGGTTGAGCAAGTAGGTGAATACATGCCTGTGCACGTACACTTTCCACAGTCCTTCACCCCCGCTGACACGGTTCGTACCCACGACATCAAGACTGATGTAGACACTCTTGTCGCGGTGATACGCCTTGTCCGTCGTTGACGGAGGGGCATGCACGGACATTTTGCGAAGTTCAACGCGTAGGTCAGAATAGAGGGTGCGCATCGTATGTCGGATAAAGGTGGAGGAGGCCATATAGAGCGGCAGACCTATGGAGAGGATTGGACGCTATTAACAAATCCAGATGTGGGAAACGTACCTTCAACACCGAGGGTGCGAGGGAAGGGTGAGGGGAGAGCTACGGGGGGAGTATACTTGAGCTTGACCTTAGGGCTGTAGATAGCCTCGATGTCAGCATTGGACGTATTGCGTGTTGCTTCGACGATTGCCGGGGATTGGGTGGGATCAATCTTTGCTACAAGGCCATGTTCGAAGAAGTCGGGGAGGGTTTGTTGTAAAACGTCTATGGCACGTCCTGTATAAGAAAGGTGGCGAACGAGGTGATAGGTTGATGGGAATGGTTCAGGGGCCGTTAGTTTTAAGGCTTGAACGGGCGCCAAATATCGGCGAACCTGTCCTGATCTCCCATTCTTGATCTGACAATTCTTCAGACGGATCTGGATCGTTGTCGTTTGGAGTAAACATGGGCGGGAAAGCGCCTCCGGACATGTTGACGTTGGCAGACACATGGGTGAGGGAAGAGGCATGGCGTTTTGCGTAAGTTGGCTCATGATTTCGTGGGGAAGGTTGGTTTGACAGCCGTGTATAGATGAGGGGGGCGGAAGGACGAATGACTCGAGTAGGTGACGAAGGAGACTTTACCCGTATGTTGCGGGCCAACATAGTGGGCGGAGGGACGGAAGCGAGATGAAGAATGACGCGCTGTATGCGGCATGGGCGGAACGGGACTTGCGGTGTTTGGCACGACAAATAACGACACGTGATCCTTCACGGACGCGTCCGAGGCGTGGTGGTCAACGTCGAACAACCACGATGAACTTTAGATCTCCTCCAGATAGCCTTGGACGATCAGATGCTCGATATCTGCACGTCTGACCATGAACCTCTGCCCCTTGCGGAAGTCTATGCTTCCCAGCTCAGTTTGAATGACGCCACAGTCTCGGACGACGCGCACTAGGACGTGTAGATCTTTTGGTGGATGTGTGATACTGGCGGTGATATCGAGTTCATTGGAGAATCCTGCCCTATACTCCATCACTGAGTTGTTGTACTGCCGCAGGAAGTCGACTTCGTGAGGGGATAGCTTGCTGCGTAGGTCTTGATTGCTGAGGATGTGGGGGAGTGCACCACCGACGGACCAGTACAAGTCTCGGAGGCGATCAGTGCGATGCTTGTGATATGCGAGGAGGCAGCGTTTGTTGCGTACGATGGTGGTTTGAAAGATGAGCATGGATGGTTCGACCGAGTCTCCGTCTCCGATCAGTCGTTCAAGGTCGCGCTGTTCACGCATGATAGAGCGCACGAGGCCGTCATTGTATTTGATGAGGGTATCTGTGAGTGTGGACCGACGCGACTCCATGACGAGCTGCGTCGCGAGGTCTCCAAACTGGCGCGTGTCTGCCATGAGAGGAAGAGGGAAAGGGGCTGTGACGGGCTGTGACTGAACGCGTCTTGACAAGGTCACAGCCAGTCAGTTATTTGTCACCCCCTGTATGTTGACATCGGCTGAACGGAATCCAATGGTCGACACAGAGTCCCAAGACATCGAGACTGCCACAACCACACTTCAGTATGAGACACGCATACAAACACCGCAGAGACAAGGTCTGACCAGATCGCAGGTCGGCACCCGATGCTAAGACTCGGAGATATGACCGCCAGTTGCGGTGAGGACGAACGCATGGCGCGTACGTTTACATTCTGATCATCGACCGACGTAGACTCTGGGCCGCTACGGGTCAGGCTGCCCTCGAACTGTCACGCATACTTGTTTTGTCTTCCGATGCGACGTCCACATCCATCCTGAAAAACCTCGTCCTGCCAGGCATTGGCCACTTCACCATATTGGATGACGCCAGGGTGTCCCCCGCAGACGCGGGCAACAACTTCTTTCTCGAGGGACCCAGAAGCATCGGCAAATCGAGAGCGGAGGAGGCCGTTCGGCTGCTTCTCGAGATGAATGATGGCGTCCAGGGCGTCGCAGATACGCGCTCGTTCGACAGCATCATGGATACTGACAAGGACTGGTTTTCCTCTTTCACCTTGATTATCTCTCATAACCTCCACCCTACCCGACTCGACAAGCTCTCAAATCTGCTATCTTCCAACTCTTCCGCGCCTCCGTTGATCATCGTGCGGTCATCCGCCTTCCTTGCAGAATTCTTCATCCAGTTCCACGAGCATACCAGTAAGTTCGCGTTTTCTAGTAATGTATCCAACTCCTGAATCACAGAATCTCGTCAGTCATCGAGAGCCATTCAGAAACTGCTCCTTCTCTCCGTATCGACAAACCTTTCCCGGCTTTACTTCAACATGCACTCTCACTAGATTATGAGAAGATGGATTCCACAGAGCATGGTCACACGCCATACGTCTACATTCTTGTGAAAGCGATGGAAGGTTGGAAGAAGAGCGTGAGCATCGTCTCCTTTCCGCATATCTTGGCGATTTCTAACTTCTTTCTCTCAGCACGGTGGTAATCCACCGAAGACAACGGATGAAAGAAAAGAATTCAAGAAGGGCATTCTCGCTCTCCAGCGTAACATCGACGAGGAGAATTTCGAGGAAGCAGAGGCACAGGCATATCGTTGCTGGGCTGAAACAAAGGTAAAGTCGACTACGCGCGCTTCATCTCGCCTTCTTACTTTACCCCGTACATGAAGGTCCCCTCCGAGATCGCCCAGCTCTTCAATGATCCTGCCCTAGAACCTGCGGCCCATGCGCAGTCCCGCCAGCCCTTCTTCCATCTGCTCGCAGCGCTCAAGCGCTTCACAGAGGAGGTTGAACCGCATACGCTTCCGCTGACCTCGACGCTGCCGGATATGAAGGCGGACACCACGAGTTACATCCACCTGCAGCGTCTGTACAAGGCACGCGCGGAGGAGGAGAAAGCGATCTTCCAGACATTTTTGGATAAGAATGTAGATATTGACGAGGACGTGATTGATTTATTCCTCAAGAACGCACATGGCCTGCAGGTGCTGAGGGGGAGGAGGTGGGGCGAATTTGAGAGGGACACGGATGCGTTTTGTGAGTTTTTAACTTGTTTGTCGGGGGTGTTAACTTGCGAGATGCTGATTTGAGGCGCAGCGGGCGCTTTGGCGAGCTACCCGAAGGAGACGTGCATCCACCTTGCGCTGTCGGCACTAGCCAACCTGACGGTCAAGCAGCCCGGCGTGGCTCCCACTGCGGAGGCACTGCGCGGCGAGGTTCTTGCGATTGTCGGGCAGGGCACCGAGCTTCCCGATGCATTGGACGAAGCTATCGGCGAGCTGTATGCGACTTCTTCACGGCATCAATCACAGGACAGTTTGCTGACGACCATTTACAGGGAAAGGGCACCAGCGGCAGAGCTACCGAACACAGCGGCGCTCCTTGGTGGCCTCGTCGCTCAAGAGGCGATCAAGATGATCACGAAGCAGTACGTGCCGATCAAGGGATATGCAGTTATTGACTTGATCGACACAACGACCGCTACGCTTGGCTGAGAGTAATACCCATAAATTGCTCGACCATCATTGTATCATTGTACAGATTAGCATCAAACAATATATTCGTGCGGAATCGTTGCATTCGTGACAGTCAACCGGTGGTAAACTTGGATGCATTCCATGGTCATCGACCGGTCATCCTTGAGGTGATATCGTACGTACGCGATCTTCGAGTGTCATGAAGCAGGGTCATCGTTCTTCAGCATCTGTTGTTAACCTAACAATGTCCGGAGAGTTAATGATGCTGTGAGACGCTTGCATTTTAACTCTCTGGGCGGCGGAACCTCGTCAGCCTTTCCCATTCTGCTTACAGTTATGAGCGTAGGAGTCTGCAATCGATGTTCACTTTGTAGTCGGGGCAATTACAGTCCATATGTATATTAGATAATAAAGTTACGGCGGATGTATACGAAAAAGTACTGTACGCGTCTCACTCAATTGATGGGAGATACTCCTCATGCCATCATTGTCATGAGTCGCCAGTGCCATCCTCTTTGAGACCTGGCGCGTCCGCCTCTTCTTTTTCGGGCATGCCCTCTTCTTGAGGTTCCTTCTTGGTTGTGGCTGACGGGCCCTCAGGTGGCTGGACAGACAGGGCGCTTGTGTTCAGGGGAGAGGACTTAAACTTGCTCCCTTTGAGATGAACAGGCCGCGTTGGGGGCAGGCATGGCACCGGAGCGCCATCCGACGAGGTGAGGGGGGATGACGATTGCGGCCTGCCTGCATGACCGCGTTTACGGCTATAAAGGACGGCTTCGAGAATCGGGGACGGGGGCACACTGCGTGATGCGTCGCCGCTCAAAGTCCTTTTCTTGGCCCGAGCTTTAGAGGCGGACGTAGTGTCATCACCTGCATTCGGAGACGAGGGAGTGTCGGGGGAGGCGGCATTGGGACTGGATGGAATTTCTATCGGTTCCGCGACGAAGAGGGCCTCTTTGGGAGTCTCTTTGGCCACGTTGGGCTCCTCGGGGTTCGGGACGAAAGATGACACAGAACCTGCTCCTTCGGAGTCGAATTCATCGTAAATTTCTTCGCCAATAAGCTCTGTCGTAATTGGTGAGTTCCTTGACCAACTGATGACTGAATGTGTTCACCTTCCAGTACGTCCTCAAGGGTGATAATTCCTAGAGGGCTGAGGGCAGCGTCGATGGTCTGCAAGAACTGGTCCGCGTCTTTCTTAGTCAGGAGGGCGTCAGCTGGCATCGACTGTTCTGCAGGAGTTTTGGTCGCCTTCATAACACCCATTTCAACGCCCCTTTGCGTGCCGCGACGGAAGTTGGAGCCTCTTGGTCCACGGGCGTAATCGTGCTCTTTAACACCAGGCTCCACAAAGGTTACCTCTCTCTCTTTGGACGTTTTGTTATCAGCCTCCTCCGTGTACTCTGCACCTTCCTCTTCGTCACTTGACTCTTCAAGGCCAACACGTTCACGGAAACGCTGTGTGAGGGTACGTTTGGCAACCTTCTTCACTGACGCAGCCTTCTCGGCACTGTAGCGAGATACAACGGCCATATGAGTTCGACCTTCTTGAAACCTGTCGAGGATGCCGAGAAGAGACTCATTGTTGGGCACAAATAAGATCCGGTTAAGGGGCAAGTCACGCAATGGAGTCGCGTCTATCAGATGCATCAGCTAGGGAAATCACAGATGCCATCATACTAACCTTGGGGGTCCAAAAGCACGCAGTGCTTGACAAGCAGGATACCGAGAATTTTCTTAACCTTCTCTTTACGACCTGAGTAATCCATAGCAATCTCTTTTTCCTCGTATACTGGTACACGGCTATGGCCTGTAGAACATATTTTCTTGAGGAGCTCGTAATCGAGGCGAGCGTCAATAGACAACATGAAGACATCGTCAATGGGTGTCATGGCCTAGTAATGCATGTCAGAGGAGATAAGGTATCGTATGAATGAGGTGAGTAAGTACCTGGCTAACCACTTTATCCTGAAGATCTAGGGTGGCTCCAATGATTGTAACAGTGTCGGATTTGAGGTCACCTCCATGAGAAGAAACGGCGGAATGCATAGCAATAAGCTCCTTCAATTCTAGTTTTAGGTCAGCGACTACGTTTGATTTCCTTGAAGACTACGGACCAGCTCGGCGATATATGATGCCGTGATGAGAGCCGAGAATAAACTCAAGAAGCTTAGCTACAGGCCATGCCACGATACCCTGAACCATGGCAATTGAGTGGTATGCACCTAAGATATGTTTGTGGGCTTACCAAAAAGTAAATGAGAACCTTAGTAAACCCCGCCATCTTGGCACCAATGTAAAGGCCATGACGGGTGCACAACGATTGGGGAATAATCTCAGAGAAGCTAGAAGGAGTCAGCTCAACTTTTATCGATCCACAAGGATGATGGTGGAGATGGAAACAAAGGAAGAAACCGAGCACGGTAGCTCGACGGCACGGGAAGTGGAAGGTATGAAGTGTGTCTCAGTGGACTTGGAGTAAGAGGTTGATGACACGCCAACAAAAGCCAGGCTCGGAATGTACAAGCGCAACTTACATGACAATAAGCACAGTGCTAACCACGACACTTTGCGCGCCGCCGCCGAGAACAGGGTCCGATATGACGGGGAGCGTTTCGTTGACGATCATATTTGCAAGGATCAGGGTAATCAACAACAAATGCCCATCTTTGCGGATAGGCATGATCTTCTTCGCATATTTCTTTTGTTCACTGTACGGCGCATTGGTCGGTTATGGGACTCGGAAGGTGGTATGAGGACAGACACACGGAGTCCCACTCATAATGAGCACGTTGAGCTGCGTTTCATCCAAACTCATGTACCCCAGCGTCAACCCGGCAAATACTCCTGACAGTAAGACTAGGACGGGTATGAGTACCGCGAAGGCAATGAACGCAGGGCTGCCTTTTGCTGCTTCAACCCGTTTTGCAAGAGTATGAAACCTGGTGAGGTCATCGCCGTCGCCGCGAACGATACGAGCGAGTTTTGGCACATGTTGCGATACCGCCGAGAACAAGGTGAGGAGTAGCCGAGAAGCGTGCTGTGTTCGGACTATTGGGGGTGGAGCCATTGCAGCTGTGGAAGGATGCGAAGACTCGGGCGGCACAGAGGGAATGTGCGAGGGGCCCTCTGAAGGTTGACAGCCGGGGCTTGTTGCATTTTGTAGCAGGCGAGCAACCCCATTAACTAGGGGGACAACAAGTTTTCATCTTGGCGGATACGAGGACCAGGTTCAGTTCAGATGAACTGTCGCGCGAGCCTCGGCTTGATCCAGGAACAAAGCGGCAGGTGTTGATGTCACAAAGCCCAAATTGCGAACGGGGCTTACTTGTGGCCCACTTTTGGCTATTGTGTGGTATGTGACGCTTTAAGGCGACGCCCATTCAACGTTTCAACGTTCATGCACATGTTGAAAGCTTAGGATGGAGCAAAGCGAAATATGCCTTGCGCACTATCACCAGAGAAGAGATGTAAATGAAGGGAAGGCCTGCAATGGGTACTGAGTACAACTGAAGCTTCAAATGGGGTTGGGGAACAGTCAGCGTGCCAGAGTCTGGTTCGGCAGCCTTTGACTTATATTTCAGCCTGAAAAGCAACCAAAATAGCACTCGAACTTAATACCGTCAATATTAATAATATTCAATAATACGTACATATGGACAACACGCACAGGGGCGATTCGTTCCCAAAACATTGCGAAAGAAATCTAGAGGTCACAGGTTTGTTATGACCCTTAGCTAGAGTCGGAGCTACGTATATTTCAGGAATAAGATGCAAACATGCAACGGGTAAATTATTGTGCATTCAATACATGGCATTACACGCCTGCCCAGTGCCCATGCTGTAGCCATTGCACTCGAGCATGCTGCATACGTTTAGCTACGCCCGGCTGCAGGGTGCATTAAAGGCGAGCTTGTATTCCCTCCTCCAAGCGCGCTTCGTTGATAATCTCCGCTGCCCGGTGGGCAAGCCTTTGTTGGGGTTGGAGCCAGTATGGACGAGACATAACTAAATGACTTACCCATACAGAGTTGCTTGCGGATGCGTGCCCAGATGCTGTTTGAGGTGTTCAGATTTCTCGGCTATACTAGATCTCGTAAAACGCTTACAATGGGAAAGATACTAGCGTCGGCCTGAGACAGATTTAGGATATGCTCATCAATGACAGAGAAGGCTGCTTACGACTCGTAAATTTGAGGTCCCATAAACCTTAAGATTGTCGTCCACAACGCCGTTGGATGAACGAGGGAGCATCGACGCCGTGCCTGAATTATGAGTCTTTTAAGCACATTCGACGAAAAGATATGGCGAATGGGTAATACCGATAGGGTGGAAGGCACTCTTGACGTTATTCCGGATGAATTCCTTGATCTCGTCGTCGGACCAAGATGGCTTAGGCTGGACGATTTCAGCAGTAAGGGCGCCGAGGGCCCCAGTTCGCATGACATTGAATGCGTACTTCACGGCTTCAACAAGCATGAGTAGATCTACAGATATTTAAGCATTAATTAGACTGAATGGCCGTGGGTAATCGAGAAAAGTTACCAATGTCGGCAGGGGATTCTAAGGTGCAGCCATCGATTCTAGGGTAGTCTTCGGCGTTTTGAGATATTGCATGGATCTGTGCAGTCCGTAAGTCACATACAGATGACGGCGTAACTTCACTAACATTTCCTCGACTCCATGCGTGCTGGAGAAAGACAGACATTTGGTAGTGCTTCGCACCCTCTCGAGAGCAGCCGGCGTGCGTCCAGGCTACAACATCGCATCAATCTACAATCAGGGAATTGCCACAGTTGACTTGAATACGAACAAGGGAAGAGGATCATCTCGAGCTGCGCAACGCCGTCATTCTCGAGCCAGTCGCGCTGCACCTCGTACCACTTCTTCCAGGGCGAGTTGACAATTTCAGGGCTTTTGAGAGCGGTATCTAGCGCTGAAAGAATCTCGGCAAACCGCGTAGGGGCGATGAACTGCCGCGCAGGGATGAAGACGAGCGTAGACAGGGTACTCCCAAGCATGCCGGTTGCTGTTGCCTTGAAGAGGCGCATTTGCTCAGCGGCAAATGCAGGTGACGAGAGGTCGTCGACGGTGAGGTGGTGTTTCCCGGTGAGTTCGGCACCCATTGGGACGACGAAATGGTCCTGGAAGTTCTCGCCAACTCCTGGGAGGTCCACCTGGACAGGGATGCCGAGGGAATTCAAGATTTCGGCGTTGCCAATGCCTGGAGAAACTTGTCTAGCTCGAGTGTTGTTACATATAGGCTTTGAATCTCACCTGAGAGCTCGAGAATCTGTGGAGTTTGAAGCGAGCCTGTGGAGATAACAACCTCCTTTCGGCTCTGAACTGTGTAGAGTCTACCATCTTTCAAAAACTCTACGCCAGTGGCACAATGACTTCCAGCTCCTTCATTACGAAGGTGAATTTTGGTCACCAGGGCGTCAGTGAGGACCGTGATGTTTGGGCGATGAGAGACATTATCATAATATGCCTTCAGAGCCATCAAAATTAATACCCGATAGATCGAAACTATCGAGCAGACGTCACCAACATTGGTGCTATAGCTGCGAGCGCCTGTCTTTGCGTCGATGGAAGCAGTGTATGTCCAGACGCCAATGAGATCACCCGATGCCTGGATAACAAATGTTCATTAAAGGCGCATTAGAGTACTCGCTGGTGAATTTGAGAAAACCATACCTCTGAGTGATTAGTTGCCACCCCGAGCTCGTTCATGGTCTCAAAAAATGGCTTGGCGAGGTCATAATAATAGTTGTATGCAGTAGTCTTGACATATCCTTGACTAGAATGACTTCAGAACTAATCGCTCTACTCCCAAGAGCAACCATACCGGCCATGATTTTTCACTGCCTTGTTCGCCCAATGAAGAGAGGCCGTCTCAGAGTCTGGAGGTGTCCAGCGCTCTGAAGCCTTCGTCACTCTGTCTATAGTATCCCAGCCCCATCCTAGCGTGTGTAAGAATTAGATTGTGACCACAAGAAGTGAGATCTTACCTTTGACCCCTAGCTTCTTCCAGTCTGTTATGAATGAAGCACTGAGAGCGTTTTACAGGTGAATACCCGACCTTGGCTCACCATTCTGCTCTACACGAGACCCACTGGATGTCAAAATCGGATCAACTAATGGAAACAGTTCTATAGGACGCAGTTCTTACTCACCGGCAGTATGCCATGTAGTTCAATGCCGATGTTCCGCCGAGGACTTTTCCTCGGTTGATGGGAATACGCCGATTGTTGGCGTGTGGCTGAGGAACGGTGAGGAAGCTCCAATCATACTCTGGGTCTGCGAGGGTCAGGACTCGCAGCTAAAGAAGAAGGAAGTGTCTACCATTCAAGACTTTTCCAATCAATCCTACGGCGAAGTGACGTCAAGATGCTGCTAAGTCATCAGGTGGGCAACATTGCTTACCTGGAACTAGAATGTTATCATCGTCTTTTCTTTGTCCTGCTTCGATGACTCCTATCTTAACATCCTTGTCTAGAGAAAGTCTACAAGAAGCTGTTCACATCGTATCTTGATAAAGTTCTTGAAGACACGACGTACAAAGAAGCGAGGGCAAGGCCAGTCGTGCCGCCACCTTGGAGATAAGGGAGAAGTAGGCAAAGTTAGACGCAACAAGACGAGATAAACTAAGGCCTCTCCACACCTATGACAATGTAGTCGAACGCCTGTTGAACAAATTCCAGTGCAGAGTTCATAGTGAGTGGGTGATAAGGAGTAGTCGCTGGGAGAAGCCCCTCGACAACCTTATATCATATCATATCCAACAGTCATCGTCTCCCAGAGTGTATGAGAGTGCGAAGGACGTCTACAATCGCACTGGTCCCTGGCATAACCCGGTCGCTTGCAACGAAGCATTCATGGAGATATCGTACCTGCACCAGGAGTACATTAACGGCATGGTGCGCCACCTCTTGCGAAAGCGGGCATTTGGAGCGTTTTTGTTTCCCAATCTTGCGTGGCAGTATGGGGCAGGGCGTGGACTACATCTCCCTGAAACCCGGACAGTGTGACTGGTCTTCCCATGTCATTTATTGCCTGGGAATTACTTAACAATGCAAATGTGAGGACAGCGTGATTTTGCATGCTTTGAGTTGTACCGTCCAGCAATCTGTTGGTTGTGAGACCATGAATCCGCTGTCTCGGTGTCCGAAGGATACGGATGCTGCAAATGGTCCCGCTGTCGAACAAACATGTTACTTAGTTTTGAACATGTTTCCACGATGCGAAGTCTGTCAACCCGGTTTCTGGGATGTAAATGGCGGATCCAACATTGTGAGTATACATAGAAAAGAAGTTTTGATGCTTGGGCAAGCGACTTGGGAAACCGCGAACGCCTGTGAACGCTCAAGATTGAAAGACTTCCCAAAGGCGAGAGCGGATTCTTGGAACAGTCAGATAGGCTCTGGTCAGAGTTTATTAGCATATCAGAAGTATAAAGAAGGTCATAAATTCTTCTATGCCGAGGAAGTGCCACTACTTGGGTAAAGCCATCTCGAGCTCGAGAAGACACGTCTCGGCCAGGTCCCACACTTTGACAATAAGGAAGCCAGTCTGATTCCTGTTAGATACTCACGGTCAGCATTCTCACACTGCGGGCGTTCTCAGTGGAACGAAAAACCGTTCTCCTCGGAGGCTAGGGCTGGGAGGTCACTCACGCTAGATTTATGAAGTCGATCATCGTACGTTCACGTGCATTGTGGGTGAAGAACATTGTCAGGTCTTGCGAGTACATCCGGGCGTTACCTGCGCCAAAGTTGGGCAAAAGAGGCTCGGGTGCCTGGACAGGATTACGAGGAAGCAATACGAGAGGAATTATTGCAAGGTGCTCACGATATCGCCAGCATCCAAGCCGTGCTGGTTATCCAAAGGAGCGGATGACCTAAGAACGTAATCTTCTATTTTGATCCTGTCAGGGCCAAGCATGAGTGTAGCAGACTGCGAAGTGACGTACGGATGAGGAGGCGGCTGTGGGGAGCCATGGCTTCTCGAACGTTGCGCAAAATGGCTATTGACTCGGGGTCGTGCCAGTCATGAAGGACGTAACGAAGCTGGGTGCAACGATGAGATCATCTACATCCCGAAGATAAAAATGGCGAGCGTACGTAGTACACGTCCCGTCCGCTCTCAGGCACTTGTTCAAAGAAATTGAGAGGGGCAAGAGTGACGCGTCCGCTGGTGAATGCATCTGGAGCATCTTTGCTCCAAATCTAAAGTCGAAGCGTCAATGCCATCCTTGCAGTGGAAGAACTAAGCACTCACGTCCTTGGCCTCTTCAATGACCTCAGGAAGATCGTGACAAGTAATTTGCATATGCGAGAAGCGCTTTGCGAGTGGCCGGGAAAATGAGCCGACGCCGGATCCAAGGTCAACAACAGAATTATACTTCTGCCAGGGGAAGCCTGGGATGGTTAGTGAGAAGTGAAGACACTACAAGATTGGAGATAGGTAATTACGCTCGATGACCGAGAGCGAGCCCATGATAAACCCGATACCGCCCATGCCGCTGTGATATGCCTGTCGGACGGGTTGGTTCTGCAGAAGATTTAGAGTTTACTAGTGGAACTTTACCTTGAGTAGTTGCTCCTAAATGGAGCGTCAGGTATATGACAAACAGAGAGTTCTAGTGTACGTACATCTGATCTAAGGAGTTCAAACGTGTCCTTGTACTTGTGATCAAGGGCCTGCATACACGGCGCGTCGCCAGGATCGAAAGACGTTGCATAGCGTGAACCAGCCAGATTTTCGGTGAGCACATGTGCGCCCTTTGCGACCTGTTTGGTCATCACCAGGGAAATACCGGCAACGCCTTCTGAGGTACGAAGATGTAGGGAGAGGCGGTTATTCGCAAAAACATCCTCCGACACTGACCCAGTTGACATACATAAGAATTTGGCACCAACAAGCAGACGGGTAAAGCGTGCTTACCTTCAATAAAACACCCCTTGGACGCAAGAGGTCGGAGGACGCGTGCGAGCTTGGACCCGATCATTCCGACTTTGGCAGCGAGCTCATCAACATATAGCCCCGATGGAAATTTGTCGAGGATATCAGCAATGCCATGTTCAACGACAACGCGGATGCATGCCCAATCGAAGTTTCCAACCATCTATCGACATCACTGTTGTCAACAATTTACAAAATCAAAAGCAACTGGGCACAACTATACGAACATTCATGACGGTATGCTGCGGGGGGGCTAAAGTTGCGCAGAGCTGCTGACACGCCCCCTCAAGGGTGCGGATAGCTTTTTTGAGCGCCACCGTATCATCGGCAGTATCCAAGGGATGGGAAACTGTTGAGCGGAGGTCGGGGACGTCTCTGTCGTCGGCGGTATACAGAGCGAGTGCGTCTGTCGTCGCAGAGTTGATGAGAGAAAGGAGCGCGAGGACCTTGGCTTGTTCGGACATGAGATTAATCTCTTCTGCAGGTGCGGAGGACAAAGCGGGGATAAAGAACATATTTCCCTACGCTGTGATGAGCTTTAAGAAGGGCCAGATATCATCCAGTTGTCAGCTCTAAATCCGGTTAACAGGTCATTGACCTTGAGGCGACGTATTTTCTGAGCTCATGTGTCAAAGCGGTCACATTAGGAAGTAAACGATAATATGACGCGCGAGTATCGGAAGAACCTGCACCAACCTGGGCGATCTTCTCTGTGATGATGCGCTGGGGAAGCCCTCAAGATTCTAATGCTCGTAAGCTGTAGATGGAAGAACGCCGACATGCGAGCCTAGGTGGAAGGACAATGAGTTTTGTTGGAGGAGCATTGGAGTGTTTCACGTCAGTGCGGAGGGTCTTTCCCGTGCTGAGCAATCGACAGCAGATATTCTGGGTTGGCTACCTCCACCTCCCGATGAGGTGTAGGCTCAGTTGGTGGGCTGACCAGCTGCCGTGGCGTAGTCCGGACAAGTATCAACATTTTGATTTGGTGGCAACAGAAAGCCACAAATCTTGGTAGTTCCACCAACTAGTGGTTCCTACGCTTTGGCGAACGAGACGTGAGATATTAAGGATGTCGGCGCAGATATTGGACAGGAGGTGTTATCTTGCGTCATCTAGGTTACAATCCTAATCTCGAGCTTCTCCGCAAAGATCAGCTTCGGATCCCACAAGCGTGTTTGAGTTGGGAGCATGGAATGGAACTTTGGTGGTACAGATTTAGGTGTCCGAGCTGGTCGCGTCAAATTCAAGTAGCGCAATACGGGCCAAAATTGCTGAAGCCCCTAGGCCGTTTTCAATGTAACCTATAGTTAGCCAAGTAGGTTTATAGTGTGGAGTGCATTTCCCTATCGTCCGGGTACGGCCCGGTATCTGGGCTGGCAAATTCACCTTGATACGAACACCTGAATGACAGTATGATACCACTGGATTGCCAGGTGACGAAGAGCGAGCTTGAAAAGCAAAATTCCCAAGATTGCGCGATGGGGATTACGTTGTACGCATTATGGTAATGAGTATGGTCTAAAAGTGCGTCTATACAAGCCACTTCCAGGATTCATACAATTAGCGCTTACAGGAGGTCAGGAATTGTGTGTCGCTCACTCGCTACCACCGCCCTCCAACGGCTGGCTTCTGCACAGAATAGCCCCGGTCCGCCTTGCGCTCCTGCCGCTGTTCCTCTTTCGTGCGAACCTGATCCACAGTGACATTCTCCACCTGGACGATCTCCTTGACTTTGAGGACTTTACCAGCCACCTCTGGTCCGTGAGGGTGATAGACTGTCTGCATACGGCGGTGAAGGCCAAGGGAAACAAGTGTCTCCTTTTTCCCTTCGCCGAGGCCTATTGCTGAGCGCGTTTGAGTGATTTTATAGTGGGTAGGCGTGGACGAGGCAGGTGCTTGGGAAGCAGCCTGAAACCGCGACACTGTACTTGAGATGCTACGCGTGGCTGAGCATGAGCGCAGTGTTCTGGGAATAGACTTGAGTGAGAGGGAAGCCATAGCGGACGACGCTTTCAGACCCAAAGGCTCGACGCGGAGGATGGAGGCAAAGGAAATATTCCCCACGTGATTCAAGAGAGCAGCGCGACGCACAATAGCACAGCCACGATTGCTTTCCCTCGAGCTGTTTGTCAATTGTTCGTCCACTGGAAACTCTTGGGACAACTACTTATAATCAACGAACAGCGACACAACATCTGAATACCTCGAGGCATATCAACACATGTCTGACTTGTATCGCTCGGCTCTCAGTTCGCGCATCGCCAAGCTCCCATTAAACCCGCCTGATGACGGCAGCGAGGACAACGAGGAGGAGGAAGCAGCGAACTCGATCGGTGACCTCCCAAGTTCCTCATCGAACATGGCCCCGCCTTCAATGCACGTACCTTTGCTATCTAATGTATATCCAACCAGTGCTAAAGTGTATGGTAGCTCAAGGCAAAGGCGCAAGCCAAAGACCCCTGATTCGGCCTATTCACCCTTGTCTGCATCGTCATGCTTCGAACAGGCAGTCATGGTCAGTGTTCCAACAACAGGGCTGGACATAAGGGTGTATTATACTCCTCCGTCCACGAAATCGGGCAACAGTGGACCGGGCACAGTTGCAATCCTCCATCCGGGTGCGGGCTATTCTGGCTTAACCTTTGCTCTCGCAGCGCAAGAGATCACCCGTACAACAAAGGGAGACCTGGGTGTGCTGGCACTTGATCCAAGAGGTCATGGTGAGCCCTCAGATCGACGTAAATCAACCATTTTTTCTCTGATACGAGAGATCCAGGGAAGACCAGCTCTCATCCGAAGCCCACTTCGGGGGTAGAAGACCTTTCTATAGACAAGATTGTACAGGATTTCGTTGAGCTCGTCAAAGTACTATACCCGGATGCAAAATCTGCTCCGACATTACTCGTGGGGTCACTGGCAGTCAACGCAATCATGAGACTGACTACCCGCTTTCTTTTTAGCTGACGGGGCATAGCATGGGTGGGTCCGTTGTGACGCGTGCTTCCCCACTTCTTCAAGATGCCGGCTACAACATTGCCGGCGTTGCTGTTCTTGATGTCGTCGAAGGTAAATGGGTATCAATAATGTATGTGCCATATTTTACACGGGAGCAGGTTTTGCGATTGAGGCTTTGCCTCATATGAACACCCTGCTTAACTCAAGACCATCGGGATTCGATAGCGTCGAACACGGGGTAGAATGGCAGTAAGTGGAGTAAATGTCTAGCCGATTTTACGCGGCATTAACGTGCTTAAAAGCATATCGAATAACCAAATACACAACCTCGCCTCAGCGCGCATTTCCGTCCCAGCCACTCTCGTAACCAATGATACACAGAGAGGCCCAGCAGTGTTGTGGCGAACGCCCCTGCGAGACACGGCGCCCTATTGGGAGGGCTGGTTCAAAGGCCTATCAGAGTCATTCCTTAGTGTGCGAACGGCTCGAGTTTTGATACTGGCAGGGACGGAGCGTCTGGACAAACCGTTGATGATTGGGCAAATGCAAGGCAAATTCCAGGTTGTTGTACTCGCAAATGTTGGACACATGCTACATGAGGCAAGTTATTTCCTCCCCCAGATTCATGATTGTCTTCACATATAATTAGGATGACCCGGCACGCACGGCTGAGGTGTTGGTTGATTTCTGGAAGAGGAACGAGAGAGTAGTCATCGGGTCAAAGGTGATTAAGAAAGTTGGAGAATCTTAAATTTGAGTCGTCCATAATGTAGAGATCGGAGCTTAGTGAGCTGTAAGCAATACGGAATTTATCGCATGAAAAGCGTCTTGAACTGAAGCATCTGATTTTGAACTGAGAGGATGGTCATATACGCAGATAGGGGTTATTATGACCGCGTTGTTTATTTCTGATGGTGTTGCCAAACAATATGCCTCGCGCGCACCTACACCGCCGCCGTCACTAAGCTCGCGCTTGGCAGTCTGTTCCCCCTGTAGCTATGTTCTGGCTCTTCTCCCTCTTCCTATCGACTCTCGCACCAGACGACGATGACCCAGTGGATCCCGAGCTGCCCCCAGGGACTGGGCCAACTCGTACGTGTGCAACTCTTCTCATACGCGCTACATGTACTCATGATGGTGCTTGTCATGCGTGCATGTATGCAGAAACATTCGAAGGACCATGGTTCACGACGCAGCTGCTACTTTCAACGTTCATTGGCTTATCGTCGTTCTTGATATTCTGCTACTGTCGGAGGCGGTGGCCGCTGCTTTTCGCACCAAGAACCAAGCTCAAAGGTATGTTCAATCATCTTGTCCTCCTCCATAGTATGTCTGCGTCGCGGCGGTATGTGCTTATACAATGACAGGGTTCTCTCCGCATGAAGCTCATGCACCCCACGCGTTCTTCGGGTGGATCTTACCTACACTGAGAATTTCGGAGTTCACGGTATTACAGATTGTTGGGTTGGATGCCGCAGTGGTACGCCCAGCCGTTCTTTTGCGCTCCTAGCCAGTGTCTGATTCCATAGCTTTCTCAGTTACTCGCCTTTTTCAAGATGTCGTTCTATCTCTTTTCACTCTTCTCAGTCCTAGCCTGTATCATATTGATGCCAGTTAACTGGAACGTACGTCCTATGTCTCCTAGTCTCAGCCGCATGCTTAGGTCACTGTCCACAGAATAACATTGGGATTGGCGCTGGAGATGACGAGGACAGCGATTGGCCTTCACGCAACTTCACCCTTGGCATATTCAACGAGACAGATACACAGCCCCCTTCCCAAGGCGTGCCAGGACGTGACTGGCTTGACCTCGTCAGCGATGCCAACTCTTACTTGACCGTTCACTTCCTTTTCACTGTCTTGTTCACCATCCTCGCTCTCGTGTTCCTCTACCGCAACTACCGCTCGTTCGTGCGCCAACGCCAGCTCTTTTCCCTTCCGCTCGTGCATTCCATACCCGCGCGCACCGTCATGATCACGAATTTACCGGTGCATCTCCGGTCCGAGCGCGCTCTCGCAGAGTACTTCGAGCACATGAACCTCGGTGTGGAAAGTGTCACTGTTTGTCGCGAGGTCGGCTCGCTTAAGACGCTCATCGACCGACGAACGCAGGCACTCTTGAAGCTGGAGGCAGTGTGGACGAGTTATGTGGGTAATCCAAGCGAGGTGGAGGAGTATGATCCAAGCGAGAATGTTGTCCCGTCGATGGCGATGGATGCGGGCCAGCTCGAGGGGCAAAATGGGTCGGGAAGGCTGGTTGTACCACATCGCCCAAGGCCGACGCTCAGACCTGGCTGGTTGTCGGGGAAGGTAGACGCTCTGGAGCACTTGGAGACGCGGTTCAAGGAGGCGGATGAGAAGGTGAAGAAGTGGAGGCTGGGTGGAAGATTCAGGGCGACGCATGTTGCTTTTGTCACTTTTGAAAAGATGTCCTCTGCAGTTCGTCCTTTATTGCTTCCTTTTACGAACAAGGCTGATATACGGCTTGCACATATCCAGCAAATTGCGGTTCAGACAGCATACGCACCAAGCCCATGGGAGTGCAAGACCGTGCCAGCACCAGAGCCTCGCGATATTATCTGGGCGAACATCAGCATCTTCCCCAAGTACCGCATTGCACGAGAAGCGATTGTTCTGGGCTGCGTAGCCCTTTTGTTCCTGACTTGGATCTTTCCCATCACCGCACTGGCGTCACTCCTCTCCTATCAAGAAATTAAGAAGGTTACGCCCTGGCTTGGACGGCTTATCGACAGCAACTCGAAAATCCAGGCGATCATACAGAATTCACTCCCATCGGTAGTGATGATTTCGGTCAACGCGCTGTTGCCATTCTTGTTGGAAGGTGAGCAATTACCCTTGTTCTAAGACGAAACAAAGGCTGACCGCAATAGGCCTTACATATGCCCAGGGTTACCGAGCAAGAAGCTGGATCGAGTATTCACTACTGAGGAAGTGCGTATTGCTCAGGCTCGCGGGCAGAGTTGCGCTAATGCTGTTAAAGATACTTCCTGTTCCTTTTGGTTAACGTCGTCTTCATTTTCCTCCTGGCGAGTACCTACTGGCAACTCGTTCGAGACCTGGCAAACTCGCCCGCCAAGATTCCTGAGAAGCTTGCTCAATCGCTACAAAAGGGCCGCGCGAAGTAAGTTTCTCTACATTTTGTTGGGTGGAGTCTCAAGGGTTTGGCAGGCACTTCTTCCTGTCCTACGTCATTCTACAGGGCTTGGGCATCATGCCTTTGAAACTCTTGAATCTGGGTATAATTGTGCCACGGATATTCCAGACAGTTTTTACGCGTACTCCTCGTGGTATGTTGACGATTCTGTTTCGTCGAGTTTAGCTAAAGATTCGTAGATTATGCTGAACTAAATGCACCCCCCACAATTAATTACGGAGTTGTGTATCCTCAAGCCATACTCATATTCGTCATCACGATTCTATACAGCGTCGTGCAGCCTCTCATCGTCATCTTTGGAGCTATCTATTTCGGAATGGCCTATCTTGTCTTCAAATATCAGCTGCTCTTTGGTTAGTTTCTCTTTGTCCTTATCATTGGATGATCTGTATTAAAGATGCATAACAGTGTTCTACAAGCCTTATGAATCTCAGGGTCAAGCATGGCCCATCACGTTTGTTCGCCTCGTTTGGGGCATTGTCATCTTCCAGCTGTTCATGATCGGCATCCTTACGCTAAACAAGTCAATCATTATGCCGGCCATGCTGGGTATTCTTGTCGTTGTCACGGTGGTGTGGTCGTACCAAATTGACAAGAGCTTCAAGCCTTTGAGTAAAGCCGTGTGCTTAAGCTCGGTCTTCGAGGTTGAGAGGGGAGAAGAGACTGAGGACGTTTTGCTTATGAGAGAAGGGCATCCGGTTTCACTGTCACAGAGGTGAGTCAGTCAGGTGTTCCTACAGACGATAGTTCTGACGAGAAATATCAGTAATTTGAGCCGTAGGCGGTATGCCCAGAACGACGACACACTTTATGTTGCGCCAGAAGACGAGCGTACTGACTATGTGAGTCCAGGAAATTTCTACCATAATCGTTGTGGCTGATGCCTTTTAGTCGCAACCACCGATGCGGAATTGGTATCACGGCATACTGAAGTGAGAATTTAAACCTGTTGTCCACGTGGAGTATGCTGATCCGTTTGACAGTACGGGTAAAAGGCGTTATGGCCACCCTGCGATAACTGGTATATTGCCAGAGCCTTGGTTGCCTCTGAAGAAGGATCAAACACTCGTGAACGGCATGCGTGCTGGAGGCTCCAGAGCACCGAAAGACCCTAATGAGGGCATCGTTCTGAACCTCAGGAATCGCCACAGTCTGAGCCGGGGCAAGACCCGCCGCGCGAACCAAGCCCCCCAGAGAGCACCGCTTGTGGACGTTTCGGAGCCAAACGACTCGGCTGAGCATCCTCAGGATGGCGCCGTCACTGATGCGTCCTCGTCATCGAATCCATGGGCTAATATCCGCCCGCGACCCCGCACGTCACGGGCGCAAAGTGCCTTGAGCCACAGACTCAGCTTCGATCCTGCGTCGGGCGTGATCATGTTGCCCGAGGACGGCGAGTGGCTAGAAGAAGAGGACGTGTCGTCGGAAGAGGATTACGGTAGTATTCAGTCACCAGCTGCGGAGGGTGAATCGACGTCGCTGCACAACGGCGCGTCACCTTCAACACCAGAACAGTCCTCGTCTAGCCAACTGCTGACGGCCTCGCCGAGCAAGCGGCGGTATGGCACGTACTTTCATCACCCCGAGCGGAGGCGCGCGACGATACCAGGCGCTTTCAACCCGCACCATCAGGATTAGTCCCTTTTGTGTTGGGCAATTATTCGAATGGATCTTTTATTTAGACTACGGTACTCACATGTAAATTTACTTACTCATGGCAATCCTGGATTTTCAAAGGTGAAGTTCCTGTAGCGTTGATGGTGAGAGCATATCCCTAGAAACAGCATCATTAGACACCATTACACTTCCAGGGAACTGGAGTCAATGTTCCGTGGTTGGTGTTCGTTACCGTCGAAGGACTGCTTCTTTTGGTTCTCAAACACATTCGAAAACTTTTCATGTGAGTCGGTGCCAGTGTATGATATGCGAACTCTTCGACATAAACACAAACACGGAACAAGGTAGCCATGGAAATGAGCTATTACAGTATGCAAGCTAAACTATGATGATACATTGAAGAATAATCATGAGGGTCCTAAGAAGATGGCAATACGTATTCGAGCTCAAGATGCCATATCCACGAGGTCGGATGCGTAATAGCCACAATTTTTGACGCTTCTCGACTTGGATGCCGAAGGTGACTCTTCAGAGTCGGCATGTAGATGTGTCTCTGTAGGACCTAGCTCTATCGCAGGCTGAGCATGAACGAGCATGATGTCAATAATAAGCTGGTGGACGAATGGGAGACTGGGTCACCTCAAAAGTTCTGTTCGGCCGGGGTTCGCCAACAGAGATGGAGCTTGTAAAGTTGATGGTCGGCGCTGTTGGAGGTGGGGCACCGTCGAAGTCGAGGCCTTCAAATGTGTTGGCGGATCTGCCGGCACGCTCGAGGATACGTCGCGAGTTCAATCTATGGGTATTACTAAGTCGATGCGCTTCGACGCAACGGTTTGGTGTGACTGACGATGCTAGCAACGAAACAGCGTATACTATCAAATGTGAGCTCGAACTGGATGTAGTTCGTACTAACGGAAACGCACATTTGCTCTGAGCTTCTACGACTCCGGTAAACGCCAGAGATGTCGGCAGCCGTAAAAACTTGAAGGAGTTCGGCGTAAAACCGATGATGCACACAAGCCTCAATCGACTTACTAGGATAGGGACAGATATGGCTACGAGACTAAGGCAGATCAGACATCATCTACTTCCCAAATATTCTATGACTCACGAAGTGATAGCACCAGTATTGATGGCGTAGAATACTAGCCAGTTAATAATCGAGTCGGTTCTAGAGGCTCGCCATTAGAAAACTGGAAAAACAGAATCAAGACACTGTCACCTCTTCATACCAGTGCGTAATTTATGTAGATAGTAGCACAGCGCTGAAGCTATGAGAGCATCTAAAAAAGCGGCAAGAAACCCCCGGGTCGTTAAGGTTACCTTGGAAGGTCCCGTGAATATACTGGATCAGTTGACCTGTCTATGTAACGCACGACTACATGTGGACGGAAGGTTTCCCAAACACGGTACTTGAGGCTACGCTTGTGGTCAGAAATAACAACTGGTCAACAGAGGGCTCCTCACTTGAGTATTGAATTCGCCCACTCCAATCCTGCCAAACATTTAGTTGACGGAGCAGGGTAGCGGTGGTCTTGCAACTCGCCTAGTCGCACGATGGCCAAGAAAACCTGTCGAGTGTCAGGGAGATAAAAGCCGCTGCCATGGAGGGTACTCACAAGAAAGGAAACAAAATATAGTTTAAAGCATACTGCAAGGATGCGACATCAAGACTCTTGCGCGTATACAAAATTCTTCCACACTCACGTCGCCATACTCTCCATATGAAAACACTTTGTTCCGCTAAGCTCCTTCAACCTTCAAGGTATTTCAAACGACACTCACATTTCAACAATAAAAGCGAGTAGAAACTGAGTATGGAGGACCACAGGCTTAGTGGTGCTAGTCCATGTTAGCTATCTGCCCACTCACCCCGACAATGAAAGAAGCCGGTAAACTCCTGAGGTAACGTTGGTTTCTCGGATAGATCAGACTGCTTTGACCCTCACCATACTGCAATCCCCAGAGCTTCGTCGTTGCCAAAGTTTTCGATCAAGTAGTACTCGGTATAATGTATAGAAAGGATTGTGTGTGCGGTTTCCAGTGTCCTGTGCCCGATTAGTTGTTGAACTAGACAATATGATACCAGTTTACATGATGACTGCCACCTATTAGCTGAGTCTTAGACAACGGGTTGGGCAGAAAGTGAGAACTGGGGCTCACGAGAAGCTTCAGGTGCCAGCGGTCTTTTGAGTAGTTTTGAACATAAAAGAATGTCTGGATGCAGTTGATGCCATATAAAAACATAGTGGCGAGAGTGCCGCACAGCGGGCCTTGCACGATGGAATCGGCGAGATTGTGGACCATGCTCTGCAGGGCATTAGCGGAGAAGGGAGGGGAAAGACGCGCGGGAACGTGGGGTCAACGAGGTTATAAGACGAGGCAAGGGCTCGAAAGAAGCACTGGAGGGGGATTGTGCGAGCATTTTCAAGGTTCCGACGATGGGAGTTCTGAGAGGAGGCCGCCCATAGCTAGATTGATTGGCCTTACGAAATACGAAGACCCGGATTCCTTGGGAATCGAAGAGCTCCGCAGATGGTCGCGTGCACAGCTCGAACATGGGCTTAACAAGCCAATCTTGGGCCAGTCTAAGAACATTATTGGCTGAGAGGGAGGCTATAGTCCTCGCAGCTGGAGCATCAGAACGACTGCGCGTGATCACTTATAATAATCAAGCCTAAGGGTGACGTCCCCACCAAGAGCTTGCTGCGCTTTCTATAGAAGGTTCTCATGTGAACGTTAGCAAACAACTCTCTTCTCAGACTGCAATGCAAACACCAAACCCTCTTTTCTTCTCAGCATGTTGAAGAATAGAGTTGCGGTAACGTTCAGAAGCCTTCCGCGTCCATCCAACGTCTGAGCGATGGCGACCACGAACTTGACACGGGCGTACATCTATTGGAGCTGGAGCTTAAAGACGCATGTGGAAGACCGCCTGCCAATATTGACGAGTTGGCAGGAATAGATGAAAGAGGCTGTGATACGATGCAATCGCCGCGGTAAGGACAACAACCACTCGCCCGTCGACGCAATGGGCATTGGGCAACGAGCATCCACTCACGGCGTTCTGAGTTCATCACGGGACTGCGCAATTTACCGAACGAGCTCTCATTATCAGCCACACACCACCGACAAACTTGACAAGCTTGACCTTTAGCCTTCGTCCAGCTTCAATCTCTGTTCGGGTTTCACTGTTTCAATTCAACCCATGGGCTCTCGCGATACCGTCGATCGAACGCCTGGAATCTCTTCGTGCTAAGAATGTGGTACATGACAAACAAATGGTATGCGTTGATGACACTAACGACAAAAGTATGACTAGGACTACAGGTTGCTCAAGCGCTCAAAAGTCGTCCGGCCATGCGGAAATGTTCCTCGAACATGCCTTAGAACTCTTTTGCCCCAGGAGCCTCCAAAACATCCTCTTCAGTCTATTTACCTTGATGGCTCTCGACTTGACCTGGCTCAACGACTCCGAGGTCACCATTCCCATCTGTTCTTGGGGTTCCACCTGATGCTGATGCTGATACCTTCCGCTGAGTGCGCAGTTCAGCCAGCTCCAATGCTACCTGCGCGTCTGTCGTAACGCCCTCGGCTAGATCGGGGATCCTGAGCTTTAGCGAATGCGGGACTGTTGCTGTTGTCGGATCACGGAGATCCAAGGAAGGCGCGAAGGCCATCTGACTGTTCATATCCAGCTGAGCATCGCCGGGAACGGAGCTCAATGACGCCAAAGAGGTCGCCGCGGACGGAATGGGACCGGCCAAAGAGAGTATATCCTCAGGAGATGCGGCCGCCCTTGCGTTTAGCTGAGTCACCGAAGTGGCTTCCTCTGAGGGAGTGTACGATGCATTCTCGCCAATCACCGAGGAGGTGTAGGCCGAATTTGCACTATCGATACACAGCTGAGACGAAGACGTCGTAGGGCTTGAGACCGACCCACGGCCAGCCAGAGGTGAGCTCCGACTCGGTGAGTTGATGCCCAACCCGAGCAGTCGCCTCTCCGAGGGTGAATCTCTGGCGGGGCATGGTGTGCCGCCTGGAGAACCATGTCTAGTCCTTCCTCGGCCACTGATAGGGACCTTACGGCTCGCTGGGGACCACACGATAGTTGGAGACTTGGGCGAAGGCGTATCGGAGGTGCGAGTCTGAGCCTGAATTGCGGAGGCAGCGCGGGTGATGAGAGGTAAGATGCCCTTGAGTGCTTGGAGCTTCCGGGGGGGCTGGGGCTTGGGGGCGTTGTCCTTCATGCTGGACCTGAGCGGCGACCGACCGATGCTGGAGCGCTCAACCATGCCAAAGTCGAGTTTGCGCACGAGGATCAGAGGCTTCAGACGAGACCTGGAGGGCGGGATTACACCAGAGGATACGCCGAATATAGGAGTCGGAGCCGAGAGAAGAGGGGAGTAGCCTGGGGGAGGAGGCATGCGGCAGATGCGAGGGTTGGGCGAAGCGGTTCGCTGGCGTGGAAGGTGTCGCTTAGAGTCGATGGCGGGGACACAGAACGGTGGAGATTCACTGCCCTGCCGGGGCGAGGACCTTTGACTGGAAGTAAGGGAGGTTGGCGATGTGGGCGTGGTCATGTCTATGTTTGCTAGACTCGTCAACTAATTTGAACTTCACCCCTTGATTCCGAGGAAGGATTGTAGTGAAGTGAGAGATAGGCAACGTGATGGGTATCGCTATACTTGGGCGGATGAGGAGCAAATGAGGAGCGCAGAAGAACAAGGAGTCGAACAAACGAAGGCAAGATAAGAACATAAGATATCTGGAATACATCATTACGGTTTCAGCGGACTTTGGTATGTTACCTTCCGTTTCAGCTTGGGCTGTACGACGGTCCAGATGTTGACGCTCGCGCACATGCACAGTCGCGTTATAGACCACCATCACGTGTAAATAGATTTCCTGACGTCAGGCTAGCTCGATTTGAGATGATCGACAGACGTATTAAATTGCCACGCGGGCGCGTGCCGTTGAGCACAACTGCGGTATACAGCGCCGGGGGGAGAATATGTAGGTCTTGTAGGTCTCTTAGTCTCGCAGTATCTGAGTGAATGTACGAAGCTCTCAGATAGTTATGGCGTTCCTTTGAGCACCCTATTGCAACAACTTGAAGGCACGTACCTGATTGCCAAGTCAACAAGCACTCGGCGAGCTCACGAGGGACCAAGCTCCCAATTTTTAGTTAGATAAATCATAATCCATTTCCACTAACCCACAGGATCAAACACAAAATCCAGCAACCAGGCACGGTGAAAAGATACTCTACCTGCCGAGCCAAGGTTGGCCATAATTATCAAATGAACCCAGCTTAATTTCCAGAGTCCCTAGTCAATAATCGGTAGAATGATCTGCAGGGTATGAAAGGGTAGAAGTGCGAACAAAGAAGGGTGATAGGTGAGGTCCAAGGCACGGGCGGGTATGTGACAGACAAATCAATCGTGCCTTCTGCCCATTCAGAATTCCAGGAACAAGTGTGGAGGTAGCGAGCGAATCAACCGGAGACCAAAACAAAGGATACCAAAGTGACAAAGACGAAGATGGCGATGAATATGTTGCTATGTAAATGGGCATAGGCGACGACAAGGCCGGCCTGTCATCGCGGCCGAGTGGGAGCGAGTCATTTACTCATCGTCCTCATCGTCGCACCAGGGAAGGTCATCATCGGGGTTGGCGGGAGTCGCGCTAGCGGGGATGGAACCGGAGCTGGTGGGGTAACCAGAGGGAGCGGCAGGGGCCTGGACGGAACCGGATGTGCAGAGGACCTTACATAGCGAGAAATATATTGTTAAAACGTGTCGTGAGTCACCGTCGGCAAGTACGCACCTCGCCAACGTAGAGGTTGGAGCAACTGTCGTCAATCTGAGGGTTGTTCAAGGACAGAATGGTGGAGTTGACGTTGGAAATGGCGGCGATCATGTCGCAATCATCGTTGGCCTGCACGACGTAGGTGTTGGTGCAGTCCTCGCCCTGCCAGCCGAGGCAGTAGGACTGGCCAGGGGTCAGGTTGTTGCATTCATCGTCGACGATGCCGTAGTTGACGACGGCGAACTGGTACCTGTGGAAAGATCAATAACCGGGTTTTTTTGGCCGTGCGAGTGGGAGGATTACACGTACGTGGAGACGTTGTTAGCAGCAGAGACGCTGTCACAGATATCGCCTTCCTGGACGGTGTAGTTACGAGTGCAAGTGTTGTCCGCAGCGACGACTGGGAAAAGGGGAGGAGGGTTGTAAGCAATTGTTCACTTTCATCCTAAGCATGGAAACATATAAAAAACGTACGCTGGGCAACGAAGGGGAGGGCAAGGGCGGCAATGACGATCTTGGAGAACATGTCTGGAACGACCTGGATGTTTTCTGCTTTCTTAAAAATGAGTGTACGCTGAAGAAGGAGGGACGCGGTCGCCGAGTTGGATGTTCAAGGAAGAGAGTGAGGTGATGGTAAGAGGTGAAGAGGTAGGGAACGAGAAGCCAGTGCCCGTGTGGTTGGGGATCTAAATCTGGGACAAGTACACTCACGTAAGCGGCATTTTGGGATCCGTTTGACAGCTTGACAACAGAGAGAACGGGGGCGCCCAGACCAGCAATGCCGCCGCGTGTTTCATTGCCAGCAAGCGATGTCGCCCGAGAGGCTTCCTTTAAGTAAATTCCTTTCCCCAGCCTAGAAGAGCCTGCCGCCAGCAAGTTCTACGAAACATTTACTCGGCTGCGAATAAGGGCAGAGCGTACTGTCCGATGTTAATCTTGCATCAGACAAGAGAACATGTAAGAGACGAAGACGGCCTTGTTCGACCTCGTTGAGAACAATATGGAGAAGTCAGGAGTTGCAGCCATGAGCACCCTTGGCGACGTGGTCAGGAACCTTGTCAGGAACAATCGGGCCAGCTTGTCCGTCCCGGCGTTTCTATCTTGGTTACGTTATCCGTCTAATTCCAGACCCTCGGTTGCCGATTGGCTTCCAATTTTAGCATACCCGCCGGCATCAAGCGCTTACTATGGCAATCATCACGTGAGCCGCGTACTACCATCTCGTCGTCACTTGCGAGCTCCCCCTGTTCCTTGTGAGAGCTCAGTAGCCATGGTGAGTCCTGATCCACACCCACACATTCTGATCGTCGTATGTATCCATTGCCTTGTGGTGTCTAGGACGTTGACCCACTTGCCGACACTGTTCCGCCACGGTATGCTGTTGAATCAGACGACGAGGACGAGTACAATCCATTACCATCGCAATCCTCATCTGCCAAACCTCGTGCAGCACCTTCTGTCAATATCAAGATTGTAGGCAATATTGCCACAAAATGTCCTCTGGCGGTCATGTCTGGACCCGCTGCTGCTCACTGGGCGGGGGGTGCTGCACTTGGTGAACAGAAAGGAGCGGTATACGTTAACTCAAAGATGGTATGTCTAAGGCACCAAGGACGCTCTGGGGACGACTCAACCGGCCAGAGGTCCTGACATATAACCGTTCTACAGGTAGGACTGCTGTTTGTGCCATCGTGGACAGATTCAGTTGTTCTTGTATCGGAAACTGCGCGACACACTACGCTTCCACTGTGGGCTCAGCACCAGTATGCCCAGGCTATCTCGAACCACTTCGCTCCCACAAGGTATGGCCTTGTACCTATATAGTAGGGCCTACTGGTTAACGATCGGCATTCAGCATGGTTCTATTGGACACATACTTTTCGAAGGGGTATATTTCTTCCTCCGATCCTCCGACAGGTGCACCTGTGCGACACCTTGCAGTGAATCATACACCGTCCGCTGTAAGCTGCTTCGTGCAAACTAAATGTGTACGTCCTGATCAAGTTATAGAACCTCAGAGTGCCATTGTATGCGCCCCCCAACCTCGTGCATACAACGTCCGCCGCGTTCATGGCGTTACTGTACCTCCAATCGCTCGAGCCGCAAGGGTCAAAAGTGCCTGGGTTGCTTCTGCTTGCTCCATCTTCGACCCTTCCGCCTCAGCCGCCTAGCACGATTGGGGCGGGAGAAGGAGGACCAATCCCACTTTCCGATGATGCAGAGTGGTCTGCTGATGAAATGGAACTCGTCCAGTCGACTGTATGCACCGTCCTGGGGGCAAAAACACCAAGTGTGTGGAAGGGTCGATCGACGCTCAGTAGAGGAAGCAGTGAGGCGTCTAAGAGAAGGACTGGTGATGTCGGCGATGGTGGAATGTATATATAGAGACAAAAAGTAGAGCATCGAAGTGACTTGAATGTACATGCATATGACGACGAGAGCTATATGTCAAGTCTCCTCACTGTAATAAAGACGTTCAACTTCCAGACATCATGTCGATGTGGTTTGCCGCCAGAGGGATGTTTCGGACCGTTGCCGGATTCCGACGAGACCTGGTCTATCCAAGCACACGTGATCCTTACAGCTGATTCCCGCTTGGGTTTCGCCATCTGTCTCATCCTGCTCAAGCACCCTTCCCAACAACGACAACAGTTATGGTGAGTGAAAGTTCTTCAAGTTTATGAGCATAATTCACTGAGCATGACTTCCTGCTCACCCTCACTAGGCCGATAACGCTGGTACGCGTCCTTTCGTTGCATGATCTCTGGTTGCTAGATCTAACCCAAGGCCGTTCTTGCGTTTTAACGGACTCGCCTTGATCTATCAACATTGACTTCAAATCCACAAATCCCGCTTGACACTACAATCGGTGATCAGAGTATAAGGAAGCCTTCGCACTTTTCGACAAGAAAGGCACCGGTGCCGTTCCTCGCGAAGTTCTAGGTGATCTCGTCCGTGCACTCGGCCAGAACCCGACTCAGTCTGAGGTCGCGGATATTGTCGCCAGTGCACCTCGTGAAGGTACGGGTGGCCCGAGTTCAAGCTGCCCTTTGTTGATGCTAATTGTCTGTAACGCGGTGGCATCTTTCGTTGGTGCGCAACAGTCGATTACAAGACTTTCTTGACGATCCTCAACCGGCCAGATGGATTCAAGCCTGCTGGTACTCCTGGTGAGCTTTCTTTTCTACTTTATTTGGATGTTGCCCCGCGACTACGTTCCGTGAGCGCGACGAGAAGACCTTGGTGCCCGCGCGAGGCTGTTTCTGCTTTACCTTTATAAAGTCCTTCAAGCTATTGCTACTATTATGGACGCTAACCTAGTGCCTCAACAGAGGAGTTCATTCGTGGCTTCCAAGTCTTCGACAAGGAGGGAAATGGCTTCATCGGTGCTGGTGAACTGCGGTATGTCTTGACCCAGCTGGGCGAGAAGATGTCAGATGAAGAGGTCGACGAGCTTCTCAAGGGTGTGCAGATCGGCAAGTGAGTACAGTCACCGTATATTTCGTCTTCCTCTTCATACCAAATAATTCACCTCGACAGCGACGGCAACGTGAACTACGAGTCTTTTGTCCGCACGATCCTTAGTCAATGATCGATATCCCCCACATACAATCTCAACTCGACGTTTGTGCATACCAATAGGCGCATTACGGGAGGAAAGCGCATGTAATACCTGGTCAACTGTCCAGACAGGAGGGAAGAAGGCCGAACCGATTGTAGCACACTTTTGACGCCCTGTAATGATTTCGACGACGTTTGTGGTCTGGAGTTTATGACAAGTTCATTAACATTAAGTGTCCAGGTAGCATGGGGTGATAATTTACGTCTACAAAAAGTATTGTGGTAAGAACCTATGGTCTGCCAAATCCTCACCAAGGGTTTATATCTTCAATCGCTCTCTGACTCGTACTCATCATCAGATGCAGGGCCTGCTTCAGCCTCGGAAGCTTGCTTTGGGCTCGTAGCGCCACTACGCGCGCCGTTGCTGCTCGTGCTTGTGCCTCCCTTGATAATTCGTTCAACAACAACTTGAGCGCCACCTGCGAGACCATCGACCTCGCCCAGCGACTGACAAGGCGCCCACAGGATCTCCTTGCGGGGATAAGAGAGGGCGAGGCGGAAGCCCCACCACTCATCGACGGAATCATCACCATCGATGTTGGGTGTACCTTCAAGGAAACCCTTTGTTGACAGATATTGCTCGAAGGTTTCAATGTCGGCCACTCCCTTCGCAGGAGCTTCGGAAGGGTCAGAGGTGGGCAGGAGATCCTCAGGGACCATCGACGCATCAACGAGGGCGTAGAGGGTAGTGAGAGATGTTGAGCGAGGGAAAGACTGCACAAGGCGTGCGTTGGAAGGAAGACGAATCGCAATGCGAACATTTTCCTTGTCGCGAGTAGGAGAGACGGCAGAATCGGTGGTCGCAGGAACGAGCTTTGCGCGCATCCACCGCCGCCAGTCCATGCGCGTGCGTTCGCGCAGTTCACGTAGCGATTCCTGGATAGCAGCCTCTTCCTCCTGGCGGGCAATTTCCTCGGCTTCGCGCACCGCGCGGTCAGCTTCGGCGGCTTTTTCGGCGCGTGCTTGCTCAACGCGCTCGCGATCCCGACGGAGGCCGTCCTCGTACATCCGGTCTTGCTCTGCGCGAATCATGCGGTCGCGTTCACGTTGGCGAATGCTAGCTTGGTGTCTCGTAAGGAAGGGCTGGACACGTGGAAGGAGCTGTGTCTCAAGGTGGCTCATGAGCGTTTCCGAGGATGTAGGGGCGGATGCGGGAGAGGCGGGGCCTTGGTGCCTTGAGAGGACAGACAGGAGAGGAGTAGACTGCGAAGAGTTGGTGGAGCTATGAGGGTGGGAGCGGCGGGGTTGCAGGCCAACGAAGGCAACGAATGGATACGTGGTGGCTTGGAGCTTTTGAGACGCTAGAGCAGGCAGCATGAGCTGACGAAACTCCCTATGAGCGAGTGAACTCACCTGCCCAAGCTTCCCTGTCCCGAACATCTCCACCCCATACAACGAAGTTATTGTCAGTCAGGAGACGGACGAAAGTCGGGTCCGTCAGAGTCGACCTAACGACCCCGAGTTAGTTCCTGTCCTACATCATCTTAATTGACCATACACACCTCTTGAATTCGGCGACATCGTCGTGTTCTTCGCTGACCAATATGATACATCCAATGCGACCCTCCGTCTGGCATGCCTTCAACACCTCTTCATAGCTTCCTAGGTAGAATTCTGGCAGAACGCCAGAACCTGACGGATCGCCGTCGCGGGGTATTGGGGGATACGAGTTTACACCTCGCTTGACAGCCGATCCTCGCTCCTCAACTCCACTGGCTTGTCCATCTCCATCCCTTGCGAGACCTCTGAGCGAGATGGCACCTGTCTCTTCTTCTAGAGAGCGCACCCACTGCTCTGCTGCATCGCGAGGATGGAGGAAGCGCTGATGAGGACGGAAAGGAGTAAGGAGCCGAAACGTGGGGACTGGGATGTGAAGGGCACCAAAGACGAAACGGAATATGGAGGAAAGGACTCGGAATGGGAGAGATAGTAGTGACACGACAGCCTGCCACATACCGCCTCTGCCAAAGAGCTATTGTCAGCACTAGTAGTCTGGACCTGTCTGCACACACTGCCCGAAATCAGGTAAGTAGTGCGCGAGGAAAATCGCTGATATTGGGAGAATAATATCCCAATTCTTGAATGCGAAGGTAAACAGGTGTATGGTGAGAGTTGTTATTTAACACCGGTATGACCGGACCGCCAACTTAAGACTCCGCCGGAAATAACGTCAGTGAGTACGAATTTTGTCTCAGCTACTTTACTGCCACCCTTTCTGTCTTCATCGCACTGCGGGCAAATGGCAATTTTATCCAAGAAGCAGGCGATCGGGCGAAATCAAACACCGTCCATTTTTTTTGGAAATAGATACTTTAAAGCAGCTCAGTCCCATCTCACACTGCAAAAAAAAATCACCATAACCTGGGCCCATTTACTTTAAATAACTGGCCCGGTTAGTTAAACTAACTTTATCACAACTTGCCAGGATTTATCTGGGTGCGGACACACATTGTATTTAAAATACTATTTAACAAAGGTTATGCTAAAGGTGGGACATGCAGTTTTTGACAGTTATCTTAAATTGTAGTTTCTCATGGCTGTCAGCCATGTCATTGAGCTCATCTATCTATTTTCAAATAAAATGGAGTTAACATAAATGTGGATAAGCTCCACATTTGGATGGCAGGCAATGACCCAGCAATGACTAATCATATGCCAGTCAATGCCAGGTCAGTGGCCAATCAATGGCCAATCAATTAATCAATGGCTGGCCATCAAAATTTTATGTCCAATAAAAACCACTTATTCACTCTAAATGGTCATACTAATTACCAACTATCAGTGATAAAAAGGAAGGGAGTATTATGGGACTTTAGGATTCATATTGTTTACAAAGTGAGGGATTAAAAACATATATTTCTGACTAGATAATAACTTTCTGTTTGGCCATTGACCAACCATTAACCTGCCATTGACTGGCATATGATTAGTCATTGCTGGGTCATTGCCTGCCATCCAAATGTGGAGCTTATCCACATTTATGTTAACTCCATTATATTTAAATAAAAATAGATAGATGAGCTCAATGACATGGCTGACAGCCATGAGAAACTACAATTTAAGATAACTGTCAAAAATTGCATGTCCCACCTTTAGCATAACCTGTCAAATGATATTTTAAACACAATGGGTGTCCGCACCCAGATAAATCCAGGCAAGTTGTGATAAAGTTAGTTTAACTAACCGGGCCAGCTATTTAAAGTAAATGGGCCCAAGTTATGGTGATTTTTTTTTGCAGTGTCATGTCCTGATTAGCCAGAGACAAACATGCACAACTCTGCAATCAATTCTGATGTATGATTGGCTAAGCATTTCTGTGTCTTGGGCAAGTCCATACCAGCCTGATATGGTGTGAAAGTTCACATGCCCCCTTCACCACACTGTACCGCATGCTCACCAATTCATTGATGTTCAACAATTGCAGGACAAATATACACTAACTTGAATGAAAATTGCACAATAAATTATTGCACCATATGTTCTTTAAATCAGCACCCTATAGTAAGCTTATAAGCAAAGGAAGTAAAACTACTTGAATAATTAATATGGCTCAATAGAATAAATAATGTGTAGTTCTACGTTGCCTGCCACTTAGTTCTCTACTGCTATCTATTGTTGCGATCACTCACAACAGTCATGGTTCATCATGAACGCTTATGTCTACCTTACACCACAGATTGAAATGCCTCAGTCCGTCCTTGCTTTTTACTGTCCAATAGATCACGTGACCTCCAGCTACTTCAATTGCAACTCACATGACCAGATCAGCTACATTACTTTACCAAACTTACATAATTGTTCTCTCACATTCCTGGATGTTCCATATGACATCACCCATACTTGAGTTCACGCAGATGTGGGTGTCCGCACTGATAGCGCTATAGTGCAATTTTTGCACATCTTATATACTGATTAGAACTATAGGAGTACTGTAGTACTCCTTTACTTGTACAGTCGCGGACAGCCAAAGTCGACAAAAAGTACCGATCCCTTTTGTTTCTTCCGAAAACTATCAGAATCAACTGCAATTGAGTGAGGGCCTTGCCAACAAAGTTTGAGTGAATCTCCATGAGCCATTCATCCAAAAAAGGTAATTCTTTGATTTTGACCCCTCAAATTTTGGCCACACCCTGTTTTTTGCCCTAAAATCACAAAAAAAAATCACCAATCGACTCCTTTCGATGTGCTGCCAATGAATCCATCAAAAGATTTTCAATAAAATGCTGTGGGAATCATGCAAAAAATTCCTAAATCGGACGTGGGAACACAGGCCGGCTTCTGCCCCATGCCATAAAGGGTTTGTTATGACCCCTAACTTGGTGCTCATTGTTTTTGTAACTGAACTATGCAAGAACTACATGAATAAAATGTGACTGGTTGTACTAATTCTTGGTAATAAAAAAAAGCATTGCCCAGTCCTTCCTAGGGTACCACTGCCCATTATGATACACGAGACATGAAAGAGGACCAAGTATTCCTCACCTAAATCTTGCACTTTGAATCCTCGACAGAGCTAATCCTTGACACTGCTAACCATTGGCCAAGAGTATACAGGAGCACTGTCAGAAATCATCTTTTCTGATGGTCAATTCTATCGAGGATTAGCTCTGTCTTAGAGTTAACTCTGTCATGTAAAGTTAGCTTTGTTGACATTGAGGGGTGGTTATTTTGAGGATTAGTTTCCCGAGGGTTAGTTATATCAAGGGTTAGTCCTTTCAAGGATTAACATTGTCAAATATCTTTTTATTGAGGGTTAGCCTGGTGAACAATGGATCACGGTACTCCGTCAAGGCTTTAGTATTTGTTCTGTCAATGATTAATGTTGGATATATCACATTTGATCAGCGAGGATCAGGATATCTCATTAGCTCTAATTATAAATAGCACTAAACTAGTACACAAAAACATTCAGTGGATAGTTCTTCACTTTTGTAGTGCCGCAAGGGTAATAAAGACTACCAATTTTCAACTTCAGGGGCTTCACCAGCCAGTTCCCACGGCCAAAAAGTTGCTTTTTTTTTGGCCCAAAATTTGGCCACCCCCAAAAAGTCGTGGGAAAAACTTTGGAGGTGCATTTTCTGGCTCCTTTCGCCATTCTGGCCTCAGTTCTGCAGTCAGAATTTCATAAATTTTGCTAGATCTTGCTCGGCCCCTTTTGTCAACTTTGGCTGTCCACGACTGTAGTTTAGCTTGTGTTTCTTCTAATATATGTGTTCTGTATCCCCGGGGCTTGGCCTGGGGCTTATGATCTGTCTGCTGGCCTTCCCGAAGGTCAGCCTGTCTATTCTCATGTTTTACCCGTCGGTACGTGATTTTTCTGATGCTCGTCCGTGTCTCTCGTGTTTGTTTTATTTGTCTCGGCGTCAGCCGATTACTCATGTGTGCTTACACACTTTCTTGTTCTCAATACTCCCCTGCAAACCTTAATTCATGCCGAGACCTTCAACGTGTTCTTTGTGTCTTGGTTTGGGAAGAGGTTTGGTTAATATATCTGCTGTCATTTTTTCTGTAGGACAGTATCTAGTTTCTATTTCATTATTGGTTATTTTCTCTTGAATAAAATGATGTCTGATTTGAAAATGCTTTGTTCTTTCATGAAATTCAGGGTTTTCAGTCAATGCGAGTGCCAATTTATTATCCCCATATATTCTTGTAGGCTTTTTCTGTTTATATCCTAGCTCTTCTAATAAGGTTCGTATCCACACTGCTTCTTGGGCTGTGAACAACATAGTAATATATTCGGCTTCTGTAGTAGATAGTGCAATAGCATTTTGCTTTTTGGATCTCCAAGTGACCGTGCCACCAGCCAACTTAAAAATATATCCGGAAACGGATAATCTATCCGTTCCGTTCGCATAATCTGAGTCTGAGAATGAATGCGGCTTGACTGTATTATCAGCGTTGAAGCTTATCTCATCTGTATATCCTTGTAGGTCCGTTTCTTTTTCTTGTTCATATGTTATGCCTAATTCTTTTGTACCGGCTAAATATCTTAATACATGCTTTGCTGCTGCTCAATGCATGAGATCTGGGTTGGCAGTAAACACGCCTAATCTATTTACAGCAAAGGCTGTATCTGGTCTAATAGGCTCACTGATGTATGCCGCGTGCGCAACCAGTAACACATAATTATTGCTCCAGTTATTTTCTCCGGGTGGTTCTTTTGGGCTTAGCTTTGTTTTTGTCTCCATAGGCATAGCAACTTTATCAGTGTTGTCTAGCCCCCATTTCTTGTGAATCGATTCGATATATTTGGTTTGGGTTAATTTAAGTGTGCCCTTTTCTTTACTCTGAGTTATCTCAATTCCGACAATTTTGCTCGGGTCGCCAAAGTCAGTTAGCTCAAAAACCGAGCTAAGTTCATTCTTTAGTTTGGCCATTCTATCTTTTGTTTTCGTAAATAATAGTAGATCATCTACCCATACTGTGATAATTTCACAAGTCTTATTTGTTTTTCTAATGTATACACATGAATCTGATTTCAATTGAGTGAAACCTTTCTTTTCTAATCTTTGGCCTAATTCATAGTTCCATTCTCGGCCTGACTGCTTCAAGCCATACAAAGTTTTTATTAATCTACAGACATGGTTTGTGCTGTCTTCATAGCCAAGTGGCTGTTTCATATATACTTCTTCTTTTAGTTTTCCGTTTAAATAGGCGCCTTTAACATCCATTTGTTGTATTTGCCAGTTTTCTTGTACTGCAATGGATAATATAATTCTGAGAGTTTCTAGCCTTACTACAGGCAAAAATGTATTTGTGAAATCTATTCCGGGAATCTGTGAGCAGCCTTTGGCTACTAATCGTGCCTTATACTTCTTTAGATCTCCTTCTTTTCCATATTTTCGTATAGTGTTGTGCAGGGCCAGGCTTGAGGCCCTAAAGCCTTTGGGCCAAGCCCTGTATAGGCCAAGCCCTGCCCGAGCCCTGGCTAGGGCTTTTGAGGGCCTAGGGCCTGGCCTGGGTTGTTGCAAAGCCCGAGCCCAGGGCCTAAGCCAGGGCCTGTAGCTAAAACATTGAAAACTGTTAGTATGACTGTACAACTACTCTAGTAACAAAAGGTTGTATAACTTGAACTTAAGTATTAGCTAGTGTACAATGTTTTTATTGATTATGGGAAATTCTAATCAAAGTGTGCTGTGTCCTGATCTAACTATGGCATTATCTGTCTCACTTGCCCTTCAATTAGAATATAGCCTTGAGAGTTATGTCAGTAAATAAGGTGATGTTTGACCCAGCAGGTTACTAATGTCCCAAAGACAGTTATGGTACAAACAATGAAGCTGAAAACACTTCAGCACCTCAGGCTCAAGGATTTCATGCTTATCTTGGCTCTGAGATGCCTCTTCCAGAAGAGATATCTATTGTCCATTGGTGGGGTGTAAGTTATCTTGTTGTATCACATTTTATGGTTCTAATCAGTGCTACAGTTGAATTCTCTTTTGTACCCTATTTGGGATCACTTTCATGCAGCTGCTGAAATAATCACAAAAAGGTGCAATCGCATTGGTGGAGATGTTGTTGAAGCTATTCGGGTGTTGAGGACACTCTGCTGCCAGGAATTAATTTTCCATAAGCTAGGGCCATCCTCAGCAGCTGAGTTATCCTTAGAGAAGACTGAGGGCAATGTTATTGATGACATGACTGTTGAGAAGCATGATGATGAGCTTGGAGATTTAATTTTAGGTATTTCAGACAATGAGAACCATTGAGATTTGGATGAATAAGTGTCTTTTACTACAGCAATTATTGTGACCCAATCAAAAGTCAATGTCTTCACTGTTTTTTACTATCTGATTGATCCTGATAGCTTCATTGAGTAGAAAATGGACCGCTCCAATTTTTTATGCACAAAGGAAGCAAAATACATAATTTTATAGTGAAAGCCCTGGCCTAGGCCCAAGCTAAGCCCGAGCCAAGCCCTGGCCCTATGTCAGGGCCTGGCCTTGGTTTTTGCAAAGCCCAAGCCCTCAAAAGCCAGGCCAAATCCAGGGCTTTCAGGCCAAGCCCGGCCCTGCACAACATTATTTTTGTATGAATACCCATTTATTTCTTATAGGCTTCCGGCCCAGTGGACACAGTTCTTTATGCCATGTGCCATATTCGTCTAGTTGTCCTAGTTCTGCTTCTATCGCTTTTTCCCATTTGGGCCAAAAATGACTTTTCTTTGCTTCTTCTAACATTTTTGGGTCTTTATCTGTTACATTTGACTCGCTAAATGCCATATATAGATATTCTTCGAGCAAATATTTGTCTTCTTCGAGTTCTTCTCCTTCGTGTAATTTATTATAATCATGTACTATTTTTGGTCTTTTACTCTTTCTAGGTTCTTGTGTTTCCATATCCGGCATTTTTCTTTTATTACTCTGTGTGTTTGGTTCTTTATTTGAGAATTCTGGGATTTCTGACTGTGCAGGCGCATCTTGCGTAGGTGTGGGAATAGACTCCCCCCGCGCGATGTGCATCGTCCATCTTAGGAAACTTGTAGTTTCTCAAAACTCTTATTGCTCTTGAGTGAGTGTTGAAATACCTAACGGCTTTCAGGCCATCTTCGTATCCCATAAATAGATGTTTCTTAGCATGTGGCTGTAGTTTAGAATTGCCTGGTTTCTCATCTAAAATATACAAGGGAGCGCTGAACTCCTCAAAATGTGTTATATCTGGTTTATTATTTGACCACTTCTTGATTGGGGTGGCTGTGCCAGTTAAGGCACGTGTATATGATCTGTTTCATAAATAAGTTGCGTGCAATGAAGCTTGCGACCACAAAATTTTTGGTAAGTTGTGGGCCAGTAGGATTGCGCGAACCACTTCTATTATTGTTCTGTTAAAGCGCTCGGCTACACCATTTTGCGCATGTGCATAGGGTGCTGTTACCTCTAAGGAAATACCCCTGTCTGCACACCAGGTTTTCAGAGGTTTGTTTATGTATTCTTTTCCATTATCTGATCAGATTTTCTTTACTTTGTAGTTATATTGTCTTTCTATAAATGTTATATAGTTTTTTTATTTCTCAGGCTGCCTCACTTTTTAGCTTGAGGGGAACGACTTGTGTACATCTACTGCAGTCGTCTATAATTGACATCAGGTACTTGTGCCTGTTTATAGAAGCAACGTGTGCTGGGCCCCACAGATTGGTGTGGATTCTTTCTCCAGGCATGGATGAACAATTCTTTGCCTCTTTAGGAAATGGTGCGTGCATCATTTTTGCTTTTTCACACGCATCACATTCAAAATTGTCTGGACTCGGCAAAATGTGTAGTTCGTCTACCATTCTATTTTTATTGAGTTTCTTGAGTGCGTGTATACCTATGTGGCCATATCTTTTATGCCACTCGTACCATGTGTGCACTTTGCTTTCTTTGTCTATTTGGGCATTTTCTTCATTTACTAGAGGTTTACAGTAGAAATAATATAATTTCTGTCTAAGAACCCCAATGGCAAGTGTCTGGTCATTGGAATCAAGTAAATGAACTCTGTTATTACTATAAATGGCTTTGCCGCCGGCTTTATCAAGTCTAGACACTGATATTAAGTTTTTCAAAGCGGAGGGCATATGTAGCACATCATTTAATGTCAGGATCTTCTCTTTTCCATTTACGGACACTCTCAGGCACACTGTGCCTTTCCCAGGGACTTCTATTCCCGGTCCGCTGATCCCGTTTACTCTCATATCTTTTAAGGTTTGATAATCTTTAAATGCGCGTTTATCTGCGCATATATGGGAAGTTGTTCCTGAATTGCTCACCCAGTAATAGAAGCAAGTAGTGTATTGAGAGGACTCGGCCATCTCAACATCATCGTCTGATGTAGGTACAGAAGTTGTATTTACTTCATAGTCCTTGGCAATCTGAATGGCCTCGGAAGTATGCGCTTCTTTGCGCTTCCTCTTCTTTCCACTATTTCCGGCAGAAGTTGCCTTTTCTTTCCCCTTTAGGGAAATCTTCCAGCCGGCCCAATCATCGGGGTACCCATACTTTGCGAAGCACTTCCCCTTATGGGGGCGATTACAGTATTTACACAGCAACACATTTTTAGCAGTGCACATGTTGTACCAGTGCGAATTGACTTTGCAGTGGCTACAGTATGGTCTTTCCTTTTTAGATTTGCCATTCTGAGTGCGCCTCTTTTTTGCGGGATGTTCTTCTTCATCATTGCTATTTTCATCATCGGAAATCACCTTTTTCCCACGGCAAATCCATTCCTTCCATATGGCGGAAGTGAGATCAGTTGTAGATCTGTTGATCTTCTGTCTGGTGCCATCAGAAGTGCCATAGAAGCCTAAGGCCCAGGCATCCCACGAGCGTAGGAGTGTGGCGAGAATGATTTGTTGGAAATTCTTCTCGTTGATGATCTGGCCACCAGATGCCGATGCATACTGGTCTCGCATGTTCTCCAGCTGCCCGATATGATCTTGCATATTTGTCTTGTTCCTGGCATGCTTTGTAATCATCTCGCGATAGATATCAATTGCGTGCTGGGTCGACTTGACCTCGAAGCTGGCTCTGAGTGTATCTAAGATCTCGGATGAGGTAAGCTGCCTCTGTGTCTCGGGATCTTTGTCTCTAAGGTACGATAGGAATTCATCAGAAATAGAACTATTAATGATGTACTTGGCGGCATTGTCCTGCATTTCCCACAGAACCCTGTCTCAATCAGTTTGGCAAAGGCTGATCGGCCAATCACTGCTCACAATCTTAATGCTTCCGGCAAACTCAAAAGCGCTGTTTGCGCGCTTGGTCCAGGCCCACCAATTGTTGGTGTTCCCACAAGTTCTGCAGAGCTTGTCTTTGCCCTGCATGGCCATGACCTTCAGGCCCCGCTCGGAAAGGAGTTTGGGATCGAGAGTTTGGGCGAGCGCGAGTTTGCCTGACCCAATTTGGCAGGTGCTCTAAACCTCTCACCAATGTAAAGCTCGTCGAGTAGTTGTAGTTGTAAAGCGCATATCACTTGTACACCTTATCGTATTGCCTTGAAAATCTCCGATAATGATATTAGCAAGATAAGCTAACGCACATTAAATTTTTGTGGACACATTGACTCTGGAATCCGGGTATACAGAACAGAACAGCGTAGACCAGGATGAATTCAGCTTCACATTTTGCTGCTTGCGCCGCGTCTCAGATTTTCCTTTTGAGGTAGCCCAAACTCGCGCTCGCCCAAACTCTTGCTCGCAAACTCCTTTCCGAGCGGGGCCTCAGGTACTGGCTCTGCAGGCAGGCGATCATCGCCTCGTATGGGTCTGCCTGGTTCTTCAGAACAGTCACATGGACCATACCCGAGTTAACCAAAGGGTCTGCCTGCCTCTGAGGCGGCTGTGTCTGCGGAAGCGGCATGGGAGCCGGATCCGGAATGTCAGGAGCCGGATTGATGGGGTTAAGCAGCAACATGACTTGTGGAGCAGGGTTACAGCGTGGAGCCGTCGAAGTTGGTGGCTGTGTGGGCTTGGCAGGAGCTTTGCCCTTATTGGCCTTCAAGTACATCACAATATTCTTCTTCAAGGTGTTGCTGGAGGTCGATGCCGCCGGAGCGCGAGGAGGTGGAGAATCAGACTCGTCGCCCAAGGAGGCGCAAGAGGAATTGGATGACATAATGAAAAGGTAGGTCGCGCAGTTTACAAGCAGGCGGGGCCCATAACCACTTGAGTTCACGCAGACGTGGGTGTCCGCGCTGATAGCACTATAGTGCAATTTTTGCACATCTTATATACTGATTAGAACTATAGGAGTACTGTAGTACTCCTTTACTTGTAGTTTAGCTTTTGTTTCTTCTAATATGTGTGTTCTGTATCCCCAGGGCTTGGCCTGGGGCTTATGATCTGTCTGCTGGCCTTCCCGAAGGTCAGCCTGTCTATTCTCATGTTTTACCTGTCGGTATGTGATCTTTCTGATGCTCATCTGTGTCTCTCGTGTTTGTTTTATTTGTCTCGGCGTCAGCCGATTATTCACGCGCACTTACACGCTTTCTCGTTCTCAATACCCATATGTCACACTCACTTACCATTAGTAGTAGTACATGGCACAGCATGATCCGTGCATTCACAGTCATTACCACACATAGCATCTTGTTTGGCTTAACCAAGCAACCTGTACTTGTATATAGTCTGTGCAATAACAGGCCCCAAGACCTCAAGTGAGTTCTTGTGGGAATCCCCTCCAAGTACACTGAGTCGTGCTATCTGCATGCATTATCTACTCCTCCTCTAAGTCATGCTTCACAGTACGCAGCTCTTCTTTGTTGTTGTCTGTTTGTTGGGTTGGCCCTTGGGCTCACGCCTTGTGGGTTGCTCACATCTATGAGCTGTACATAGATATCCAAGCATGTTAATTTATGCAAGAAGCAGTACTAGAAGTTCATGAGCTTGTAATTACTAGTAATCTCTCAATGGACCTGTGGGTGTACAGATGACCTGACTTAATATCTACAGTATACAAATGCAATAACAAGAGAATAAAGATAATTCTAAGATATATTGTAATAATAATAGCCATGCATGTGAGGCACATTCCTTGAACCACTGGGGGTATGGGTTACTGTACTTTTTCAACCTTAGGTTCAGCCCCTGTCCCCCCCCTCCCCACAAGATGAACCTACCATAGGAGGACAGTCCACACCAAGGTTGAAGTCACAAACTTGACAGGGGGGACATACTAAAATAGGCAAAAACACAAAGAGTGCTACAGAGTATTTTGATAGCCTAAAAACCTACTGATCAGCGTGTTTGTTAGACCATTTGGCTAATTACACAACAAGTTCCTCCATTAAAATATCTGCAGAGGCCTTTAAAACATATTGAGTTTGTCCATGCTGGAGCCATGATCAAAAATAGCACCTCAACCAATACATTTAGAATGGCCTTGTTGACACAAATAGGATGGAAATATGGGGTGAGTAAGCAATATTAGCAGAGACATGCTGAAATAAAATAAATTGAGGGCTTTGACCAGCATGGTACCAGTGAGTGCAGAGCTTACAGCAGGAGCAAGGCCCAAGGAATATATGTGGTGGCTTGAGTGCATGTGCCAACAACCAGCTCAAGATTGGCTCCCTTTGCACCAATGTTGGCAATGTTTCTGAGAACGTTGGCACCAGGGATGTAAGCAAAAGTGCCCCAGATGCTATTTCATGGCTGTGTTTTTAATTGGTGTTGGAGTCACTGGTGCAATCTCTCAACATGAACCCTTTCCACCCTTGAGTTGGCCTTCCAAACATATAGGGAGGGACAAACATTTGAAAAACTGTGTTTAAAGTCCAGTTTCTCATGCCACTGCAAACTTAAGGGGAAAAAACCACAGTATTTTGATACACCTACAACTCATGAGGTGAGTTACATCTCAAGTATCACATAATATGAGTCCTAGAATCTGAACATTTGAGTGGATTTTGTCAGTCCCTATGTTATCCATGGATGATTATAGTTATAGTTGTAAAACCAGATGCCCTCATTCTGAGTGATTGTATGCAAATTCCTTCAAATCCCTTGTATTCCTGTGGCCGTCAACAGGTCCCCCAGCTAGTGTCTGCAAATAGCAAGTCACTGATTTTTTGAGAGTTTGCCAGACTCCTACCTAGCGGTTTGACTCATGAGACCGGCTTATTAAGCGCTCCTGCCTTTTATAACATCATTAGGGGGTACTTTCGCCAGAACAACTGGCACAACTTGTTTTTCCCATCAACCATATTTTGCTTAGCCAAGAGACATTTGGTGGAGAATTTTTTTTAGCTGAACAAGTTGTGCCAGTCGGTCTGGCGAGAGAACTGCCTAACAAAGTTATAAAAGGCAGGAGCGCTTAATAAGCCGGTCTCATGAGTCAAACCGCTAGGTAGGAGTCTGGGAGTTTGCTGTCTCTCAAGATTTGTCATGAGCATGACTAGCAGGGGAATCTCACGATGGGACAGTCAGTCCTGGAGAAGACAACAACAAGTGACCTCGTATAGCAGGGATGAGTGTCTACTGACACACGCGAACACGCTATGTACCGACTACGCTGGCCATGCTGGCCCTAAACTATGCATCGTGCCTTCCTCAAGGCTTGGTCCGATCCTCCCTAGTCCAACGAGCCCAAACCAATGGGGCTAAGGGCTTTGTTACATGATCTCTTTTAAGAAGGATCACCTTCAACAGTACCAGTGCCAATAGATTCCAGCCTGGAGAATGGGAATGGAACTAGAGGGAATGCGCCACAGAGATTTACACTGCACTTCAAAGATTTGGAGGCATAGAAGAATAACTCTGCAGGATTGGAGCTGACCAAAGAGGTCCAGAGGACCTGGAGGAAACACTAGAAGGGGAGAAAGGTAAGTATGAAGGAATGTAAGTCACTATGTTTTGGGTCAAAATTACTGGGCCAGTATTAGGACATGTAGTGCTGGCTTGCCGGACCTAGTTGAGAGCAATTTGCAATGTAAAGTCTTCTTGATCAGGCTATGTGCACCTACAACAGAATATAACTTACTTGCATGTATAGGTGGCTCAGAGCTCTGGAGGCAAGCACAATGGACTTAAGCTCTTGTCCACCTCACTCTTTCCTCATTTTTTCTCCTTCATTGTCCCCCATTGTCTCTTCTCCCTCCCATCCATCCATCCATCCATCCATCCATCCATCCATGCCCAACTGGGTTGTTTCCACCACCTATCTATCCATCCACCATGTCTGATATGGTGAGCTGCCATTATCCATTTGCTGTTCAACTCCTGCTGGCACATTTACAGTATTTGTTTTCCACTGAGGCCAAAACATAGATGCTTGCTTGAGCGTGTTCTAAGGTGAGTGAATCAGTTATATATCAGCCACTTTTTGGTACGCTAACAAAAAAGTACCACCAGCTATTTTTGGGTGGCCTTTGCACCAGCAAGAAGGAGACTAGGTGTGTTTTTCACATCATGTGCATCCACATTGTATGCACTGATAAGTTCTTCCCCCAGTACAGGACCACTCTGTCTCCCTTCTCAACCTCTGCCACCTCTACCACCTCTACCATCTCTCCCCCTTGCACCCCTTAATCTTGCACTTCTTCCCCCTTCCCTTTCCACCATTTGCTGCCTTGCACGCACCACATTTGCATTGCATATTGTCAAGCTGGGTTAGCAAAACCTCGTAGTGCGGGCTGGGGAGATGAACACAACTTTCTGGTGCGTGTCCTTTGAGCTGGTTGCTCTAAGAGTGATGGCTCCCTATTTACAGCCTCTTCAGATCGGGTGTCTTGTGTGCGCCTGACACTTGCACGGAGTTTTAGGGAGCAGCCTGGCATCTCAGCACAGTCTTGCATGCTGTCCCAAGAGGAATGAAGCGTAGAACAGGTAATTATATGTGCATATAGTTGTTGTCTTGGCTTGCTTACTTGGGACTAGGTCGCTGGATTGGATTGAAAGGGTTCAGGTCATCTGGGCCAGCATTGATGGGTCATTAATGCATGGGCTTGATGGTACATGGTTGTCTGGTGGTTGTCTGTACTTGTAACCTGTATGCAGGAATGGATTAATGACAGCTGAGAGAAGAAGCCCCAAATCTGCATACATCAATTTCTAGGGGTACTCAGACATCCCTGCCCACATTTAATCTGAGAATGAGACCCCATGAGAAAGTCACGTGATGTGTGCGCAACTCCGCCAGGAGTTGCCAGGTTGCAGGTGATCTGAGGAGTTTTGGTGGCGGTGTTAGCATGTCTTGGCCGCGTGTCAGTGTGGTGTCGGCACTGAGCCACAACAGCTTGGAACGTCAACTTCCCGTGACGGCTGTGCATTGCGTGTCAGCCACCAGAACTCCCTTATCAGATAGATTCGTATACATCTCTTCCTGTACCTTAATGAACATGTCTATCGTGTTATCAGACGTTGCCCACGCCTTTACCACCAACCCGATCCTAGCTCAGTCAGGTCTCTCCTACGACAACGTCCTTGCATTTCTAGATTGATGCTGCAAATGGCGGGAAAGCTTTGCCACTGTGCAGCAGGCTAAATGCAAAGCCACAACCTCAGCTCCTCCTATTCTTCCACTCGTTCACACATGGTGGCTCTCAAATACTCTTCGGATCCGGCGAACACTCATTCACGCGTTGTGGGACGTCTTTAAACATCAAGTCTGGCATATGGTATGTGCTTCGCCAGCGCGTCCAAGTCCTGGTGGCCCGGATTGAGCACAGAGGAGGATGGAGTTGTGGCCTGGGTGTGTCATAGCATCATTCATGTTCAGACTGCTGGTCCAACATCTAATCTCCAGCATACATTAACCTCTACCTGCCCTCGCGACTCTGCAAGAACAACAACTGTTCGAAGGAGTCCGAGCTGCGCCAGCTGGTGCCTCGCCGCTGTGTTGCCTTCACAATCGAGGACAGTAGCCAGCCAATGCGGACGATGCGACAACCCCAACGGGTGCACCAGCGTGATGAAGCCAACACGTCGTTCTGTGGCCCAACGCAACTGCATGCACTCGCTGTGATTGCGCTGATGACACAAGTGCCCTTGTTGACATGCGGTGAGCGCGCTGGCAGCGCAAAGAGGACGTGCTGTTGGTGTGCACCAACACGACAACGACGACACCCCAACACACTCAAAGTCGTTGCAGGGAGACAGGTAGGACATGTATTGAAGGAAAGTACCCTTGTGGCTATCTTCCTGTTGACCTCATCTTATTGTTCTCATACCCTTGCCCCCCTCGTCCCCTCGCGTCTTGTGTTTGTTGTGTTGTTGCATTCATTGCATTCATCATGTCATCAAAAATGTCGTGCTCGTGAACATTGACACGTCATTGTGTTCATTGTGTTGTTGCATTTGTTGTGTTTGTGTTGACGCGTCGTTGTGTTCATTGCATTGACACATTTGCGCTCGTCGCATTGACGTGTTTGCACTCATCACATTGATGTGTCCATTGCATCGTGCTTGTCGAGTCCCTGCTTTGACCAGTCTTGCCCTCAGGCAGATTGGCGGGGATAGACACACTCACACCTCAATGGCATGTCAATGCAGTCGCCTAGGCTCGATGCGACTGCCAACGGCCACCATTGTTATTGAGATATACAAGTTGAAACTAGAGTATACCTAATGAGCATATAGAGAATGTGAACTGTTTATTTGAGAGCATGAACAACGATTACAACAGGATATGTACAGCAGTAGTAACAAATCAAAAAGGGAACACAAAGAAAGGTATACTAGGGCTCCGAGCACTGGGGTACACAATGAGTAAATGTTTGGTAAATGTAGCAGGATGAAAACTCAGATTAACTCACCAAAACATAGTATCTGCCAAAGTTGGTACTGCCCTCTACCGTGTTGACCGCGGGGATGAGGATAGTTGTCTTCTCGCAGAGGGGGCAGGTGCACCGCCCATCATCGAGAACATCTCTGGGATGCATAAACACCCAAGCCATGGTGTCGCTAGATGTTGTTGAGGGGAAAGGACGAGTTTGAGAGCCTCTAGCATCAGGAAAAAGACACACCACTTTTTGCAGTTTATTGATTGAAAAGTAGCTTCTAAGTAACCAAAAAGAAAGCTCTCAAAAAGCAATGAATAAGCAGATCTCACCGCTTTTTGCAAGCTTATTTGCGCTTTTTGGCTACTTAAACCTACTATATTGTGCTCACAGATACAAAATATACGCTACAATACAACTAAGCAAGATGTAAAGCATCAGAAAGTAGACATTAAGCCCCGTCAATCCAGCCCCAAAACTCATGCCCATTGCCCCCAGCCAGTGGCGTCCTACCTATACCTGACTGCAGGAATGAGAGAACAATGCACATGTACCTTGCTAGCGAGTTTTTAGTAGTAAATAGTGCCCATGGCATATGCACAGCAAAAGGTAAAACCTAAGAGAAATTGTTAGTATTGACAATAATACGCAAATGAGCTTATTGAAGAAACACGTACACATTTCAAACAATAGACAGGAAGCACGAGCACGAGCGCAGCACACCAAGACACAGAGTAGAATGACGAGGGCAGAGAGGCGCGGACAGTGACAGGGGAAAGCAAGGCTACAAGGGCAAGAGGGGTCATTAATCTGAGTGTAATGAAGAGATGGTGGGATGCATACCATTTATACTAGCAACCTGGGTTTGTGTGCCTGATGGTATAATGATAGAGGTATGAGTAGGAGAGGATTGGTGTGAGAATGCAAGAGGGAGAATGCGAGGGTGCGAGAAGGACACAAGGGCAAGAGGGAGAATGCAAAGGCGAGAGGGAGAACACAAGGCGAGAGGGAGAACACAAGGCGAGAGAGAGAATACGAGAGAGGGGGAGAGAGAACACGAGAGAGGGGGAGGGAGAACGCAAGGGAAAGAGAGGGAGGAGATGAACACAAGGGGAAAGAACGCGAGGGAGCAACGAAGCAAAGTGTGAGGTAACGAAGAAAAGACCAAGTCCAACATTTGTATGTGTTTGTTGATAGCAGAGCCAAACATAGCTCCGTGGAAGCTCATGGAAATTTTTGCTTGCTGCCCTCACTCCGCTAACTCCTCTCCCTCCAGTCGAACATGGATGCCGCCATGGATGTTTACTAAGACTGGAAACACCTCCCATGTGACACGCTCCCTCCCGTACCTCACCACATCATCACACCATGGACCTCAACATGCACATGGACACCCTGACCTCCCTCTTGAACCTTGCCCACAGCTCCCCATCAACTTAAGCACAAACTGTGATGTGTTGACTTATGCTCCCACTCGACGGTGGTGCAGCCAATGCAGGAATCCTTGGTGGTGGGCTGGGCAACATGGATATATTTGGTGGGTGTTGCCTGGATCCTCGCAATGGCTCACTCGTCACATGTCAAGCTGGAGCCCAAACATAAGTTAGCACCGGCGTTCCCAGCGAGTTGCTTAGATATAGACTTCAGTACTTCAGTAGTGTTGAGGTCTAACGTACTATATATAGATGGCCCTTACCTTTGATAAAGTTGTATGTGTGTAGTATATTTGCTTTTTGCAACTTAAACCTGCTTGTACACCCGTTTGCATGCTCAGGTTGACTTTTGCTTTTTTCATACTTATTGTACCATGCGCAGCAAAAATAAAGCATCAATAAAGCAACAATAAGTGACGAAAAACACGTGTGAACCCATATGCACCAAAAAAAGTGGTGTGTCAATTTCCTGATGAGGGCTGTATGAAGATAAGAATATAGAGGGGCAGGATGGAAAAGAAAAGGAAACGAGGGAGAGAAACAAATGAGAAGGCAGCGTCATTTATATTTGGACCCAGGATGAATGCCTGGGGTGACCAATAAGTACATTGGGATTTAGACTATCTGGTCTGACACGACACGGGCCGTCACGTGCTTTGATTTTACTGGTGACTTTGGCAGACACACAAATCTGCCCTGCCATCACCATGCCGACACCGGCCATCACCACTGACACCAAATTGGCGTGCTGTTACCAAAAGTCCTGGATTCCTCGCCATCCTCGGAGTTGCATGCACATCACGTGACTTTTCCATGGGCCAAAACTTGTTCAACATCATTGCGAACATGGCAAGAGTGCTACATTTAACATATATCCACAAAAATTGGTACATGCAGATGTTTATATCATAAGACACTACAAAAATATCAAGTCCAATATGTACATGTTTAGATTATGGTTAATGATATACTCTATAACATGCTACTCAGGAGTGCATGAGGACTTCTTCCTTGAAGTCCACATTATTTGGCATGTCAGAATTATTATTACCAGAACCCACTTGAAGTGGTTTGGACCCATTTTTGGAATTTAGAGTGGTGTTGCTTTGATAATCTTCCCAATCCTCGACTGCTTTCTGGACAGATTCCAGCAAAGTAGATATATCTGCCCCTATTTTGAGTTTGCCCTTTTGAACCTGATTCATACTTCAAATTATGATTGCTATCCCATCTAAGCTGATCTTGGAAGCACCTTCTTTGTCAGTGATGTCTTTGATACTGTGGATCAGTGCGAAGAACTCAAAATAGGGGTAATTTTCAAAACTTTTGCATCTAGTTGAAAATTTTGAGTGATTTGGGCTTCCTCTTGAGGTCACCCTTCTTTGGCACATTTTTCATCAGCTTCATATAGTCTGCAACACTTTGATGCTTCAAGACCTGCAGAATCAAGCTAACAACCTATTTTCCAAATATATCCTTGGGTTTCTTTATCCATTCTATCTACAAACTCTTCAACCTGGTTTTGCTTCTACATGAACTCCAAATTGAGTGTGACAAGCCCTTAAATGGTGTTGCTCTTAGGAGCTTTCTGAGTGACCCAAAGTTTCCTTTATTTGCATCATTATTTGCTTGTAGTGCCGCTTTAGCCTTCTGAGTGCTTGTCAAGGAGTCAATCGAACCTCCTTCATTAAATTCTGCTATGAAGCACTTCCAAGTCTTCAAAAAACCTCAGATAGAAGCTACAAATGCTTCTTGCAAGTGAAGGAGGCTTGGAGTCATTGCTAAAACTGCATAGAACACATCTGGTTGCTCCCAAAGCTTTACATCCAATGTGGCAGTTGAGTAGCTTGATGAAGGGTTCAGAACACAATCAGGATCATCAATAGTTGTCTCTAGAAATGTTATAACACCTTGGTGGAATGGACTCAGCTCAAGCAATTTTCTGGGTCTCTTCGCCTCAAATAACATGCATATATGGCAAGCTAATTATGAGAGCATACAGAGCAAGGACTGCAAGCTCTGTGAGGGTAGAAATATTGTGTAGGTCTTTTCAGATATTCTGTTCCATATGATTGAATGTGAACTTGTTTTTTTTTGAAGCAAACAAGGTCCAGAAACTCCTGGTATCAAGGGAGGTTTACCAGAAGTTTGCATGAAACAAGGCAATAAGATTGAAAGTGTCTGTTGCTAGTCTCAGGAAAGCAAATGAAATAGCCTAAAGTTTGCTCCATAAAGTTCCTAAAGGTGTCTTGCTAACCCTTCTTGCTGTCATGATGATTAAAAACTGAGCCTGCAAGCACAGTTAACTTGATGGCACCACCATTTGAGACCAGTAGGGCATGCTGAGAAGCAGCCAAAGAATTTAGAGTCCATGCAAGCTTGATTTGCTTCACTGTTATCCCTGTTCATGAGTAAAACTGGTCCAGGGAGATTTGAGCTACTCCGGAACTCAGCAATCACTGATGCACCACCTTTTACTGAGTTTTGCTCTTTGTACATACCACAACCTGCCCAAATAAACACATCAACCTCTTTCTGCTTGTCAGGTAAAAAGAGCTGGAATTGAGAGGTTTCAAGTGAGGACTGAAGATTACTGAGCAATTGGCTAATAAGATCAACACACTGGCTCTCTTCTAATGCATTCCAAGCATCAGGACCTCCAGCATTTGCTACAGCAGTTTCCTGAATATTGGCTGAAGTATAATTGTTGCCTGAGCTCAGATAATCACCTTCAGAATATGCTTGAATATATGCAGCACCCCTTTGCTGCCACTCTGCCTGGTCCTTCCACTCCTTGAGCAAACAAAAGAACTTCTTCTGATTTTCTACATGATCTGTACTCCAACCTTTAAGCTTTGAGAGCAAGGTTTCAACCAACAGCTGGGAGCCTTTTCCAAGCAATGAACTGTTGTGTAAACTGAGGTGTTCACTGAGTATTCCATGGGTGGCTGCTAGCTGAGTCTCACCGTCTTTTCCTGTGGTGATATGCATGCCAAGGTTAGAAGTGTATGTTGATCTCCAGTATGAATATATGTGTGTTCTGACAGATAATCAATGTGTTTGTGGGTAGTTTCATCACCACTTCCTGTCCAACCTGTATAGAAGGAGTATGTTCAAATCCAGTAGCCACAATAAAGCACTCAAAAGGCAGGTACTCACTATCAGCTCCTTGAATATCATGCACCACCTTCATTCCTAATTCAACATAGCCTTCCTTGATAATCCTAGGAACTGAATGGCAATAAAAGCTTCCCTCAGCTTGAACATCAGCCATTTCAAGTACAACCTTGATTATTTTGAGAATTTTATGCTGTGAGACCTCACATGCAGCTAGGTCCATGATCATGCATCTAGTAGAGTCTGAAATTATCCTCCTTTTGTTTTGAAGTTGTAGGAAGAGTGGTATGGGTGGAACTGTTGATTATTTTGAGATATAGAGTGGGTATTGATGAGTTTCTGTTTTGAAGATTCTGTCATGAGCATGCCTAGCAGGGAAATCTTGCAAACCCAACCCAACAGGGCTAAGGGCTTTGTCACATGATCTCTTTTAAGAAGGATCACCTTCAATAGTAACAGTGCCAATAGATTCCAGCCTGGAGAATGGGAATGGAACTAGAGGGAATGTGCTATGGAGATCTACACTGCGCTCCGAGGCTTTGGAGGCATGGAAAATAAATCTGCAAGGTCAGAGCTAACCAAAGAGGCAGAGGATCCGGAAGAGAAGCTAGAAAGGAAGAAAGGTAAGTATGAAGGAATGGAAGTATTGTAGAGACTATAAGTAATGTAACTATGGAATACTAATATGTAAGGGAAGATACTCAAAGCTACAGAGACCATGGGAAAGTAGGTTGTAGGGAGTGTAGCAAAGCAGAAGGGGAATGTAGAAGTCTGGAGGTGAATGGAGGTGACCAGAGGTCAGCAGGAATAACACGGAGATCCAGGAGAGGTGTCAATGCAACAAGGCACTGAGGCGCAAGTCCCAAGTACAAGTTCTAGTGCATGCTAAGCACATCAGAGTGGAATGGAAGTCATGGAAGTCATCCGGAGGAGGACAGGAGGATCCAAAAGAGGACTAAAAGTGACTGGAGGTGGGATAGAGTATCCCAGAGATGACATGGAGTTGGCATGGAGTTTAGGACTAAGAAGCCCAGAGCATAAATGACATGTAGAAGGGCAAAAAAAATAGAGACAAGGCTTAGGAAGGCATAATTGAGCCAGAGGAATAGACTAGAGGCGTAATTGTAGTTAATACTGGAGAACTATGGTAAGTACAGGAAGGCTTATACACTACTAGTAAACTATGAAGTCATGAAGGAAGGGCAGAGGGTAAGTACTGTAGGTACAAAGTAGGTTGGAGGGTGTCTGGAGTATGACAAAGGTGATTGAAAGAATGACATCACTAACAACAGGGATACCATGAGGTGGAGACAAAGGAATAGGGCAAGGAGAAGTAATATGGAGACATGAGGATAATGGGAGGCCTAAGGAGCGATGTCAGAAACATGCAACATACATGCTCTAGTGGACAAGGGTAAAGGGTTGCACTGAGATGGCCTGGAGATAGCTACAGTGTAGCTCTGATGTTCCGGAGGCATAGGGAGATAGCCTCAGAGGTGTGTAGAGGACCAGAGCATAACCTAGCATGATGGAGAAGATGATGGAATCCTATAGTGATGATGCTTTGATGCTCTGAAGTGTGGGAAAGTATCTTTGGAGCTCCATAGGAGTATGGAGTGCATTGTAGGAGGACTATAGGATACAGAAGGTGGATTAGAGGTGTCTGGAGATAACTGGAGAACTTGGGAGGTTACATGACAAGGATGCAAGAGTAGTAATGATGTGGGAGCATAGCCAGAGTGTACCAGAATAGAAGTGATTGATAACCTGACTGTATCCCTGAGGCACTGCTCAGTCAACATGTCAAGTGGCACAAGCTGAGCCCCAAAACACTTGCCAAGGTCACGTTTTGCAGGATATGAGCCAAGTGGCGCCAGCAAAACAACAATGACACAGCCAGAAGTGTCAGTGTGTTGAAACGATGCACTTGACACTACAGCTGTCAAGTTGAAGTAAGTAAAATTGTAAAAACTGTGAGCGACCCTTAACTAGGAGAGTCACTGCACATGCAAACAAGGGATGATAATGAGTGAGAGAGACTAACCCTAACCCTATATGGGGCTTGGGCAGAAGTAGATGCCTTGACAAGAGGACTTGAGACTTAGGTTTAGAAACAGAGCTAAGGGGAAATCCCAAAAGAACTCTCTTGGAGTTCTGGGTCATCAATTGCAGTCTTATATACTACTGGGCAGCTGTGCATAGACCATGTAACTAAAGGTAGGGCTCCTGCCTAATTAGGAATACAAAGTACTTAGTAATACAAGCACACCATATTGTGTGATCCTTGCATCATATGATGTCATGGTCCAGACCCATCACATGCTTGGTCACATGTCTGCTTATGTAATAGATAAGGCCAAAGCCTGGCCATGCTCACGTCGGAACTTTCTCAGGCCCATTGCAATGGGGCCAGAATTCTAATTGATTAAAATCAAAGGCACTTTTCATCACAATGACCATGGCAATGGCCATTGTAATGCTGTAGAGCCATAGAAATGTCATGGCAATGGCCATGGGAATGAAAAGTGCCTTTCATTCTAACCGATTGAAATCCCAGGCCCATTGCAATGGGCCTGAGAAAGTTCCGACACAGTATCTTACCAGGCCATGAATTGTCATTCCTGACTTATGCTATGACTGATCTGAATGTGGCGAGTATTCTCAGATGGTGTAGGCAAAGACCTCAATGTTGTCAAACTTACTAAGCTTTTGGCTACTGGCATCAAGGTTTCTAGGGAGCATTGCCACCACATTGCATTTATTGTATGACATAGCTCTTCCTCTCAGAGCCATATCTGGCTTCTAGTGCATCTATTGTAGCAGCAGTGCTACTGCCAACACCTTTGCAAACTCTGAAACACCTGCAGCATTGCCTTGGACAACATCTACTACCTGGGGTTTTACCCTCAACTATCCAAACATGCACAGGTGTGGATTGTTGGGCAATTCAAGTTTTCTGTGGAGAACTGGGAAGTGATGCCAGAGATCAGCAACAATAGCATGGAAACCAGCTTCATGTTGAACAGTCCCCAGCTGGCCGCACTGACTGATAAAGACAACAGTGGTGTGCCAGGCAATGACCTCAACCTGCTGGTGGGTGACAACTCATTCTTCTTGAATCTGCCATCAGGTGAGACCTCTGGTGGCACAGCTGCAGAGGCTCCTTTCACGTGGAGGGCAGTGAGGGCAATGGTAAAGGTGGAGGCAACAGTGAGGGTAACAGAGAAGGTGACAACAACAATGGCAACAGCAATGAATATTTTGTTGTCAATGGCACCCAGTCCGACTGTTTCTGGAACTATGTTGAAAAGTGTCTTGTCAAGGTTTGTGAGGAGGCTATCTCAAGTGCCAAGAAAATTGCCAAGAATTAGCTGGCTATCAACTTGCTTGCTCTCAGGTAATGTAGAATTTCTGTCTCCACATTGCATTACTAATATTCTTTTAGCCATAGGCCTATCATGGCTACTTTCAAGTATGACCTTGAGCAGTACTCAAACTCGAAGACTCCCTGCATGGCAAAGGCATGCTTCCTGGGCTGTTATTACTTGGTTTTGTTCATTTCTATATTTTATCTATCATTTAATCTCATTGCCCACCTTATGCCCACCACTCTTCTGCACATTGTTTTATTTCTCTATTTTTTCACTAGCATAAGTATCAGTTGTGATGGAATCTAATGTCCTGTTTGCACCCCATGCATCCCATCACCTGAACATTGCCCAAGAGTCTGTTTCTGACACAAGGTCAGTCACAATTGGATACATTTGGTGCAATGTCACAGTGCTTGCATTGTATTATGTGGGTGTCTTATTGGTCATACTTCTTGGTCATACTTCTGAGGTTGTCTATAACCATGTTTTCACAGATGACCTGGTGGCTGGTTAACACTCAGCCCACTCTTGCCTGCATGTCCCAAGTATCATCAGTTTGATGCTGTTTGGAACACTGGAAACAATTCATGATAATGGACATGAATTACTTTGAAATTATTGTAAAAATTTGGATGAATGGGTTTTGATAGTTAGTTACCTATTACCAAGAAGAAAATATATTGCACTTACACATGCTGTGAGCCAATTCATAGTAACTGTATAGTATCTTTTTGGTAATGGACAGTTAATTATCAAAATCCATTTAACTTGACTTCCATAGTAATTCCAAAGTAATTTGCGCTCATTACCATGAATTGTTTCCAGTGGGATGTTGATGCTTGGTTGGACACACTATGCTGTTTATGTCAGCCAATAAGGACAGTAACAATGTTGCTTGAATGGCAAGCTTTTTGGCTCCCTCAGTCCATTGAATAGCTGTTGCCAAGGAGTTAATTCTTGGCACAATGCATAACACCAATGTGAGATTATAAATCAAGCCTCTAATATACACTTGCATGCAGGGATCAAATCAGCATTGGGGCTATGCTTGATCAATGCCTGCTTTTTTGAATGTTAGTCTGATACTGCCAGCCCCTTGGTGGTGTAGAGGGTGCAGGGTGGGGAAAGTGCAGGAGGGTGTCTAACAAGTGCTATGATGGTTTTCTTGGCTGTTAGATACTTCTGTATGTTTGTTTCATTGTGTAGATAAAAAATACAAGCCCATTTTTGTGTTATACTACATGTCTCCTCTTTTATATTTGTTTGGCTGGCTTTAGGAAGACTGTCCCCCCCTCCGCACCCCCGGGGAGGTTCAGTTCATGAGGGGGTGGACAGGGGACTGAACCTAAGGTCAAAAAACTACAGTACTACTGCAGTTGTAACAGTGTTGCAGCACCAGGTGTGGACTTGACAACAAGAAGAGTCTTGGCTCCAGGCTCAACTTTGACAGCAGGAGCACTAGTGGCCTTGACATGATTAGAGCAAGTTTTTGGTACTTTTTTCTTGCTGGTAGCCAGCTTCTTCTTGAGAGCCATCAAGAGCATTAGCTCATTGAGTTCTTGCAAGGTGTTACCCAACACAGTGTCCCCACTGCCATCCAAGGCTGAGCCATTGAATTGAATAACCTGAGCTGCTATTAGTAGATGAAGTGATGCAGAAGATGAAAGACCTACATCATTATATGGTAGCTGGCACACTGTGACCTTACAAGACCTGGGTCAAGCACCACCAGCATTGTTGTTGGTTGTTGTTGAAGTCACCAATGTTCAGTATGTCCCTGTTAAGAAGTGCTTGAGGCAGCCACATGGGTGCAACATGCTGACTTGAGGCCAGATACAAATGTTGGGGCATTTGGAACATTTCTTCCGGTGCTGTTGTCTATACTGGTGTTTTTGTGTGAATAAAAGTCAAAGTAAGTGACTAGCATAGCCAGCAATGATACATTGGATTGGGGGTCTTGGCGAGACCAACCGTGTAGAGGGGACGGGATGGTTGCAGGGGGACAAAGGAGCGGAAGAGGAGGATACAGGGAGTAAAGGTAGAGGACAGGAGAGCAGGAGAGTAACGGGAGAAGGAGACGGAACACAAGGAGCAGACAGGCAAGAGTCAGTAGAACAATGGACCAGGATAGGGGCACAGACACATGATTAGCTTAGTCAGCAGACCACATAGAGCAGCAGCATGTAGATACAGAACATGATCCACCTTGCCCTGTCCAACATGACACTGACCTTTGGAGCACTGATGCCACATGGTGCAGGACATGACCCCCGAGGATGTCCGGTCAGTGGATGGGTCAAACCCCTGAGGATATCCGGGCAGCAGTGACCAGCGGTTGACCGACCATGTCCTGGTGGCTGCCTTACTGTAGGGGTTGGATGACTGGTAGGGGATGCTCCAGCCTATACCCCAGGTATGTGTCAGGGCTGCTGCTGGCCTTGTGCATTTAGAATGTTAATAATAGTCCATTTTTTCAGCTATAATGCTCCGGTTATTGCATGTACATAGGCCTGGATATTTCAGCTATGATGGTCTGGTTATTGCAGCTACAGTGCTCCAGTTATTGGAGGTATGATGGTCTGAGTATTGTAGTATAAGTACAATGCTTTGGCTATTGCAGGTATAATGCTCTGGTTATGTTAGCCACAATGCTCTGGCCATTCCGGCTACAGCACTCCAGTTATTGAAGCCATCCTGCTCTGGTTAATTTAGCTACAATGCTCTGGGTATTTTAGCTACAATGCTCTGGCTATTGCAGCCACAACAATCTGGTTATTACAGGTATAACACTCCAGTTATTTCAGCCACAATACCCTGGCCACTGCAGTCACAATGCTCCAGCCATTGCAACTATAATCTTCTGACTATTCTAGCTATAATGCTCCGGTTATTTTAGCCACAGTAGTTATTGCAGCTGTAATGCTCTGGTGGTCTTAGCTGCAATGATCTAGCCATTACAGTCACAATACTCTGGTTATTTCAGTAGCAATAGGCCAGTTAAATCGATGGAAGTGCTGCAGCTTTTATGGAAGAATTACACTAGTTATGCCAGTAAAAGCAGGCCGGTTATCTTGGCAGCAATGGCCCAGATATACCAGCAACAGTTTAGTTGTGTCATGAGGCTGGTTATTTCAGCAATGATATGAAACAGTCTACTAATTTGTGGATAAACTTCCAGCTATTCTGGAAGCAGACTCTACACTATTATATTGTACTGCATGCAGATTTGTAGCACATGAGACCAGTTTTTCATTAGTCCATCCAGTTTTGTGCAAGTGTACCACCCTACAAGCACATCTGTGGCATATCTGGACAGTCTGGTCTGGGTCTATGGGATACTCCACTTGCTCATGCACTATTATACTACATTGTCACATATATAACACATCAGGCCGGTTTTTGTTCCATACATTACTCTGGTTAGACTTGCACTATCCTGACACACTACCACCATATCTGGCCTATCCAATCTTGATCTACAAATACTCTGGCCACTTATCTACTAGTAGACCACACCACATTCAACCCACGTCAGTAGCTCATGAGGCTGGTCTTGTTTGTTCTGTACATCCATCCAGCCAATCTTGCATCACTGTACCACACTGCACACATATGCAGCCTGTTCAATCTTAGTTACCAAATACTGTGGCCACTCACTTTAGGGAGTTTAACATGTAGATTGCTGCTACATACAGAATCTTGCTGGTCTACAATAGTTATGAATCTCTATTTGTATGTTAAGTGGTGTATACAACACTCATCTGCGGTATTCAATGCATTGTATAACATGATACACTCACAAAACACTAAAATGCATAAAACATAATCCTGTTGACATACTGCAAGCTTTTGACCCTTTAAAAGCTTTCTTGGAATATCATTGATTAGCAATCACTGCTCTTATTTGTCACACACAACATTGGCTTACCTTGGCTCCACATTTTTATTGCTTCTATTATCCTTCCCCCACAAATATGGTTTATTGTCATTTGCCCTTCCTGATGCTGCACCTCTGGCCATCTTCATTCCCTGATATTTGTTTCCCTTATGTTCTTATATATACAGGCTTTGACATAAAATACGCTAAATTGCATGTTGTTTTGAAGATTGCATGTCATTTGATAGTGTATTAAATGCATCAGTCATCTTATTTGCTCATCTAGGTCACATATACACCTATATGAGCACATCCTGCCATGTAAATCACCCTATCCCATATTATACACTTGTAGCAAAAAAAAAGTCAAAAATGTGTTTAATACATATTCATCCATGATCAGAACACTTCTTTTGAGATCTTGTCTGATCTTGGTTCAATGGATATATATATGCTGTGGGCAAGGTAGCATAGCGGTTAAAGCACCTCTCACTACAATCATTCAATGACAGGGCCCTTTTTGGGTAACACCCTGAGTTCGACTCCCACCGTCGGAGAATAACTACTTTAGACACTCCATAAATTTCACTGCTATCCAATTGATTTGTACAGACCAGTCCCCAAAATTTCACCCCCAAACTGCCTTAAGTGGCACAACATTCTCACACCGTCCAATGGGGTTGCTATTTGCGGCATTGCAACCAGATCAAGGGTGGTCATCCAGAATTTCATCCAGCACATGGTTCTCCAAAAATAGTAGGCTCCAGCAGGGGTCCCAGGCCCGGTGATTTTGGGTGGTCACTGGAAGCCTGCACAGAGTAGTTAACTGTCTAATTTGAGTAGAAGGATTGGATCCCGGGGGGGGGGGGTTCACTGCGGCATTGCGCGCTGATGTAAGTCAAGTTGCAATTGGTATCAAAGGGTTTAGGTCAAGCTTTGTTGTCTGGGTGGCTGTGAGGGGTTCCCGTCGGAAGCTGGTTCATGATTTCAACATTTAAATATTTAATATTGTGGGTGCTGGGGGTTGTATGCTCTTGCTTACGCATTCACATGAGTGCATTCCGGGTAGCCATTGTTAGTCACACTTTCCCATTATGTTGATACTAGTACCACACAGATACAAATCATGTCTCACATAGAGTGGAGCCCTGAGCAGACATTAAATGGATTATATATATATATATATATATGCTGTTGAATTATCAGAGAGAGAGAGAGAGATATTTCTATATTTATACCCCACGTCAAACACGTGGTCACGTTAAGTAGCGGCTATGTAGTGGTGTAAGGTAATCTAGGTATGGTGTGTAGGTGCTGTGATGTAGATGGAAGGTAGGCTAGATATGTACGTTGATAGTGTGTGCTATGGTATTGGCTTTTGGCCGGTGGTCTATCATATTACGGTGCAAGAGAGGGCTATATGTACTGCAGTGCCAATTAGCGGGAGAAAGGAGACGACACATAATGATAAATAGAAAGACTGATAAAAGAAATATGGGGCGTGCGGGAGCAGGTCCATGTTTGTCTGTGGGTTCTACTGTGAGGCTAGGGGGTCGTCCTCTTCCTCCTCAACGATCTCCGTGGCCTTCCTGAAGGCTTTTGTTTTCTGAAGGAATTTCGCGAATCCTTCGAGTCCTATCTTTGTACCGAGGACGTCCATGAGGGTGATTGTCCTTCCCGGGCTCGTGTAAGTGGTGTCAAGCATGCTCGTGGATGGGGCAGTGTTTGATTATGTGTGAGCGTGACTGGTAATGGGCGCCGCAAGGGCAGGATTGTGTCTCTCAGTGGACAAAGGAGGCATAGTACTCACCGGCAAAACAGTATCCCATGCGCGCCTGCAGCATTTGCCCGTAAATCTTGCGGTCGTTTTCGATGAAGTGGTGTCGAGGTTTGAGGGCGGGCAGGAATCGGTTGGCTGCGTGGAAGCGACTGTCTTCTCTGTTGAGTTTCGCGTGCCAGATGCCTTTCCATGCGTTGAGGGTGTTCTCCTTTGCTATGCAGTGCATGGCTGCAAATGTTGGTGTGTCTGTTTCCGGGTCCAGCTCCGTGCCCTCCTTGGCCAGTTCGTCAGCCCTCTCATTTCCTCGTGTCCCCTTGTGTCCTGGAGTCCATTCCAGCGTGATTCGGTGGGTGTTGTTTGACTCTAGGAATCGGATAGCATCCCCCTGGAATCATAGTGTGAAGTGTTGTGATGGGCCCGGTTCCACATAGAATGCAGCTTGTACCGCGGCGATGTTGTCAGTGAAGACATAGATGTGGTTGATGGCCTCGTCTGTGTCCGCTATCTTGATCGTGTTCTCCAACGCGCATGCAATCCCCAACATTTCCCCATTGTATACCTCCGCTCATTTTCCTAGCCCCTCCTTGCCCTCCATCCTCTCCTGTCCCTCCACATATCCCACCCAACTTGTCCCTGTGCGCCTCTTCCCCCCTTCCTCTGGCAGGGAGCCATCTGAGTACGCAAGGATCAAGGACCGTTCCCGTCCGATCCTTGCTACTAGTTTGGTGTGGTGTTCCACCGCTTTCTCTTTGTCCAATGTTGCCCCGACGATGTCCAGTCATCCGCCGAATGTATCTGGTGTCGCTACCCACGGTGGGAGAGCAAATAGATCCACTTGTTCCATGTTAGCTGGTGTCCTGCTTGCGAGTTGGTGTAGCCTGGACTGTTGGGATCTGGCCTTCTTTGGTGGGTGGAAGGCTGGGTCGGGTAGTGGTGGTGCGGGGCTGGTGGGCATTCTCAATGTTGTCCACTCCTCTGGGAGGCGGGCGTATATTGGGCTGCCTGGTGACACTTTCGCGAGATCGCCGCGTTCATCTGTAGCTGTTCCAGGTGGAGTCGGATCGGTGCAATTGCTGCGTCTAGTTCTATGGCGTAGACAGGCGTGGTTCTGAAGGCAGCGCAGACAAGGCGAAGGGCCATGTTCTGGATGCGTTCGAGGTATTTGACGTGGAGTTTCTTTCTGGTCCACCAGATCAGGCTTGCATACGTCATGACACTGCGTACCCATGCAATGTACAGTTGGTGTATCCTTGTCTGGGGCAGTCCTTGTGTTGTGTTTGCTAACATGCCCAGCCTGAGCGCGGTTCACTCCACCCATGCAGCCAGTTCCTTAACATGTGCATTATAAAGGAGCTTGCCATCCAGGAAGATGCCAAGCCACCGCATTGTGTTGCTGGGTTTGATCGTGATGGGGGCTTCGTCGTGTGGGATGATTAGCGTTGGAAGTGTCAATTGCCGGCGGGTGGTGAAGTGGAGGAGCTCCAACTTTTCGATGTCTAGGTCGAGTCCGGCTTCGTGTAGCTCCAACCATACAAAATTGATTTCCTGTTGTAGGACGTGCACGTTAGTCTCCAGTTAGTTGGATGACACGTACAGCATGCCGTCATCGATGTATCCCAAGAGGGTCGTGGCAGTGGTGTCTTCGTCCTCAGAGCACTGCTCCTGGTGTCGGGATCGTTCTTTGTAGTGTTCAAATACGGGGGCTGTGTAGATGACGGACAGGATTGGCAAAATGGGCGAACCCTGGGGTATCCCGTTCTCCACTGCATGTACTGCGGAAAGGATGCCGTCGAGGCATATTGATGTGCTGTGGTCTGATAGGAAGGACTTGACCCATCTGATTACGCATGTGGGGACATTCTTCCGGTACAGGATGTCGAGTTTGGTGTGGTTGACATTGTGGAAGAATCCCTTGATGTCAAAGGATAGGCATGACATCACCAGTCCGTGCTTCCGAGCGGTTTCCACGTTGTGTACGAGTGTCAATCCGGCGTCCACCGTCGAGCTCCCCTTGCGCCCACCAAATTGGGATTGGGGAACTAGTCCGTAAGCCTCGCACCAGAATGACAGGTGCAATGCCATTGTGCTCTCGAGTGCCTTACCTAGACATTCCTCCAGTTGGATGAGCCTGTATGCACAAGGTTTTGAGTAGTCTGGTTTTCTCGGTTTCTGGAGCGCGACCGCAATGGTTGAGCGCCATGCTTTCGGATGGTATCCTGCCGCTGCGCATCTGTCTATTAGCAGGTATAGGGGTTCAGCATCGCAGTCCCAAGCCCACTGCAGTGCGGTGTTGTTGATCTGCAACGGGCCCGGTGCCTTCTTCGCATTCGGGCGGAAGATCGCTGTCTTGACCTCTTTGTATGTCAGTGGTGTCCACGGGATCTCCCCCACTCGCGTCACGTTGAGGTCGGGCTCCTGACAGTCGAGAGTTGGTGGTGGCATGAAGAGTGTCTCGTGTAGCGTATTGCACTTGTCCTCATGTTGTATTGCCTTGTGTTGCCCCTCTCCTCAGTCCAGCGCAGGTGATTGGTACGTCCTCCTCCCCTTGGGCCACTTTGCGTATGTCCACACATCCTCTGCCGTTGCCTCTGCCAGCGCCGTGTCCAGCCACTTCCTCTTGACCACTTTCACCCTCTGCCTGAATTGGTTCCACAACCGTTTCATGTCCTCCGTGATCCCTTTGAACAGCTCCCCCTGCTCCTCCAGGTGTTTTGCACCTGCCTGCTGTGCGTCCCGAATCTCCTTGGCGACCCCCTCTAGCTCGCTGTTCCACCATGGTTTTGCCCACTGTGAGTCCTTCCAAATCAGTACATGTGCTTTTGTCGCTGCCAGTATGGTGTTGTGGTATTCATTCATAGCGATGTCGAGTGTCTGGTTCAATGGTGTGTGTTGCGATCGGAGTGCCTCAAAGGCCCATGCCCTCTGTGCGAGCTCTTGCGCCAGAGTGCCCTTCCATGCGTGGATGGACCCAGGTTCCATGTCCTTCCAGTTGTACTTCTGGGTGGTGACATTTTTGATGGGCACGCTTCCATGGTTGATTGTCCAGGTGAGGGCATAGTGGTCGGATCCGTATGCTTTCTCTCGGCATACACCCCAGTCGAGGAGGGACTGGCTGTCCAGTGCCTTGTCGTTCGCAAACATCAGGTCCAGGACTGATGCTGACTTGCCATCATGTGAGAAGTAGGTCATCTCGCCTTTTTTGTTTAACAGCTGGAAGCCGTTTTGCATCATCCATAGGACTAGGTCCTCTGTCCGTTGTGGTGCCGGTCTGTCGTCCGTTGACCAGATTGGGTGATTTCGTTCCAGTCCCCAGTTAAGATGACTGGCATGTCGGTAGGTAGGGTGATGGCCTTCAGTTGGTCAAATGTGCGTCCACGGTGGGATTGCCCATCGTTGTTGTAGATGTTGACTATGAGGGTAGGCGGGTGCGGGTGTTGGTTGATTTGTAGTATCTGGAAGTCGAGGTCCGATGCCAGGTCCGAGCGGAGCGTGACCATAATGTCCGCTCATTTTTGGATGTACGCACATGCTCGTGGTGCTGCGTCATCTGGGATGTTGAATTTTGGTAGGATGGGCTGCCAGCCTCTGAGGCTGACTGGTCCGCACGTGTTGTTGCTGATGTTACTGTACCATGGCTTGGATACTAGTATGATGTCGGCTGTTGTCATGTTCATGTTGAGTAGGGAATGGCATACAAGATTCGTTCGGTTCATGTTGAGTTGGATGACTTTAATCGGCTCCGTGGTCGTACCTAACATGATGGGTTCAGGGCTGTGAGTTGGACATCAGCCATGGGGGTGTTGGTGGTTTTGTTTTGTGGCTTCGCGGTAGCTACCTTCTGTCCGCCTGGGACAGTCGGTCTCGGGTGTTTTGTGGTCCCTCGTTTTTTGACTCTTGTTGTGCACCGCACGCTGTCTGCGGGGTGGCTTCTGGTGCACAATGCACACTTTGTTGGGATGTGCTCGCAGGGTCTCGGAGCCGGTGTGCCCACTGGGCACGCTTTGCATGCATGTTGTCCTTTGTGGTGTGCACCTGCGCACGTGCGGCATGTCGTTGCTGCGTTGCACTTGGACGTGTAATGCTCGTAGCTCCAGCAGTTGACACACTGCCGGAGGGGTTTGACATCCTGGAATTTTGCAAATCGTGCAAGCTTCCCATACAGGAAGACGCCGGCCTTGGTCTTGGTGAGGTATTCCTCATTGTCTCTGGTCTTCACTGTGATTGTTACTGAAGAGTGTCGTTTCTCCCTCAGCTCCGCCTCCTGCATGAGCCACTTTGGTGCCCCGACGAACTTCACGTTCTCCATCAAAGGGTCCTCTTCCCTCATCCTTGCTGCCACCTCATCCCCGGTCCTCAGCCTCCCCTCAGCCTCCACTCCTGTATCCATACCGTGAAGCAGCACCTTGTGCCATTCCGTGTCTGGTGCTGCTTCAAAGTCGCTCTTTCCAGCCAGTATGCTTCCAAACAGCGGGCTGTACGGCGTCAGGTCCTCTGCGTTGAAACTCGGGTGTGCAAACACGATGCAGTTTCCTTTCGTGTTCCAGTGTACTCTGACAATTCGGGCCTTCGCGCCCTCCTCCTTGAGGCTCTTGTTGATTTTCTCTACTAGCTTCTTGGGGTGTTCGTCCTGAGCCGGTGGGTTCTCGTCTTGAACACTCACCACTAGATGTGATGGGTGGTGTCTGGTCATTGGGTTCGCCGGCAGGCGTTTCGTCAACTGGGCAGGTGACTGGGCCGGTTTTGGTTTGGCTTTTGTTGTAGGTTTGTAGGTGGGTCCCGTCGCATACGCATCCTTGGTGTTCCTCGGGCCCTGGTCTTCCTCATGTCTGTAGGTCTGGTGGTGGGTGGGTGTGGACTTGCAGTCCATCTCATCGACTTTTTTGCTGAGTGATACTAACATTGCTCTGAGGTCGTCCAGTGGGTCGATCCTGGTCTGGGTGTCCGTCTTTACGATCGTCTCGTAAAGCACTGTGACTGCATTGGTTATGCAGTCCAGGTATGGGTGATGGATTGAGAGTTGTTTGATGGCCTCCAATGCTGACATGAGTCTCATTTGAACTGTTGTTTGCAGACTGACTGTTGAGACCTCTGTCTCCTCCTCCTCCGCCATGTCCTCCTCCTCTGCTGCCTCCACCTCCCATTCCACTCTCTCCATTCTTGTTCTTTCTGCCTCCCTCTCCGCCCTTTTCTCCCATTCCTCCCTCTCTCTCTCCACCTCTCTCTCCTTCCTCCCTCTCTTCCTCCTTTCCTCCTTCCCTGCCTCCATCTCTACGTCTGATCTGTCCTCTTGGACCGGTGTGAGTAGGGTCTTTGTCCCTGCCCTCGCCAGTGTCTGTTGTTTGGTCTCTCTTTTGTCTGTTCCCTGTGATGCCGGGGCCAGGTGTTTATGTCCGAGTGGGCCGTTTGTGTTCTGCAGTTTGGCCAATTTTGTCGGGGTGGCCGGTTCGCGTGGTGTTCCTGTCTCACTGTCTTCATTGGTGTAGTTTGCTAGGAGTGCATACACGTTGCGTGTGCTTGCCCCTGTGCGGGGGATGGGAATATAGGGTCTATTGGCTCTACTTAATCCTACTGCACCATCTTGAGTGTTTGCCATGGTTTTTAGGCCGTGGGAATATTTTGAGGTGATGGGCGTATTAGGCAAGGAGCGTCTTGTTGAATTATCAGAGAACACTCAGACCATCATCAATCCTTGTAGTGAAGTGTATCAATCTTTCAAAAACAAACTTTTTCACCCAAGCTAACACCCTTGTTTTTCTTTTGTGTGGATAGCATGGGACATAGGGTATCCTAAAAGGTGTGGGCACATAAAGTGTGACTAACATAACAAATGTAAATATGGCCTTTAATCCACCATCAGACAACTGAATGATATGCAACATTCAGAATATCATATCTTTTATCATATTTTTGAAAGATTACCATATCCTATCATGTGTTTAAGGCCACATAAAAGTAATCATTAAGCTATTCAGTGTGTAATGAGACTTCCACAACTATGACAGAGTCTTTTAAACTTCTATAGCTTGCTGATAACAAACTTATCTCTGTAAAAGTGTATAAACAAGCTAAGGCACCGCCAGTCACTGCTGCCCAGATATTCTCAAGGGCTTGACCCATCCACTGACCGGACATACTCAGAGGCCTGGCCTGCATATCCTGCTGATGCTGCCTTTCCCTTGTTGTTTACAGCCTTCAACTCAACCATATGCTTTAGAGGAGTCAACTACACTAGTAACTCACCCTGGACACGGTTTGTTGGTAGTATGCATGCTCCTCATTGCTGCTCTTGATATACACAGGCTCTTGCCCCAATGTCTGAAACTGGGTCCAATCATTGGAGCTATTGTCCAATTGTGTCTATTTACAGCAGCATCAAGCTGCTTTTCCCAAGTAAGCACTGCAGCCAACTTCTTTTCAAGCTCCCTAACCTCATCCAGTCAAGTTTTTTCAACTACTTCTCCAAATTAGATGACAGAGATGTATGAACTCTGTGCCTAAGATATCCATGCCATTCTCCACCAGCAGATCACAGCTTTAGATTTCAAGGACAAGGTTCAGTATTTGCCCTACTGTCATTTCAACAAGGACAGACAGCAAGTTTTCTCAAACCTCATGTCTGATAAGTGGACTTGGTGCCAAGCAGTGCATATCTAATTTTGTTTCTCTAATTGACACTTATACTTACATTAGTATATGCTAGGATATACTGGCTGAGGATCCATGCAACCATAATGCAACATTTGTCCCTATCATTGCCGGCAGCAACAAGAGTACGGTCTCTGTTGCTACAGGCCATCAAAAATTCCATTCAGTCTACATGTTACTAAGTAACTTATTTAACACTGCTTGCTGAGGACACAGCAACTTCATGCTCCCTGTTTCCTTTTCTCCCATCCCTCAGAGTAAGTTTTCTCTCTTGTAGTCTATGGTCATTTTTGCTGAGAGTTACATCATTATTCTAGCTAAACAAAAACATCAGAATAAACCAAAATTTTAGACTTTTTGCTACTAGCTATACCATGACCCACTCTGTAAGGTTTTTTATTCCCTTGCAGCTGGTATGGAGACACCTGAGGTGGCAAAGTGCCCTAACAGTCACTTTTGTTGGAGCTTTACAAACTTGGCCCATACATTGCAGACTATCCTGAACAGGTCTGACTGTCAGGCATAGTTCAAGGGTAGTGCCCAAAGTGAGTTCTCTCTCTCTTCCTGTCCAAACTCACTTTTTATACTCATTCCCTCTGTAGATGCAATGCAAGACTAGATACACTGGACAATCCTGATGCCCAACAATGTACACACACAAAAAACCAGCTTCTATTGTGGTCAACTCTCAACAAACAAACTTTCGGATGAACATGAGATCTGAGATGACTATTGTGTGGGTTGCTGTTTTTGATCTCAGTATGTCAACCTGACTATTTGACAAAGCCATTTATGCACCATTTCCCCCAAGCTGATATTCATGAATTTTTGGCACCAGATCTCCTGCATCAAGTTGTCAATGGAACATTCAAGGACCACATTGTTGCATGGATCAATGTTTACCTCAAGATTGTTCACAGCAGGGCACAGTGCAGTGCAATTATTGATGAGATTAATTGAAGGTATGTTCATTTGGCTTATGATTTGGCTTCACAGCTTGACTGGCTACTAGGATTGGCCTTGCTCTTTCTTTCTCCAATCTTTGTTGATCTCCAATGGCTGTGACTTTCAGCAATAGACAGGTGATAATAGCAAAGCACTCATGAAGGGGTATGTCCTGCTCATGTTTGTACTTTACCTTCAACAGTTGAGTTGCAGGTTTACTCACCAGCTGTTGCCAGCTTTGATCCTGCTGAGATGATCCAGTACGTCTCAGTGTTTTTGAATTTTTGCTATAATGCTTGGCAAAATAGCCTCTTGGCTAACAACCTTGGCAATCTCAACAATGCACTTGCCCATTTCCATTATCTGTAGGATATATATATCTGTGTTGGTGTTTGCCCAAATGGCATCTCATTGTCATATCAGCACCTCCTCTGCCATTACTGACACTCCTTTGGATCACCCAACAGGCTATGTTCCTCTATCACAGAGCCAAAGCATAAAGTTGCTGCTGTCAAGAAACCATAGCAATGATCAAGCCACTTCAAGGTCCTGTACCAAATATTGCATATTTTGGCCAACCTTCACACAGCTAGGCAATCATTTGAGGTGCAGGGTATGCTGGCAGGTACCACTTCAAGCTACCAGTGTCTCCTCCTCAGCAGTGGCATCACTCCCTCACCCAACAGCCACCCCACTACTCCCAATGATTTAGAGGATGATCATGCACCCTTAACAGGGCCCAAAGTGCTATCATGCATTGAATTGTCATGCACATGAGGTGAGCACTTGTTCCCTCTTGAAGCTGTGTCTAATACTGACACATAAGTAAAACAAACCCAGGTGTATCCACATAATCCTAGCCTTCTTGCAGCTGCTATTGAAGCCTCAGTTCCCCCAAACTCAACCAACAGTTTTTATTTGACCAGACACACCCACACTATGACCACATTGCCAATCCTGTTGCTATCAAAGACCTCCCACTGACATTGGGGTCTGTTTTGTTCACCATTCTGCTATTGTTCATTTCTGGGCCCCAAGTAATTTCTGTGGCACAGGAGGAATGCACCATGAATGGATTTGGAGCCATTCTTGCTGACAAAACCAATATGCACAACATGATAGAGTCCTGGTTGATGTCCATGACAATCAACCTGGGATGCAAGGGATGATGATTGGGCAAGTTTTTCTGTTCTTTTCATTGCAATATGACATTACACTTTATTTGTACACTCTAATTCACTGGTTGATTACTGTAGGAAATCATACTAATCCTGCTATAAGAATGTGCATAGTTTGTCTGGAGTATCTAGGTAATCAGCCAAACATGGCTGTTGTTCACCTAGACTCAATTTCCCGAGCTGCACACCTAATGCTGGTCTATGGTACTGCTATGTTACCAGAAGACTTACAGTTTTACAATCTTACATACACTTTCTGTACATTCTACATCAATTGCTGGGTTGACCATTGTATGCACTCATTTATGTATGGTGATAAGTAATGTACAGTTGTCTGTTGTTATTATTATTACTATTACTTGGGGATTACTATAGTTTGATGTGACCAATTTGATGACAAGATAACATGGTGGTGTACTTGCCATCCTTGTCTGTCTGGTAGCTTGGTCCACTAAGCTGAGAGTCTTGCAAGATTACAAAAGTCAATCCAGAAGATCACAATGTTACTGATGTTGAATCCTTACTATCATGTAAGAGGAGGATTTCTTCACACTACCCATGACAATCCAATATGTACATACCAAAAGTATGTTTGCTCTATCACAAGCATAAATTGTAAAAACTAAGTAATTGTATTGCATTAGGAAAGTTGATAAATGTTTGTCATGGCATGTACAAGGTTGTGTAACCCTGCACAAGGGAACAATCCAACCAGGATGCCAAAATTGGCACAGCAAGTGTATTGGTATGGCAAAGTCACTTTGGAGGAGTGGTTTTCAAAAGCAAGTGCCTACAAGACAAAGAGATTAACCTTGTTCAGTGGTCCAGGAGTATTTCAGACCATATTACAGTCCTTAAACAATATCTGAAGCTTGAAATACTGGGGTACACTGCAAACATGTACATACCTGATTATAATGTACTTGGTATTTGAGTTGCTAAAATCATGTACATTTGACCTGATTTTGAAGTCACATACCTGGACCTGAATGTAAAACCATGTTCACTTGCAAATGTTGAATACTGTACTTTTACGACCTGAAGTTCATGGTGGCGCAAGAAAGTGTGTCGGAGATATTACCATAACCAGATGTCCCCCCTCTTGAGTTCAACGGCTCTAGCCAAGGGGGACATGAAGTTCAGAGGGACACGCAGCTCTGGTGGGCCTGTCCGCTTGGCCACCTCGAGATGATCACACAAAGTCCACATTTCTGGCTACCGTGCTCAAGCTCATCAACAACCATGAGCTCTCCGCACGGATCCTGATCTCCTTGCCTGCACCTCGAACTCCTTTGGGGACAATGACATTGCTCCCAAGGACAGTGCAACTCCCGACAGCGCTCACTGTGGGCATCAACGAACATATTGACCCATTCGAAGGCGATGAACAGTATGGCAACGCACTTTGGGTGGAATCCGGTGATCTTATGGCCCTAATCCTACGCCCAGGCAGTGCTGACGATATTACTGCCTCACCCTTGGTGTCCATGATGGCAGATGATCTCAATGTCGACCTCAATTTCATCGAGATTCCTGACACAGAGGAAATGGGCCGGGGTAAGTGTCATAGTGTTTCTATCAAGCAATACACTGGATTCCTAGGTCATAGAGTACATGTTTGCAATCCCACTACTAGTTTCTAGCTAATATACAAAGGTTCATGTTTCTACCACATGTCCCCCTTCTTAAGTTCAGTGTGTGTGATACAAGGGGGACTGTCCTCCCACCTTAGGTTCAGTTCAGTGGGTGGGGGGACAGGGGGACTGAACCTCAGGTTGTAAAAGTACAGTATACAAAGAGGAGAATAATCATAAGAAATTGTTGCTTTTGACCATGAATTTCATAGACTATTTGATAGTTCAATATGTACATTCTCTGTCTTAATTACTGGACCCCATATGTTACATCATTTACAAATTTTATCACCTCTGGCCTTCCAACTATCATACAGCACCTTTTTTCTGTATCCCAAACCCTGTCTACTAACCCAAGAATTGTGTCAATACTTACAATTTCCTGAGCCTTGAACTGATGATAGGTAGGTCAACACTTTGAAGTACCATCAAGTCTCATAGAGGAGATTTATGCAAGAGCCGGCTTCCACGCCTGAGACCCTCCCTTTTTCTGCTGGGATATTTTGAAGGGAAAGTTGTTGGGTAAATCAACAACAAGGTAGAACTGAACTTGATCATAAAATGCAGTGTCCTGCATCTCCTTGATTTGATTTACGTGTTGCGCAAATTAATCAACTTGCAGAGCATACTGTTTTGGATATGAGTAAAGCAGATACACAGAAAAAAACTGGAACTTACCTTTACAAAGCTTGCATTCCAATGTGATTCATTTGACTTCCTATATGCCCATAGCACTATGAAGTATTTCTCCACTATCAAGGAATTTGACCTTGCCATAGCCCACCAGAAATAAGGGGACATAAACCATAAGATCATTGGTTTGTTGCTCATCAGAATAATTTATTATCAAGAATGCTACAAGGTGCTTCCTAAGGGATTTATCAGGCTTGAAAGGGTACTCTCATGACAACACCAGAGCCAAACCGGGACCTAGAATAAAATAAAATAAAATATGGCAATAAAAATGTAAAAATGTAAAGAAAAATAACACATACAATCAAGAAAGCAGTTGCCAGAGGTCTCTGCCTCATGGTCAGAGCTTAAATCCAGATCCTCAACCATGCTGATGAAAAAGTGCTTGCAGTCCTGGATGGAGTGCTCAATAAACCCACAGAAGTGTTCCATTGGAAAGTTCAAATAGCACCAAAGAGGTCCACTCTGGCGCAGATTGTGCAAAACATGAAAGAGAGAATGGATGGACAATACACAGGCTGAAGCACAGGCCATGTTGTGGCAGAAATAAAGTCTGCATAAATTATAAGTAATTAAAATAATATACAACAACTGAAACTTATCTTTCATAATCCTTGACCCAGTTAACACACCCTTTTTCAAGAGACTCAACATCTTGATCATAACATAGCTGAGACACAGGTTGAAAATGTTGACAAATTTGAGGAAGTGCTTGTAGTAGGGTGTTGCAAGGTAACCATGAAGTAAAGCTAGTACAAGAAATGTGATAAATATGAACCAGTTCTCTGTTTTGAACTGCCACTGCTCCTTTGCAATGTCTGGTACACAAGAACCAAATGCAGATGGGATGGTATCACCATAATTCTTGCAAGCTTAGCTAATGCACTCCCATTTGTCTGCAGAAATGAAATAACCTTCACCCTCACCACCAAGCTCCTTGAATCCTCCAGTCCAATGGGCTACAAGTGTGACCATGATATTGGATGTGAGATGCATGAAATCAAAGGGAAGGAGTCTGGGACAGAAACACTTGAAATAGTGGCCAGAAGAGGGACACCATTTATACCAGATTCACACAAGCTTGTTAGATCTGGTAGGCATAGCTGCATTGATAACAGCCTGAGCTTGGTGCATAAACTCTGAGTGAGAACAAAGAGGAAGATTGTGGAGATCATATGAGCTGTCATCATCACAAGAGTGGAGTGTAAAGTGGAAAAGGACAACCAGGAACTGTAACTCCATGAATATGGCACATGCAACATGGTGAAAAGCCATTGACTCCCTTCATTTGCATAAGCCTAGAAATAGCCTGCATGCTGCCAAAGATGTAGAGGAGAAATGCACAGAGCATAGAGTAGTGTAAAAATGTCTGGTCAAAGGTAGGTACCCCGCGCATCAGAGTCTCAAGCTCAATAAATAAAAAAGGATCCATGAACAAGTCAAAGTCCCAAGGCTCCTTGGACCCTGGGATTATGCCAAGGCAGAGAATGTGGAAAAGGTGGAAATGAAGCTCAGGAGGGAGATTGAGGCTATAAACCAGCAAGGGACAGCAGGTTTTCTTCCAACTTTTGAATGGACCTGCACCATTAGTTGACAAGCTGAGGGCAATATTGCTAGCTTGGTTAAAGAAGGAGAAACCAAGCTGCTCACTGTACACTTGCGCCTATTGGTTCAAAAGGCCCTGGTGATGCTTGCCATCAAAGACATCAGCAACACCAGAGGTATGAATGCCATACTTGCTGCAATAACACATCTTCTAAATGGAGTTGGGATCAAGAAAAAGGTTTGAAAGTTGGAAAATGGGGAAGGTACTGGAAGACATGGCAAGGTCAACCCTGGTTGTCATAGCATGATTTGGAATAGTGGGGACAGTGATCAAAGTGCTGATAGTCACCAGTATAGCAGATGCAGGAGTTAGGACAGCAGTGGTAGTTGACTGGTGTGATAAGACTCAAGGAAGACATGTGAGACTGAAGATGATGAAGTGTTTTGATATTGGAGACAAGCTTACTGCATTGTAGCTTCGTATAGTCTTGACCATCGAGCTGAGCATTCACCTTGAAGTTAAATGCATGGATGTTATGGATACCATCCTCAGAGAAATGAGTACCTTTGACATTATTAGAAATAAACACAACAATCATAATGCAGTGACATACCCATATCCAACATCTCCTTCTCAAATTCTTCAGCCAGTCTATCTGTTGCACTCATCTCACCCAATCCATGAAGCCAAGGTGCCTCCTCAATGTTAAGTGCATTGTCAGCATTCTGGCCAATCAAGCCTTCTACATCTGATTTATCTTGTTCCTTGTCACCTGACCAGCTATCACCCTCTACTTCTTCACCTGGGGGATCATCTACCATATTCATTTACAGGTACTTGAACATCAGGGAAGGGTACATCAATATCCATATCTGGAGGTGGTGATACAGAACTCATAGGTACATCAGCATTAATGCCCAGTAAGAACCCACCTTTGGCTCAGTGAGTGTGGGATATTCATCTTGCGTGATCCAGGGCAGTGCAGTCCCGGAGCAAGGTCCAATATGATTGAGCCAACTGATTGTGATTGAGTGGCATTAAAGCTCGGCTACCCCACTTTCTCACGTGTGTTGTCTTCGAGGATGTTGCACTGCTTGTAGTCTACCCTTGTCAATTATCATCTAGTCAGTAGTTTGTACACAATACACACATGTTTTCTATCATAGATATGTCAGAGCCCTGTGTATGAGTGATTTCCACCTTCTCTGAGACTTTGTTAAGTCCACAGCCCCTCTGACAATGTTCTAAGATAAGAAATACTCTCTATCCTTATGAGCTGGGTCATAAAACATATGTATAGTGACTATGGTGAAGAAGAAATTCCCTAAAGCGCCAGACAGACTCTACATATGTCCTAACGCTAACTCAGGGCACCCTCATATGATATCCTCGAGTGCTTTCTACTGGCATATAAAGCCATATGGTAAAACCACTCAGCAGATTCTGAAAGCTATAGCACCAACCTTTGGTTTTCTGGGCCGTTTCCTCCTATACCTCCGTGGCCGGAGAAGTTGTCTCAGCGTTGTGAGCGCTCTGAGAGCCCTGAAATGTCTGAAAATGAGCGTGCAAGCAAGAGAGCTTGAGTCAAGGAAGTACCAGATGAAGACATGTCCCCAGCACCTAACATGCACTCAAAAGACGGATATATATGTCTAGAAGAGAACCATAGGCAATCTGAAGAGCGCAATAATGCTCGGGATGTAAGTAAAACAATTAAACAGCTATATGCACACATATACTCATATACTATAGGTACAAAATGATCAGCAGTATTGTTGAGAGCAGCCACAAGAGCTCCCTGAGCTGCACTATCCACCTCCTCAAGAATATGCTGACATAGATCTCGACCTCCCCACTCAACTAGTGCACACACAAAAGATGAAGAAAGCTATGGGGTACATTAACATGCTCACCACCGCCTCTCTAGATGACCCAGTAACAAAACTCAGCGCAGAAACCCTCCTAGAGCTCCTCCTGACATAGACAACACTGGTGTTTGGCACGGGATAGAGATGTATATTTCCCTCAAACATTCCTCGCAGGAGGTGTACAGAAATATTTGACACTCTCACTCTAGGAACTTTCCTGATGCTGAGCTGATACCCTTGCTTGAAGAACTTGAAAAGCTACTCAAAATCTGGACTGGGGTCAATGTTGTGAAGCACAACATGTGCTAGGACTCGTGCATGGCGTTTACTGGGCCTAACACTAATCTGGATGCTTTCTCTCATTGCCACAGGGCTCGCCATGATTTTTTTGTGCTTCAGACAACCGGTAAAAAGGTTTCTAGGCAGATGTATACTATTCTTCTAGGTCCTATGATACAGGCGCTCTACAGAAGTAAGGAAGGCGCTCAGGAGCTTTGGTATTGCATCAAAAAGACAGCCAAATTGCTCAAACAACTTCAGGCTAATGGCGGTAAAATACAATTCTGGGACGACTATATACAAGGACAGGAATATCTGGATGCTATTCGCTCTGGTAAAATCACTGAAAACAGCATTCTCATCATGTCTTCTATAAATGGCAACCAGCTCTATCAGTCTGAGCTCTCAGATTGCTGGATTTATATATGGGTAATTCTCGAGTATGGTCCTGACAAGTGCTACAAGAAGAAATATGTACTCCCTGGTGGCTTTATTCCTGGTCCGAAGTGTCCTGAAGACTTCGACTTGTTTTTATTCCCAGGGTACCATCATGTCGCCGCTCTACAGCACGAAGGACTGGCAGTATACAATGAGCATCTTGAGGACATTTTTAAACATCATATTCATCATTTCTTTGTCACTGCAAACAGCCCCAGGCTCGTATACTACAGCAGAATGTGCGACCACTGTGGTAGGAACAGCTGCCGTCTATACTGCAGGCTCATCAGGCAAAAAATACATAAAGGTAATCACTATTATCCTGCACTCCTCAAGCTGGCACCAAACTACAGAGAACAAGGCTGCAATCACAACAATGTTCCTCTAGTTGATCTCCCTCAGCCAGCATCTCCAGGATACTACAATAATCTTAAGCTAATTGTCAGCACACACTCGGATACTCAGTACAAAAACAGACGCAAGCAAACCGGTCTAACTAAACCAAGTCTTCTCCTCAGGCTCAATCCAGCTCACTCACTCCCTGTACCCCATTGTATGATACCAAATATTATGCATCTGGCTGCTCTGTTGAGTTCTCTATTTATTTCTTTCTGGCGAGGGACTGCAGATCATACTGAGAATGACAATCCATTGCTCTGGACGTTTAATTGTCTTGGCGATAAAAATGTCTGGGTGGCTTTTGGTCTCAAGATTAATAATGCTGGGTGCTGTCTCCCTCGGGTCTTTGACAGGAAGCCTTGAGATCTTGCTGAGAAAATATCTTTGGGCTATAAGTCTTGGGGATGGCAGCTTGTTTTCTTTGGTATAGCTCTGGGTCTTTTGTACGAAGTGCTCCCTCTTGAGGACTGGAAGACCTACTGTCTATTGGTCTGAGGATTTTGTCTGCTCTGTCAACACTGAATTTCTGAGCTCAATCTTTGTGTCGCAAAGAAATGCATCAACAACTTTTATCAGGGCTTCAAGGAACTATACTATGCTTGTCAACAGAACCGGCTTCATTTTGTCAGGCAAAGTATTCATCAAGTTCTACATCTTGTCTCCAAGATCATACAGAAGGGGCCGCCAATTGTATACTCTCAGTGGACTATGGAGCGTACTATCAGTAATCTTGGCCAAAAAATCTGCCAGCCTTCAAAGATGTATGCTAAATTATCTTGGGAGGGTGTATGCCGATGCCAGATCACTTGCTTGAAGGCTCTCATTCCAGAGCTCAATCCTGAGCCAGCTCCCTTGTCGGTGCTGTCTTATGATGTCAGGGAAGGTTTTTCTCTCTTGCGCAAGCATTCTAGACAGCTGCATAACCCTCAAGGCACTGACAGGGAGGTAGTTTCCGACTGGATAGGTAGGCCAGCACCTAAATTCTGGATGTGGGGATGAGCACAACCCACAGATGGGCAGTTTATTCAATCAGCCTGGTGAGAAAATACTTACATCCAGAAAAACATTCGCATTTCAAGGAATGTTCAGGTATGTTTCATGCAGTTATATATATGTTAGGCTGTCTAATTGTATTCTAGATCAAAGAGGAGGGTCAAACTTACGTGGGCAAAGTCCGGTACTTTGCTCAACTTGCAGTAGAAGACAAGCAGAACCCCAGCCACAAGCACTGGAAGGGTGCTGCTGTAGTTCAACTTTATTCCCCTCCTGACCCAGACTTTCTCACCCTATCCTCATATATGCTTGCATCTTGCAAGCTACTGGAGGAAGAGTTCACTCACGTTGTCAATATCAAGCAGATTGTTGGTGCAGTGGCAATGATTCCGCATCAGCCAACATTGGCTTCGGGAGAAGAAGAACTTAGGTATTTTATGGTTGAAAAGCCCAGTATGGACATTGCAACATTCCTGGGGAACAAGGAAGACAAAGGGCAGGATGAGGACGGTATGAACTTCCCTGCAGAGTAGCTACACATATGTTCACCATACTTTTATTCATGTTTTTGTTTGACTTTGGTCACCCAAGAGCCTCAGCCACCCGCGCCACCAAGACAAAGGTTTAGAGTTTTGGAGTTTGTGCACATTTGGAAGCCTCCCTCGGTTCAGCGAGCTATGCCACGCATTGGGAAATGAAAGATCTGCTTTCACATTGGGTAGCCCCTGTCTGCCTCAAGAGTATAACAACTTTCAAGGCTCAACTTTTTGTCATATTCACTGCTCTCTCTCCCTCTCTCTTCCCATCACCCATCCATCCATCCATGTCATTCCTCCACTCCTCAGATGGTCATCCGTCTGATTCTTCTTTTAATCTTTCCAACCCCAGCACCACCACCTCCTTCAACCTGGCTGCCCATGACAGCATGACAGCACTGCTCGAGAGCTCCAACAAGTATATGTCCTCATTGACTTCCCATCTCTTCGATAACTATGTAAGTTTTCATCTCTTCTTTTCTCTTTCTTCCTTATAACATCTGGGATTGCATGTGCAATCCATCTGACCATCCAGGTTGCTCTGCCACAGTAGATGCATCGTCTGCAGAACAAGCTCTCTGTTGCAGTCACACAGAGAGATATCTTCAAGACCAAGTGGGACACAGCCACGCTTGAGTGGGACACTTTACAGTAAGTTCCTGCTTGTTTTCTCATGCATATATGCATGTTACTAACTATCTACAGGCATCTATATAACCAGACCCTCAGTACATGGGCTGCTGCACATGCCTCGCATGGTAGCAGCAGCAGCCCGTCTTCTTCATCTGCTCAGGCGATGATGCCATCTGGCGACTCTCCTCCTTCGATCATGGCTCCCACTGCTCCCACTACTGCCGTCATTCCCATCTTTACCAAGGCGGATGCTCCAAGCACGCAGTTTTGGATGCACAAGGACTACAACAACTGGCTTAGCAGCACCAACAATTGGGACAACAATCACGGCCCTACCGGGTTTCTTGAGACAAAGGATGGCAAGGTACTAGCTTGTGTCACCCTCAACCAGCTCTGCAAGTTGGTCAAGCGCATCTGGAGGAACATGGCCAAGAACAACATGCTCCCAGCCAAGTGGGAGCAGCTCTCCCTCAACGACCTTGAAGAATTTGTCTGCCAGGCCTACAATGAGTGGCCACTCGCTGGCTACTGCACTGGCACCTGGAAGATTGATGTGCTCTGCTCAATCAACTTGCCCAGCTGACGGACCAATTGGATTGATTCTGATGGATTGCTCAGGCCTGAGGCATTCAAGAAGGTGCCAAAGGAGGGCACAATATCAGCAAAGAAGAGTGCATCCAAGGCTGTGGGCAATGACGCACTCGCAGCACATTTGAAGCATTGCAAAGATAGTTTATTCTTATATGTGTTTACCTTACTGGTGTGAGCAACCCTTAACTAGGGGAGTCACTGCACACACAAACATGGAGTGATGATGATGAGAAGAACTAGCCCTAACCCTAGATGGGGCTTGGGCAGAAGTAGATGCCTCGACAAGAGGACTTGAGACTTAGGTTTACAAACAAAGCTAAGGGGAAATCCAAAAGAACTCTTGGAGTTCTGGGTCATCAATTGCAGTCTTATATACTACTGGGCAGCTGTGCATAGACCATGTAACTAAAGGTAGGGCTCCTGCCTAATTAGGAATACAAGTACATAGTAATATAAGCATGCCATATTATGTGATCCTTGCATCATATGATGTCATGGTCCAGACCCATCACATGCTTGGTCACATGTCTGCTTATGTAATAGATAAGGCCAAAGCCTGGCCACATCAAAAACAAATCCAATAAATAATGTGTTTTTTTGTCCAAGTTAGGGCTGGCAAGAGGCATTTTTTGACAACTGACATATTTTTTTACAGTCAATCCTACTCGTCGTTGTAACCCCCGCAGTGTTTCTACACCCGATGATGATGCTGCAACTGCATCTGACTCTCCCAATGCGCGTGCCACATGTAAGTGACACACATATATGCACCTTTATATCCTCATGTTTTTTTTTCTTTCAGCAGAGAGCCCTCGTCAGGTGTTGCCTTTGGGCAAGATACCTCATCAGGAGTTGCCCACAGCGGTGGAGCAAGACAGCACTGCCGTTGACATGCTGTCCAAGGCAAACAAAGGTAGTTTATTTGTTGTATGGTTGGCCTTCTGAAGGTGGCTGCAAAGAATGTGCCCTCCCTGAAGCCAAAGGTGACAAGCTCCCACAAAAATACAGCTGCCTCGCAGGCAGTTGAGGCACTGAGCTCCCTTGAAGAAAATTCCACCAAGGCTGCTGCTATCAGCACGTCTACGTGTTCTCAGTGCAATGTCAAGGGAGTATTGACCACTGTGGCAACAGCCAGCGAGAATGTCTATAAGTCCTCAAATCACAAAAGCAGATGGTATGTACATGCTATATTCATTTCCATTGCTAATGTTTTTGCATAGAATCCTCTGCACCTACCAGTGGCTCAGGGACCCATCCCTTGATCCCGGCAAGCATACAGAGAAGGACTTCAAGAAATACTGGGATAATGGGCTCAGCAAAAACCAGCGCAAGGTGAGCATCATTTATTCTATTCTCTTCATCCACTTATATTCTTACAGGCTTATAGCACCGAGGTCAAAGACCTGATAAGCATTTTATTTCACTACTGTACATCAATCTAACATTGTCTCTATAAGAAACATCAAACCTTTGGGACCTGACAAGCGACACGTTTGTCAATGGTGCTTGCCACTAGTTTTGTTGGATTGATCTCCCTTCTTGCCGCCGCTTCTTGGATGTTTTGGACCTGCTGCTGTGTACTCTACTCGCTCGATCTTGGTTGCTCTGGCTCTGCTGTGGACTTTGCTCACTCGCTTGACTTTGTGCTCTCTCGTGCTTGTTTCTTTTGGCCGGCTCGCTGTGTTCTGTAGGTCTTGGTATGTTTTTTGAACTTGTAGTTACGTGCATTTGAGGCCTAGTAGTCTACATGGGTATTGCTCCCCTATCTGTGTATATTCTACTATAGTTTAATCAATTCTAGTCGAGCCTCATTTCACGCAAGTGTCAACACTGTGTCTGTGCAGGGAGAACCGGGACATTCGAGCTATGCTCCACTAGGGATACCGTGTCCCAAAGATGCTAGCGAAGGTATGAAGAAGTATGGAGATGGACCGGAGGTGAACCGGAGATAGTGAAGGTAAAGGAGATGCGCGTAGAAGCAAGGAGAGAATGCTAAGTATGGCGGATCACGATGGAGATGACAAGTCGATGTCAAGTTGAGTTGGAGTATGATTTGGATAGAGACAACAAACACGAAAGAATGTCAAAGGCCACAAGAATGTTGGGGCAGGAGTAAATTGATATTCATACTATCAAATACAAGTCAAATGCTACCACTATTTATATCATAAGTCCAGATCTTCAGATAAGTTCCACATAGCTACTGGAGTAAGTGTGGAATATCATGAGTAATCACTGAAGAAGACCGAAGGTTGTAAGAATACAAAACATGGCAGGTGTAACTGCAGAATCATGACAGGTGTAAAGTAATGACAGGTAGAATGTGGAGTGAGTTGGTCACAAAAAAACATGCTGACTGATAATTCCCAAGTGTGTTAGCATCTACTCCGTAGCTGCCAAAGATACCAAAGCAGTACTGAAGGAGCGAACATGGATCAGAGGTTAACCGGAGATGCATGGGTGTGACAGTATCCCCCTCTTAGGTCTGAGCCCACGAGGACCAAAGCAGTGGCAACAAGATGGCACGTGAAGAAGTGTGATGTGGAGTGAACACACATAGTAGGGTCAAGGGTTCGGGTGCTGAGTGAAGCCAGTGGAATTGAAGTGGAGTTTGAACCTTGTTGCAAGGGAATAAATCTTGTGAGTTTGGAAAAGGATCCTTCATCTTTTCAACCACCATGTCCAACGCAGTCAACACAATCTACTTTGACCTCACAGCCATCCGTCAAGCCATTGATGTTGACTACAATCCGATGTCTGTCAACTTCGCAGTCTTTGAGAGGGACATCAAAGTCCTCGAAGACTTCTCCTACCTGTGTTCAAGAACTTTGCACGTGCTGGTCCAGTGAGTGCAAAAACCTTCCCGTGCTCCAGGATCTCTAAAGAGGCGCCAAGGATTGCCTCAACACCGTCAACAATGCCTTCGATGTGCGTCAAGTAGCTGAGGAAGCGCAAAGGGTCACGGAGTGCAAGGTGGAGGAGCAAAGGCACGCTGAAGTGGAGAAGGAGTGTGAGGAGTTGGAGTGAAGGGAGAGGGAGAACGCGGAGGAGGAGGCAAGGGTGCGTGAAGAGGCAACGAGGGCAACGCAGGAGGGCAGAATGGACATGGACAACAAAGGGCCGGCGTCAGGTGGCAACGAGCAGAAGTCCAATGAGGAGGAAAGGTCCAGCAACGAGCGGAACAAGGAGGGTGAAGGCAAAGCAGGGTCGGAGAAGAGGAAGGGAAAGAAGAGGTAGTGGGATGACAACAACAAAGATGCCAAAGGTGAGGACAACAACAATGAAGATGACAAAGACGACAAAGAAGGCGAAGGTGGCCCAAAGGGTCCTTTGACTCTGGCCACAAAGTAGAAGGGGCCATGCTCTCAGTGCACGCACCACGGCATCGCCTGCAAACCACCAAGGAAGAGCTGTTTGTGCAAAATGTCTTGCAAGGCATGCAAGGCGGCGCATTGTCAGTGCCACCATGATGATCTGACATGGCTGATCAAGCCGAAGAAGATGCGGAGATCAAAGAAGAAATGCAAAGATATGGTGGAGTCGGGTGAAGCACCAGTAAGTTGTCTGGTTGAGTCTTCGTGGTTTGCTAATTGCCTTGAACTTCATCAGGAAACTCAGAGTGGGCTGGAGTTGCTCACTGAAGCAATCTCCAGGCTGATGGGGCTTCTCCAGCCCCTCATCCACAACTACTCGGCGGACTGGGACAATTTGTTCCTCAAGTTGGACAACCACACGTCCGCCATGAACCAGGCAATGAACTTGCTCGTGGATGGTCCTCGCAGGATGCCAGTTGCCGGGGTGATGAGCAGATCGCGAAGGATGCCTACAGACACTGGAGCGGGATCTTCAGGGACCAGGAGCAGTCATGCAGAGGAGCATGCCTCGATGATTCTGATCATGTTGGATGTAATGAGCAGCTCCTTTTTATGCTCTATTTTGTCCCCTTGAACTCCTCCATTAATGTATTCAAGCTTGAAATAGGTCTCTGAATAGAATAATTATTGAGAGTAGTGTTCATGACCTTTCTCTCCTTGCCAAGGGTGACAATGTCTCTCTATGAAAGCTACATCATTTTTGCAACAGTTGTACTTTTTAGAGAGAACATATCTGATGATGTCCTTATGGATGATCATTTTTTACCATACCCGGATGTAATACAAGCCTTATGTCTGTGTTACATATAAAGTTTTCTCAATTTGAATGTTCACCTCAGTCTTCTGAGATACCTACATTGCAACTAGAACTGTGATTAAGATTTTGGCACCCCTATAGAGTCCATGACCTAGCAGCTTTTCCTAAAGTGACTTGAGTGTCAGGAATGTAAACAGACAGTAGTTCCTTTTTTTTCATTTCACTCTACTATGCTAGCACTTTCCAGAACATTCCAGATATATGCTTATGTTTACCTTTGTTTGCCCCCTTCCGATTTGCTATATAAACCACATCTCTACCAAGCCTTGCCTAGTTCTCTATCTTGACCTCTTGGTTATTGGGACTAGGTGAGTTGCCTGTTGTATTAGTTAGCATAGTGCCTCATTTGCTGTCTCGGTTGTATTGAGATCTCTTCCTTCCTGCCCCTATGCTGTTGTAGGTGTTGCTTTCTAGCTGCTGTGGCTTACCCCAACTGGAGATGCTGGTATTAACCTCAGCTTTGCCATTGCTGTTGGAGCTGTAGCCCTTCATCTTTGCCTTCCTCTTCATCCTCTCCTTCACCCAGAGTCACCACATCTAGGATTAGGTCCTGACATTGAGTTTACTCTTGTGAGTCTTTATTAGCCTATAAAAAGCTCAATTTGGGGCAATTAAGTATTTTGGTAGAAATAATGCCCACATCTATTACAGAAATGAAATTATGTTGTTAATAGCAAAGTTTAATGCAGCTCATATTCTGCTACCATTCTTGCACACATTCACTGAGTTCCAGGTGCTTGTATTGAAGACACCTTTTCAAGGGCCCAAATTTTCATCATAACTCTCAAGGATGCACTCAGCTACTTTGTATGTAGGAAATATATTTGATATGCACTAATAGTTTATTACAGTGGAACAGCCCTTTTTGACTGTATGACCTTTTTTTAAATCAAAAAAGGTGAAAAACACTAACAAGCATGCTCAAAGTGTTATACGGTAAGGAAGGCTTACAATCACAACTATTCAAAGTTGCTCTTTCTTATTATCTCACACTTTTGCTTGATAGAGAAATAGCAAGAACCAATATACTAGTTATTGATAATAAGCTTCTACTGATGAACTTAGTTTGTTGTAGATATGTGTTACAAGCTGTATATTTGACTGCTATATGCAGAAGAGACAATGAATAAAACACACAACAACTATTTGCAATTGACAAAGCCTGATGTAATCATGATATCACTTTGATTTTAAATGTTAAAATCTAAGTTTGTATCACCATAATACTTGCATGCTCCTTCTCAATAATTGCACAAGTTTATATTGCTTATTAAAAATAGCATGGTGTAATAATACAAGTCTGCATTCAGTATAAGCAGAATAGAGTTCTCTTTGGACACTTTACTGTTGTAGTCCATGCTTATTTATGTAGCACAGCCTATCAAGTGTAGTACAAGTTGATGGTTATTGTGTATACATACCACCAGTGTATATTATAATGGAGTTTAGATGCCAAAGATATACCATTAATATCATATCTTAAATCCCATCATTTTTTATTGTACAATACACCAATAAAATGGATTGGTGAGGAAAATCTGTTGAATGTATATGTGAAATAATAGACTTTTGGAGATTAATTCAAGGCTATGGTATAGGAATAAAAAAACATACTATTTTGCATTGTTTGAAAATGTTTACAAATAATTAGCAGCTCAAAAACATGATTCTTGTATTACAGTTGGGTTTCAAAGCATAGTGTCATCTAAAAAGACATTTGGGTGGCTTAAACTGGATTGCATACATTGCTGTTTACTTTCTGAACAACAGTAGTAATATTGCATTTCAGCCATGGATTAGGCTAATAAAATTGGGTGAAACCAAAATTATTTCCATCAGAACCATTTTGTAGTTTCCCTCACTGGGGCAGCTTTGGTTCAGTGATGCACATGGCAGACTGGTTTAATTCCTCAGGAATATGATGTTTGAAGCTGCCAAGGTATTGTTGTGAAGGTAGTGTAGCTCAAAGCCCTCAGAAGTGAAGAAATGTTTTCCAACAGCAAATTGGCCACCAGGAAATATTGCAAGACTGGGCTGCCAATGCCATGCCAGAGAGGGGATGGGGAAGTGTTGTGCAGACCAGTAATACAAGGACTCACTCTGTTGCTGAAAATTTATCCACCACAAAACCAATGTTTTCATTGTAATAATCATGCTGAGGTTGGAACCCCAAGTATACAAGAATGTTTGATAATTTAAAAAAGAAGGTTGAAGTAGCAAAGAGATTAAAGGCTTGCTCTTGGGAGTGAGCTTTGTATGTTCCACTCAAATAAAGAGAGCTGCAAGATACATGCCCAAGAAATCTTAAGACGAACCTGAAAATTTTGTCAGTAGGTGCCTTGAGCTGGGGAGGAGTCAATAATATTGGCAGCAGCACTGGTAGCTGTACTGGTGGTCACAACAACTCTTTTATTTATCTTTGATTTGCAAACTTTGAATGAAGGTGAATGCCTGATAGCATCTTGCAGGATGGAAAAGACCTACCATTGGGCAGCCTGTAATCTGGCCACCTGCTCTGTTGAACCCTGCACTCAGCTATTGTGTGTTGAGGTATCCTTCTACTTGTTTCTTGTTTCTACCTTCACCACCTTCCATATCCAGTACCTCGCAACTTTGCCCCTATTTCGCCTTTCTCTCCTCTTTGGCTTACTATGGAGAACTCCAAGCTACTTGTCCCCTTGCTCTCCCATCGTCTTCTACACCTCTTCATTGTCCCCATGCCTGACGCCGACGCCTCCAAGCATATCAAGGCCCTCACCAAGGATCATCATGGGCTATGGACTTCAGCGCTCTAGCACGCTCCAAGGGGTTCTACAGGCTTTTGAAGGGTACTGAGATGCATCCTCAGGATCCTGACAAGGCTGAGCACTAGGATACTTGTCAGGAGGAGGCAGCTGGCGAGCTTATGCTCACCCTCTCTGAGGAACAGCGCATCCATGTCAAGGGCAAGGAGGATGACCCCACTGCTATGTGGGACGCTCTCCAGGCTGTCCATCAGCAGAAGATCCCTGGCACTCGCTTCAACGCTTTCGACGACTTCTTCGCCCTCAGGAAGCGTCCTGAGGAGTCCCTCAGCTCCCTCATTGCTAGGGTGGACACTCTATGCCAGGATCAAGGACCTTCGCCCTCCTGCCTACACTCTGGACTCTCTGGACCAGGAGTTGGCCTGCATGGCGCTCATTCGTGCTCTCCCTGAGGAGTACTCTCACTTTGTCTCTGCCTCATGCTCCAGTCCACTCTGGACAAGGATGCTGTGGTGCAAGCGTTCATCCAGGAGGAGAACAACAGGACTCGACGCTCTACAGCGCCTGTGGCCTCCTCAGAGGCTGTCCTCGCCGTCTCGGCGCCCTCTTCTGGCTCTGCCCCTTCCCTCGACCACTGCACCTGCACTGGGGAGCTCCTCTGCTCGTTCTGTGAGAAGCCCCACCACTGCTTCCACAAGTGCTTCGCCCTTCGACGCGCTAAGAACGAGCTCAAGGCCCAGTCGAGCTCTAGGAAGCCTGACAACCAGTCTGGTCGCTCTCAGCGCGCCAACCAAGCCCAGGCTGCTCCCAGCGCTCCTGGCACTTCCTCCACTGCTCCTGTCCCTCCCTCGGCCTCTCAGGCCGTTGTGGAGTATGCTGGCAATGCAAGTCTTTGCTCTTCTCCTTCCCCCACCAGTCCCACCTGTCCTCTCCAGCTCGATGCAGATGCTGACTGGATTGCAGACACAGGCGCCACTTCTCATATGACCCCTCATCGTCACTGGCTACGCTCCTACACACCCATGCGCATGCCACTTCGCCTTGCTGACCACACTGTGTGTGGGGTCTGTGGTGGTCTGTCCTAGGGTGGGAGGGAAGGAAGCGAGGGCTGTAGAGTTTAGTAGGGTGCTGCATGTACCTGACCTGCGCTCCAATCTCCTCTCTGTACTCTATCTTACTCGTCATCATGGCTTCTCTGTCACTATCACCGCTCAATCTATGTCCTTCATTCGCTCCAACACTGTGCTGTTCACTGCTACCATCAACCAGAACACCAGTGCGCTTTTGGACGGTGTAACAGAGCCATTGACCGAGTATCCTCTACTCTGCCTCTTGATCTATCCCTCTGGCATCGCAGACTGGCCCACCACAGCTTGGGGGGTGTCCAGGCTCTGTCAGAGCGCGATTGGGTCACTGGCATGCAGCTGGACTCCAAGGAGCGCCCTGACCCTATCTGTGAGCCCTGCCTTGCAGGTAAGCAGCGTGCCAACCCGTTTCCACCCTCTCCCTCGCGTTCCACTGCCCTCCTCGAGCTCGTGCACTCAGATGTCCATGATGTCGGCCACCTCTCCATGTCTGGCTATCGCTACTGGGTGTCCTTCATCGATGACTACTCTCGCTATCGTGTTGTTGTCCCTCTCAAGGCCAAGTCCGACGTCTTTGCTGCTTTCAAACGGTTCAAAGCCTTCGCTGAGACCCAATGTGAGCGCAGGATCAAGGCCCTGCAGGATGACAAGGGAGGCGAGTACATGTCCAACGAGTTCCTCGCCTTCACAGAGGAGTGTGGCATAGTGCGCAGGCATACTGTTCGCAATCGCCCTCAGCAGAATGGGGTTGCTGAACGTGCCAATGTGCTCTCTGAGCGCATCACTGCTCTCCTGAACGAGTCTGGCCTGCCCAAGTTGTTCTGGGGGGAGTGCCTTGCTGCTCTGGTGCATGTGTGGAACCGCTTGCCCACTGAGGCAGTCACAGAGGGCACGCCCTACCAGCTATGGCATGGGTGTAAGCCTGACGTCTCCCACCTCCGAGTCTGGGGCTGCACTGCCTATGTGCATGTGCAGAGGGATAAGCGTCGCTCTCTGGGCTCCCATGTGGAAAAGTGCGTCTTCCTTGGCTATCCTGACAGCTACAAGGGCTGGAAGTTCTACAACCCCACCACCAAGCGCACTGTCATCTTAGAGTGTGCTGACTTCGATGAACACTACTTCGCTGGCCTCTCTAGGCCTAGGAGCAACCCACCACCTTCCCCTGCACCCCCTGTGGGTGTCTATGTTCCTGATGAGCTTGATAAGCCATTGGGCCATGGGGGGGAGAATGGTGCTCCACCTGCGCCGCCTGCACCTCAGGAGCGTCCTCAGGACGTCCCAGGTGCTCACAACCGTGTCCCAACGCCTCCTCCACCGCCTTCGCATTCTCCTTCACCTCCTGGTGATGCTGATGAGGGTCAAGCCCCTCCAGATCGCCCCAGTACTCCTCCTCGCCGTGCTCGCTCTGTCCCTGCGCCTCAAGCCCCTACACGTCGTTCTGCCAGGGATAGGACTGCCACCACCCAGTGGTGGAAGCTGGACAAGCCTCGCTTGTACCCTGCTGAGCCTGCACCTGCTGGGCCTGCTGAGCCGCTTGTCCCTGTTGATGAGCAGGTGGAGGTGGTCCCAGACAGTGAGGAAGAGGATGCGGACACTGCACTAGCTGTGCATGGGGAGGCCTATGGCAAGGAACTGGCGCTCCAGGGTGATTCCTACAAGGAGCCCAGGACCTATGCTGAGGCTGTTGCTCAGGATCCCCTCTGGTATGACGCCTGTGTAGACGAGATGGGCGCTCACTGGACCAATGGGACCTGGGAGGTTGTGACTCTCCCTCCAGGGGAGAAGGCATAGGAAGCCAGTGGGTGTTTAAGCTGAAGCGCAATGCTGATGGGTCCATAGAGCGTCACAAGGCTCGAGGGTTGCCCAAGGCTTCCCCCAGCGTCCTGGCTTCGACTACCTCGAGGTTTTCGCTCCCACTGTCCGCCTCTCCACCATTCGCTTCATCCTGTCCCTTGCTGCCATCCATGACCTCCACCTTCGCTCTGTCGACATCTCCAAAGCGTATTTGCAAGGGGACATGGATGTCACGCTCTATATGCGTCAGCCAGAGGGCTTTCACATTGGTGGCAAGGACCAGGTATGCCTGCTCAAGCGTCCTCTCTATGGGACCAAGCAGGGTAGACGCATGTGGAACAGGAAGCTGCATGCTGCTCTGCTCGAGATGGGCTTCAAGCGCACCTACTCTGACAGTGCACTCTACGTGTTCACCAGGGGAGGAGTGCAGGTGCTGGTCCCAGTGTTTGTGGATGACATGACGCTCGCTTCGTCGTCTGAAGCAGAGCTGGATCGCTGCGTCACCGAGCTGTCTCAGCGCTTCAAGCTTAGGGATCTTGGCCCCACCACTCAGCTGCTAGGCATCGAGATTGACAGGGACCGCTCTCAGTGCACCATTGCTCTCTCCCAGCGTCACTACACTCAGGATGTGCTCGATCGCTTTGGTATGGGCTCCTGCAACGCTGTCCTGACGCCTATGGAGCCTGGTCTTCACCTCAGCAAGGAGTTTGAGCCCAGGAGCGCTGAAGATGTTGCTTTCATGCGCTCTGGCCAAGAACCCTGAGCACCATGGGAGGATGAAGCAGCTGGACTTGTGCTTCTACTGGCTGAGGGATCAGGTCGAGTCTGGGCTCATTGAGCCTGTCCATGTGGGCACTGACCACATGGTGGCTGATCTCCTCACCAAGGCACTTCCTGTGGCCAAGGTGCAGCGCTTCTCTCATCTCATGGGACTTGAGGCATTGGGGGGGAGCGAGTCTGCTAGAGCTGCTGGTTCAGGGGGGAGTGTCAGAGTGCGCCCAGCACCTCTGCATCGCTCCTATGCCCTTGGCACAGCAGCCCAGTGGCCTTGGTACGCTTTCCAGCATTCCAGGACACTTGGGTAAAAAGAGGTAAAACTTGCCTGTTGTGTGAGTTGAACCTAGAGCCTTGTGGTAGTTCCCAGAGCGCTGCAACCACTCAGCTATTGTGTGTTGAGGTATACTTCTACTTGTGTCTTGTTTATACCTTCACCACCTTCCTATTCCAGTATCTCGCG